TGGAAGCGAGCGACCACAGGGAATGCGAGGAGCGGTCAGCGGCAGCCCAGGAAGAGATCGACCGCCTTCAAGCGAACTTCGACTCCGCCACGGCGAAAGCAACCGCCCTGGCCGAGGAGATAGAATCGCTCAAAATGCAAAGAGAATTGAACCGACAGGCGGAGATCGCGGACCGAGGGGTTGAGATCGGAGAACTCACCGCGAAGCTGAAGGAGGTGGAATCGAACCGACAGGTGGAGGTTGCGAACCGAGAGGTTGAGATCGGAGAACTCACCGCGAAGCTGAAGGAGGTGGAATTGAACCGACAGGTTGAGATTGCAAACCGAGAGGTTGAGATCGGAGAACTCACCTCGAAGCTGAAGGAGGTGGAATTGAACCGACAGGTTGAGATTGCAAACCGAGAGGTTGAGTTCGGAGAACTCACCGCGAAGCTGAAGGAGGTGGAATTGAACCGACAGGTTGAGATTGCAAACCGAGAGGTTGAGATCGGAGAACTCACTGCGAAGCTGAAGGAGGTGGAATTGAACCGACAGGTGGAGGTTGCGAACCGAGAGGTTGAGATCGGAGAACTCACCGCGAAGCTGAAGGAGGTGGAATTGAACCGACAGGTTGAGATTGCAAACCGAGAGGTTGAGATCGGAGAACTCACCTCGAAGCTGAAGGAGGTGGAATTGAACCGACAGGTTGAGATTGCAAACCGAGAGGTTGAGTTCGGAGAACTCACCGCGAAGCTGAAGGAGGTGGAATTGAACCGACAGGTTGAGATTGCAAACCGAGAGGTTGAGATCGGAGAACTCACTGCGAAGCTGAAGGAGGTGGAATTGAACCGACAGGTTGAGTTCGGAGAACTCACCGCGAAGTTGAAAAACCGACAGGTTGAGCTCGCAGGACTCAGCGCGCAGTTGAAAAAGGTGGAATTCAACCGACAGCTTGATATCGGGAACCGAGAGGTTGAGATCGCAGAACTCGCCGGGAAGCTGGAAAGGTCGGAGTCGAACGTGGAACGTGCCCGGGAGCTGACTCGCTCCCAGCACAAGTCACACATGGGCAAGCGAAACGAATTGCAAAGACGCATCAACGATTTTCAATTCAAGGTCGATTACTACAAAAGGGAGAACTCAGTCCTCGAGAAGAATGTTCCACGCTTCCGGGCCGAGATAGAAGATTATGCGGCGCGGCTTGCGGAGGCGTCATTATGCGTCAAACGAGCGATGAAGAACCTGGAGAAGGAAAAACAAGAGCGGTCCTGCAACGACTTGGCATGCAAATGCACCTGCGACCGAAACGGACAGATCACCCCGCCGGCACGTTGAGCGTTTGGGCTGTTCGCATGTGGAGACGGCACCGAATGTTATAACTTCAATGGCTATAGAATCATCTCGCGTATCGCGACCCCCATATTGTTCTCCCCGTAGTGCGTATGTTGTCAGTGGGCATCGGTATTGCGATATTTATGAATAAATGTGACTTCTAATCGGACTGCCTGAAAGCTACTGTACATTCTCGATTGGGTGCTGACGAGGCTTGCACGCTGTGAACTTTGTCGTATCAAAATGATATAGCCCGCGGAGATGGTGGTCATCATGGAAACGTCCGCATCGCTTCAGAACGCCCCCGCACGTTTATGGATCTCTTTCACCAAACTCGTCTGATCAAAGCCGCTTGTCACGGACTTCGCCAGCATCACTCACAACTACGACATTATTTCCTGCTTCCCACTCATCGTTGGCAGCGGCACGCTCATTGACTCCTCTCCAACCCCTCCCTCCTCACCAACTCGGCGTCCACCCCAACCCTTTACAAAAATCTAGCCCGGACTCTTAAACCCCAACCCCAGCCATCCCGCTGTCATAACGGCGATGGGTGCTTTGCAGCTGCAGGCAGGGTCTTGATTTGCTGAGAAGCTGTCATGCACGCTTGAGCTACATAGTGCATATCCGGGCGTGCTCGTTGTGTGAGTATGCCCAACACTGTGTTTTCATCGTATGATAACAGGAAATGTCCATCGACCTGATCTATTGCTCTTCCAATCTGTGTGCTAAGAAGTGGGATTCCAGACATCCGTTGCAGTCTATATTAGCTTTGGTGGATCTCGCACTCAACAGCAGCAAATGCGGTGTATGCGACGACACTACTGGAAAACATATCCAACCCCGGATGCTGATGCCAATCGTTTCCGAGAGCGGCGAACGCGTGGGAGGGCTTGCATACGCACAGTGGCAGCTCCAAGCGCAGCATTCGTCTCGTCGGAAAGACTTTGCATCCGGACGGCAATTTTCCCACGCCGTAGACCTTAGAACACCACTCCCTCCCACCCCTTGTGTACTATGTACTGCTGTACCGCTGTACTGCGGATGCACGCCAATATGCTGCTTCTACATCCACGTCGGTAGGGAAGGGGCGCCGAGCACAGGAAACCCTACGCTCACGCAACGGCCCCGGCACGGCGTCAGCGGACGAGCATGACGGCACCAAACCTCGCTGCACGAAAGCAGCGAAGCAACGTGGAGGAGATGCAGCTGATGAAAACCCGGCTTCAGGTCAGTTTGCCTGCCAGAGTAAAGTTGTCCGCTTTACGAGACTTGCTTTCTGACATTCCGTTCATATCTTTCCAATCCACAGGAGGAGCAGGAGGTTGAGCGGGACGCGTGCGAGCAAAGATGGACCGACTGCTGAAGAAGAACGCACCCGTCTGCAAGGAAAGGTGGATCGATTCTGCACGCTTGCTCCCCACTCACACATACCGCAAGCGATCAATGGACGGCACGAGAACCTATCCCAGCGTCCCCTCCTTCCAGAATAAAATATTTTGTCATACCCCGCCTCCCTAAAGCCGCGGCACGGGCTGGTGTGACTGGGCTACTGGACGTTGTATGAGATCAGCGGTCTCACTTGATTGTTTCCCTGGTGTGGATATGGATTGCCAGGGATGCCTATCTTCGTGAACTTACTCCGGGCTTTTTTTCGGGCTGGCTGGACTGGGGCCAAAAGCTCGACGCACTGACGGATACTCACTCAGAAGCGGGGACATCGGGAACCAAGTGCAGCAATCCGTCGCAACTTCGGCATATCAGAACAATGTTATTGCAAACCTGGAGAATGCCGTCGCCGACTTACGCTCCGAGCTGCGGGAAGAACAGGAGAAAGCTGCGGAAAAGGACAATGTTACCCACTCAAACCTGCCGCACGAGACCAATTGAGTACTTCAGCGCAGGAGGTATCTGCGCAACATCCAATTGCTTCCATCCCGGAGTCGCAATTGAAGCGAGAAGCCGAGATAGCAGGGCAACTTCGACTCAACGCTGAGCTGGAAGAGCTGGAGATGAAGTTGCAAGCCGAGATCAATGGACGAAATAAACTCATCTTGGCAACATCTTGGCAACATCCATGCGGTCCAAGCCCTACCGTAGTCGTCTTGAACAATCCTGCGCCGTATGCCAACGCGTTCTCTTCCACAGAGAGAGATTGACAATTTGCAAGCGAAGGTCGACCAACTGGAACATGCTGAACAAGAACGGGACTCCGCCGCGGCGAAGGCAACCTCGCTCACCGAGGAGAGAGACACCTTGCAAATGCAAACAGTCGTCTTGAACAATCCTGCGCCGTGTGCCAACGCGTTCTCTTCCACACTCCAACATTTGGCGTTTCACTCGCCCGATCATCCACCCACCGCTACGTGCCGTGCGGTAGATGGCTGACGAAGAACAGTCGGACAGAGTATGGGACATAGGAGCCAGACTAATTGATTTTGAGGATTCGCCGTCCGACCGCGTCAAACCTATGTCCTAGAAGCTCGAGTCGGGGGAGTGTTGTGCGGTAGACGCGAGCTCCTAGTTGTGACGGGTTAGGGTTGTGACTAGTTAGCGTTATATGTGTGAGTCACGCGCCTTCAGAGTAGAAAAGACGACGGCATATACCCCCGTTTTCTATACCTTTTTTTTCCCTTACCATATTCCAATTGAAAACCATTCTCTATACGATCTGACCATCGACGGCTACTTCCGATCTCGCGCACAATAGGTTATGGCCACGGCGGCGTTGCTGCCTCCAGAAAAGACTCTAGATCTGTGGGCTGTGATTCGCTGTTACTCGCGCGCATGTAACCCTAAATGTAAGTTAATTTGCGCGAAAGGGTGTTATTTGGCGTGGAAGGCTGTTACTTGCCATGTAACCCTAACTGTAAGTCATTTCGCGCGGAACGTTGTTATTTCGCGCGAAAGGGTGTTATTTGGCATGGAAGGCTCTTACTCTCGCATGTAACCTTAATCCAGCCGAACTCACGCAAGAATATCATCTTGAAAACGGGGCGCAACTCCGCTGCAAACCCATAATCCATTTTCAAAAAACACATCTCAGAAAAAGTGGAAAAAGTGGGTTCAATATCGAACAAACCGGGTATATTGTACACTTTTGACTCCAACCATACGGGGTTGAGCAGGCTGGGACAGAGTGACTAGGTGAGAAAAAAGGGTACAAAATAAGGCAGTAACCAGGGGCTGAACTGCCGTCGAAATCCAGTTCGCGTCATATCAGACGGGTAGCGAACCATCTAACCGCTCCCGCGACCCGTTCGACGCGGGCCCCGTTGAAAGTCATTCAAAGTGCGCAAGGGGTATCGTAGAGAAATGCAAAATAAAAAAAAGAAACTAAAACCGGAAATCGATCGGGGTATCTGTGCGGGATATCATAAGTGTCCGTTTCCTTGTGATGGCTTGGCCGGCTTTGGTTCGAATAAACATAGATTGTCGTAAATGGGTCAGGGTGTGTGGTTCGTTGTTCTCGTCGGTGGGAACAAACATCTGTCGTCTGGGGCACGGGTGCCTTGATCGAAGGCAATGGGTGTCGGGTGTCGCACTCGTGCTTGTCGCCGATTTACATGATTGGGAAATGGCACAACCTACAGAAAGTCCGTTTTGAGTTAGGGAATCTATTGTTAAAGGAGCTCAGCAACACCTCCACCTACCCTCCGTGATGCGCAACCCACTCCAGATACAAGCCCCTCAAATATTACCCCCATCCCCCGACTCCACCGCCTCAGCCGGTTTCGGAAACTGAATCGACGCCCTCGTATACTCCCCCCTCGACCCGCCCGGTACCTGCAGGCTAACAGCCTCACGTCGCTCTCCGGTCGCCATCTTCGGTGTAGTTCCGCCCACACTCCCCGCCGACAGAACTCTCGCGATGATATCGACATCTTCGAGAAGTAGGGAGGGCCCGTTGACCCTCACAACGCAGCTTTTATTCTTCTGCGTGATTTCGTGTTCGACTGTGGCGGCTTTGTTGGAGCAGACGAGGAGGAAGGGGAGGCGGATGATGGGTGATGATGGGGTGGATATATTGGTTGGTTGTGAGGGGGTGGGTTGCGGGGGTTGGGGGGGCAGTTTGGAGTTGCGTTGCACGAGGGCTTTGAAAAGACGGTGTTTGCGGGTGGTTTCTGCGAGGGCTTTGCGTTCGAGTTCGGTTTGGGCTGTGAGTTCGGCGTTGCGTGTCTAGGAGGATGATTGACAGGGGAGGGTGAGATTTACGAAGTTGAGGGCTCTCGCTCATGATATCTTATGAGACGATCTCCAAAAAACTAAATGGCATTCTTTGCGGACGAAAACGAAAAAACACACCTTCAAAGCCTCAATGTCGTCCTCAAACGAAGTCTTAGTCGGAACACCCGTCCACCTAATATCCTTCCGATCCTTCACAATAACCCCCATAGCCATAAGCACATTCAACGCGTCATAAACACGTCTCCGGATATTCTTATGATCAAACGCATCGGCATTCCGCGCCTGGGTGGTAAACTCCTCCACCAGCTCATCGGCCACCTCGTTGTATGTGGTCGCGCCCTTCTTTTTGACCTTATCCGCCACACATTTGCTGAAGTGGCGAAGACCTTTGACGCGTCGGACGGCGTCGAGGTCTGGGATCTCACCTGGAGGTAAGACGGAGGTTGACGACTCAGGACGTGTCCACGTAGTAGAGGTGTGGGTGATGTCGCTGATGGTGGGCTGTTTGGCGAGTCCGGCGAGGGGATCTGGGCGGAGGGCTTCGGCGCCGCGTTGCATGTCGCGGTATGATGGAAGAACTGCTGCTTGGCGTTGCTGGGCTGCCCCGTAGTCCGTACCGTACAGGAGATTGGAGCTGCTTTCTCCAGCCGCGCTGTACGTTGAGTACATGGATGGGAAGGATTGTCGCTGCTGAGGAGGATAGTTCGGTTGCGAGAGGGCGCGGAGGTCCATGCGATGGAAGGTGTCGTGTTCGGGAGCCGCGTGCCCTGATGCGCGGAAGGTTGTTGTTCCGGGACTTACTCGGAGCGTCGAATACTGCTGAAGCGGGTGCCCATACATTGGCAAAGAATCCCTGGAAACGACGAGGATTTAGAAAGAGCCCCCCGTCAAGGGAAGACAAAATCCCATAGTATGCGCATACCCCGCTCCTGTATGCAATTGCGACTGGTCGCGATACCACAAGTCAGCGGACGCAGAGGGTCCCAAATCAGAACGATCCCCAAAATCGCGTCGAGAAATGCTTCCACCACTCCTCACACGCCTCGCGTTGCCCTCCGAAGTCAAAGGAGGGCCAAGATCCTGGAACGCATCCGACGCCGAACGTTTGCGCTGTGGGTCTGTGTGGAGAGATGAATGGGGGAAGCGAAGGTGGTTGGATGGTGAGTACCAGGATCAACCCTCGACCATCAAACATTGAACAACAGCCATCAACACATCAACAAACGATACCCTGTGCTTGCGACGAGGATGTTTCGTTGTGTTGAGCAGAAGCGTAGCTCGCTCCGCTCGCGCTCGCCCGCGTCAAGCATCCCTTCTCCTCGCTGCGCTCGGCGCAGTCCGCCTTCGCTCCAGGTCGCGGCTCCCTTGCGCACCGTTCTTCTCACCTTCATCGCCCAACGGATTGTAAGCTTGTTTCCGCCCACCACCCGATCTCCCACCCGCGGCTTCATCCCCACCGTCTCCGCCCCCACCCATACTCAGCGGGTTATTGGTGCTTCCATGGGTAGTATGCAACAAGAATTGCGGAGTCTGCGATGTCCTGCTGCTGCTGTCAGCAGCGGTAGGCGGCGCTTGGTTCGGCTGTGCAGAAGCGTTGCTGCTGCTGCTGGTGGCGTCCATCAGTGCTCTCTGCCCTGTTTATATTGTGGTGGTTTGGCGATATATTGACAATCCAGGATGTATTGGGCGAGTGGTAGAGTTTCCGTGTTGCGCCCTTTAGGGGGGCTTTTCGCACGCGACCGGCGAACCTTTGGCCCCGCAATTGCTCCTGGGTGTTGGGTACTGGTATCACGCTCCTGATGTGCGCATCCCACGGGATCCCTCTCAGACAGCTGTGCAAGATGGGTGAGATCGCTTGACGGCGACGGCCTGACGACCGCTAGCTAGTATTGGGTGGGGTTAGCTATGTCTTGTCTGACAGCGGAGGTCCCCACGATGTCTGTGCGCCCGCTTGGCGAAAGTGGCTCGTTCGTTGCGATCGGAGCGTTACTAACACCCGCTTCTCTTCTTCTCTTAGAGACGCGCGCCGCTTCAATCCTCGTGCAAGCGGTGAGAAAACAGGGAAACAGCAAAGCGCAGCCGCGTAAACCACTGTGACGAACGCAAAATCAACTTCAACGCGTCGGTCGGTCGCGCGAAGCGAAGCCTCGTCTTTCGCACATCTGAGAATTCCCGAAATATGGATCCAGCTTGAACACTTGAAACATGCCCAAAACCTCCTCAAAACCACCACCCCCGACGTTTTCATCCCGCTCAAAGGCTCCGACCAAGCCGATGTCTAAAAGTTCAGCCAGCAGCAACATCACGCCCGAGACCGTCCTCAAGTGAGTTTACGGAGGACGGTGGGAGGGGGGCGAATACCAACGCCTTTCTTGTCGACTTTTACAGATGTTTGCTCATAACCTTCATCGTTTGTCAATAGGTATGACAAACCGTCCGAAGGGTTTCTGTGTCCTATAGATGCGAATAAGTACTTCGAGGTGCGTCGGTTGGGGAGATGTGCGGTCTGGGAGTGGATATGGCATGTGATGTCCGGGATGACCAAGGGAAGGTGTACCCTGCCGAAGCATTCATACTCATGAGTCGATTTCGGCCGCGCACATTCAGTTCCTGGAGTTCCGGATCCGAGATATGGAATCAAACAAGGTGCGGTTTGCAGAAGTTGCGTAGGTTCATATGGGGAACGATCAGAACCATAGATTAAAGAACGCAAAAGCCTAACATCTCCTCGCCTTCCCTCTGCTTACAGATCATATTCGAAGTCCTCCGCCCCTCCCACGAAATCGACTGGACCCACCCCACCCCACCCGGGTAAGCCGCCTTTCCCTCCTCCTTCCCTTGCCTTCCACCCCCTCACCCGCGCCGTCCACAAATATATAGCACCGACGACACCCGCACTATAACCTACACATTCCTCGCCTCCCTCCTCGCCACCCCCACGATCGGCACAACCCTCGTCTTTGCCGTCTGCCCACAGGGTATCCCCAACTTCCGCATGATCGAGCGGCATTATTTCAAAGGGAGGCTGATCAAGGGGTTCGATTTCGTGTTTGGGTTTTGTGTGCCGGGAAGTGTCAATACGTGGGAGGCCGTTTATGAGGTGCGTGTCAGGGAGAGAGGGTGTGGGAATGTTGGGAGGGTGATGCTGATGTCTTCGTCTTTTTTTTTTGGGTTTAGATGCCGGAGATTAGTCAAGAGTTGCGTAAGTACCCCCTTCCCCATCACCCATCATCCATCACTCCCCACCATGGACGCCTAGTATCCAACTCCCGATCTCTTTCATCCCACACAGAACAAGAAATGATAGCATCACCAGACGAAACAACCTCCGATAGTTTTTATTTCATCGACGACCGTCTGGTGATGCATACCAAGGCGCTGTATCGGTATGAGGAGTCGGGGGAGAATGATGCGGGGGATTCCTGATCGGTGTATACCATTGGAGGAAGCGGACAGTACATAGGATTTTGGGTTTTCTGTTCTGTACAAAATGACATATCGCAAGTCAGATCATTGACTTTTTGATGATAACGATGGTTCGATTAAAATGACGAAAATGGAGTAGATACGACAGGAAAGTTGAAATAAATAACCTAGACCCAAATCTCATCCTACGAACTAAGAAAACAAAAATGCACTTTCTGAAGAACAGTAGCCATACGGCCAATGGTGGGTGAGTAATGATAGTATACAGGTGATACGGGGTGATGATGGGGGAGGTGATGATGGAAGTGGAGAGGAATGATGGCGAGGAGTGGAAAATCTTAACGGTGACTGGCGGACCCGTTCCCACGCTTGCCCGAGAACAAGTGCTTGGGCTTCTTGACCTGAATCGCGCGGTCGGACTCTCCAGCTTTGGCGAGGAGGTTGGACCGTGTTTGCGAGCGCTTTTTGATGTTTTCTGCCACCGCTTGTTGCTATTGGTTGGAAGATACAGGTCGTTAGCTATAGTGTAAAAATGACAAGAATGCGAAGAGATACGAGGACACTTACCGAAGAGTTCCGAAGCCCCATAGCACTCCGATCGCGAACCTGGCTCGTCGCCTGCCTCTTATTCGGGTTCTGGCTCTGACTCCTAACAATCTCATCGCCCGCCCGTGATTCCGACCGGGCACGCTTACGAGTCCTGCTCCGTGCGCGCTCGACAGCCGCATCCGACCCGACGCCCATCCCCGCGAGATGCTGCTCCAGCTGGGCCACGTTCCGCCCGACCTGCTTCTTGATCGGGATGACGGGGCGGTTCTTGCCTTTGCCGGCACGGTGGGCCTGCACGATGAGGTCCGTCTTGGCGCGCACCTCCTTGGCAGCCTCCTTGAGCGCGATCGCGTCGTCGTCGAGGATCTCCTCCTCCTCGTTGTAGAACCCTTCGGCAATGAGACGGTCCTCCTCGCGCTCCAGGGCGTCGAGCTTGGCCTCAATGTCCGGGTCGACAAAGTCCATGACGTTCTTGCCGTCCATGATCTCGGGGATGGTGTCGTATCTCCATTCGGGGTCGTCGAGCTGGTAGGGTTTCTTAAGGTCGACGTTGAACACACCGGCGCCGCCGTTGTCGCGCTCAATGTCCTTCTCGAGCGTCCGCCTGTTGGGGTCGTTGATGTCGTACTTGACGCGGGTCTTTGCGGAGTCGGGGATGGCGGCGGGACGGTCGCGGTCGTCACGGGCGATGGGTTGGGAGAGGTGGAGTTTGTTGAGGATGTCGGTGACTTTGCTGCCCTTCATCTTCATCTCGACACGGGAGGCGAGGAGCTTGTCGCAGGCCATGGTTTTGACGTCCATCACACCCTCGTCGGTGAATGTGCTCATTTGGACCATGGTGACGTTGTCCAAAGCCGCAATGTCGTCCAATAATGCCTTTTGCTCAGGCGCCAACTGTTCTGGGCGCATCACATCGATCTTGTTCACGACGAGCAGGGTGGGCTTGTTGGCAAAAAGAGGCTTGATGGCATGAAAAAGCGCCACTTGGTCGGCGACGCTGTAGCCACACTGCTCAGAAAGATCCATGAAGAACATGATGCATGCACGTAAATGGGCGAGGGCCGTGATGGACTGCATCTCGATGGTATTTCTCTCCTCGAGAGGGTGGTCGAGAATTCCTGGGGTATCAATCACCTGAAAAAGAAAGTTTAGCGTCAGAACAGTGATCCATATCGAAGTCGATAATCAAGACAGTCCGTTTCTCGCCTACGCACCTGCCACCTGAGGTACTTGTAATCCATGTGCCCAACAAACAGACTCTTTGTCGTGAAAGCATAAGGCTGCACCTCAACCTCAGCCCTGGTCAATTTGTTCATGAACGACGACTTTCCAACGTTCGGGTAGCCGCACACGAGCAGAGTACGGGTGTTTGGGTCGATAGACGGCAACCTAGCCAAATGCTGTCGGACCTGCTCGAGGTACGCCAAACTGTCCTTCTGCCTCTTCATGATGGTCGCCATACGTCCGAGGGCCGCCTTCTTCAGCTGCTTGCAACGGTAGAGGGAGTCTCCGAATTTCAACAGACGGGCGTAGTCCTTTGCAACATTATCTATCAGGTGTTTTGCCGTGTTGATCTGTCCAAGAGCAAGCTTGTAGTGATCCCTGTCATACAACACGTTCATCAAGTCCGCATAAAACGGGTGGATTTCCTATAGGAAAGAGGGACAAAACTTGCGTTAGCAGTGTTCCGATAGACAATCAACCATCAACCCATCAACCATCAACCCATCAACCCATCAACCCATCAACCCATCAGCAATCAACAATCCAAGATCCACCATCGCGGAAAAGCAGATCGCTAAGAAGTGGTGCTCGCTTCGCTCGCTGAGACTCGCTAAGAGCCGTTGTTAGGGGAAGCGCTCGCTGTTGCTCGCGGAAGGCGTTCGCTCGGGTCGCCTTCGCTACGCTGCAGACTCCCAGAACAAACCAAGACCCCGCCCTACGCTACAGGCCCCTAGAGCGAACCAAGGCCTCACTCCGTTCGGCTACTTACATCCAATTTAGGAAACTCCAACAGAATATGATCCAATTTCTCATCGAAACAATCCTGAGCGAATTTGACTTTCCGCATATAAAACTGGCGAATCCTAGAAATCTGGTAGTGGGCGTGAACGACTGTGGGAGTCTTCCTTTGAATTTTGGAGAGAACAATGTCGACAAAGTCTGAGGCGGTCGGTACCACCTGGACCTTCTTGAAGTTGTAGATTGACATGGCAGTGGTAGTGGGTCAGGGTGGTGGTGCGGGTGAGGGTGGAGGGTCCGGTCCTTAGAGTTGTCGGAATGGGGGAACAAAGGGCGGAATGAAGTAGCGTTCTTAGCGGAAACGCTGGTTGGTCTGCAAAGGCCCGGTTGTGAAAAGCGACCCTGATTGCTTCTAGTCTCTTCTCACACACTCCCTTTCTGTCCGTCTTCAGTTGACAAGAACGAAGTTTATCTAACGGCGTAGTGGACTGTTCGTGTAGGAATGGCAAGGCAGCCAATAAGTTCCTTGAGCCTGCTACGAAAAGAAAAACGAGCGCTGACACACTCTGCAGCAAGCCGAGAGGGAGACTTGCCCTTGCAAATCCTGTTCTGCTAGTCAGTCGCACGGCGTCACACACGCGGATCCCTGCGAGAGCGAGAGTCACGTGGATGAAGAGATCGGGCAGTTCGCTTATGTCATTGCGAGTGGCGCTGAGAAGGCGGTGCATGTGGCTTGCGCCCTGTCCTCCTCGCCTGTTGGGAATGACCGCATGGGACGCCAAAAGGCAAGGTTTTTGGCAACAGGTGGGAAGGCAAGGCATTTCGCAAAGCAGCATACAATAAGTGCTGATTCTCATTACGCTGACCCCCATACTCAGTATCTGCTAGCCCACACTCTCCCTCCCAGAGAAACACCTCGGGTCCCACATAGTAGATCGACAACGGTCGACGCATATAAGCTTACCCAGAACTTTTTCACCTTGCTGAGTTGGACACCTCAACCCTATCGAATTCAACGAACACCATATTGACAAAATGGCCGACGCGGACGTAGATAAGAATGTGGAGCTATGGAAGATGAAGAGGCTCATCAAGAGTCTAGAGGCCGCGAGAGGGAACGGGACTTCCATGATCTCCCTTGTCATTCCGGTGAGTTTCGAGCGGAGCCAGGAGAAGCGCGAGCGACAGGGAACCCCATGGCGGGTTCCGAGCGGTAGCGAGCCTAGCGCGAGCGAAGCGAGCGATGGTAGCCCGAGCGATAGCGAGCCCGACCTTTGCAAACGCCTTCGCGAGCTACAGCGAGCCTCAGATCTTCACGAACGAAAGGAGCGATCTGGTTCTGTTCAAAAGAACCTCGCTGCGCGAGTTTAAACCATCTCGTTGACGGTTGTTGACGGTTGATGATTGATGGTCGGAATACTAGGGCTAAAATTCATGTCCTCGATTCGCAGCCAAAGGATCAGATTTCACGGGTAGCAAAAATGTTGGCAGATGAATACGGAACAGCCTCCAACATCAAATCACGGGTCAACCGATTGTCCGTGCTCTCCGCCATCACCTCCACCCAACAGCGTCTGAAGTTGTACCCACGAGTCCCCAATAACGGCCTGGTAGTCTACTGCGGAACAGTGGTGACCGACGAAGGAAAGGAAAAAAAGGTCAACTTCGATTTCGAGCCCTTCAAGCCCATCAACACGTCTCTGTACATGTGTGACAACAAGTTCCACACGGAAGCCCTCTCCGAATTGCTCGAATCCGACCAAAAGTTCGGGTTTGTCGTGATGGACGGTCACGGAAGTCTGTTTGGAACCCTGGCCGGCAACACCCGCGAGATCCTGCACAAGGTCTCTGTCGACCTACCGAAAAAGCACGGCCGCGGTGGTCAATCCGCGCTCCGTTTCGCGCGTCTGCGTGAGGAGAAACGCCACAACTACGTGCGTAAAGTTGCCGAACTCGCCGTCCAATTCTTCATCACCGCCGACAAGGTCAACGTCGCGGGCATTGTCCTTGCCGGGTCCGCCGACTTCAAGACCACGCTCGCCGAATCCGACCTCTGGGACCAGCGTCTCGCCGCAAAAGTCATCAAAGTCGTTGACGTCTCCTACGGCGGCGAGAACGGGTTCAACCAAGCCATTGAGCTCTGCGGCGAAGTCCTGCAGAACGTAAAGTTCATCCAGGAGAAGAAGCTCATCCAGCAGTACTTTGACGAGATTTCGCAGGATACCGGGAAATACTGCTTCGGCGTGGACGATACCCTCAAGGCACTGGATTTGGGAGCGGTCGAGACGCTGATTGTGTGGGAGGATCTGGATATTACGCGATATGTGCTGAAGAACCCGGCGACGGGCGAGGAGATTGTGAAGCATTTGAATAAGGAGGCGGAGAAGAATTCGGATAACTTCCGCGATCCGGAGAACAATGTGGATTTGGAGACGGTTGAAAAGATGTCGTTACTGGAATGGGTAGGTGTCATGAATGTCGACAGGTATGTTACATCCCTATCCATCTGCTCACCGCCCCACCTCTCTTCATCCAGTTCACATCGGGCCAGCCATCCAAATACAAAGATTTCGGCGCCAACCTCGAGTATGTGACTAACAGGTCACAAGAAGGATCGCAGTTCGTGAAAGGGTTTGGAGGGATCGGGGGCCTGCTCCGGTACAAGGTCGATTTCCAGCAGATGATGTACGATTCGGATGATGAGTACCTTAGCGATTGAGAGGCGTAAATCGATGAGTAGTTGGATGCGTGGGGTTGGGGTTCATTGGGTAAGTGGAATGGTTTCGAGAGGAGGTGCTGCCTTAGGAATGGCTAAGGAACTCATCTGTGGCTATTTTAGAGCAGGATGATTGCAAATCACCAGCTGTTGGCACGAGACTGCGGCGACATGCGGACCCTCGCTCCACTTGATCTAGAGCGTCACATAGAGACCCGCAGCCGCCTCTGTACCTCACCTGCGACATATCTCAAACCCCGACTGGACCGTCTGTCTGTCGCTGAGAACACGATTCACCCACCACCGATTCCGATCGGCTTTTCACCTCTTGTTCTCTCTTGGCCCGTTTTGCATATTTTTATCTTTTTCTCCCACCACCACCACCACCACCACTCTACATGTATAAATATTCGTTTTGATACAGTACTCGCTCGCATGTTGCTAACCCTGTCACCATAATGGATGGGAGAGTGCGGTGAGTCAGGCTCCGAGGGAGACGCCATTGTGTCGCCATGTTGCGCCTTCTGCGGCCCTTGTCCCTTATGCACGCGTGACCCTGTGGGAGCGACCACATGCAGCGCATCCGCCGCCCACCTGCGCTCCCCCTTTTCTGCTTCCACAACCCGTTTTTTTTGGCTGCCCAGAACGTGCGCAATGTTCGCTACTTCTTACTGCTCCTCTCTATTCCACCCGCCATAGCATACGGCTATTTAGCCTAGCGTCAGCTCCTGTTCGCTTCTTGTGTTGGACATTATCTTCTTTCGTATATCCGTGCATACCGTCTTCTGATTCTTGAGGCGGACGTCCACTTCGCCACGGTCTGTTTCGAACCACCGCAAATTTCGAGAGCGGGCACATACATATATACCCCCGGCTCTTATCTTCCCGCTATACCCGGCGCAGCCAACCACAGCAAATATGTCCGCACCCATCCCCTCGCCCCTCACCATCCCTTCCTTCCGCGCCCACCGCCCCTCCGAAGTCCGCCATCCCGCCCCCATCACCGCAACCTCCTCCCCGCGCTCCATCCTCGTCTTCTCTGGCGGCTCCGCAATGAACACCTTCGTCAGCATCCTGCAGGGGTTTACGGATGACACTGCCTACATCATGCCTGTGAGCGATGATGGGGGCAGTACGAGTGAGATTATCAAAGTTTTGGGTGGGCCGGGGATCGGGGATTTGAGGAGTAGGGTTGTGAGGTTGGCGGAGACGAGGGGGTTGGAGGGGAGAGCTGTGCATGATCTTTTGAGTTATCGGTTGCCGTTTGATGAGGTTGGTGGAGGAGCAACACCAAAGCAGAATGGGCATGGAAACGGAACATTAGCGAGCCCGAAGAAGAAGTTATCGGCGAAAGAGGAGTGGTTAGAGATGCTTGAAGGAAGACATCACCTGTGGGACGGCATCTCACACCCGTATCGCGAGACGATCCGGACCTTCCTCGCCCATTTCCAGCACGAACTCTTCCGCTCGGCCACACGCAAACCGCTGTTCAATTTCCAGGGCGGATCCATCGGCAATTTCTTCCTCACGGGCTCGCGGTTGTTCTTTGACAACCTCGACGCGGCGGTGTTTCAGTTCATGCGGATCATGCGGGTGCCGCCGCGTACCGAGGTCGTGCCGGTGCTGACGACGACAAGGGGCGCGGTGGTGATTGCGGCCGCGCAGAGGGATGGGGGGGTTATTTATGGGCAGTGTGAGATCTCGCATCCGGGGCAGGTTATGCCGGAGGGGGCGAGGACACGGTCGGGGTCGTTGAGTGCACGGGGAGGTATAGGTACAACGGGGCGGAATGGTCCGTCGGCGGCGGCTGCATCACCGACAGGGATAACGACAGGGATAACAACAACACAATCGTCACTACTGTCAACAGAACCCACCCTCATCCCCTTCACCTCCGTCACGCGCAGCCCCTCCCAAAACCTCATCTACTCCAAAACAACCTCCCAATCCCTCTCTTCCCCCCTCCGCCGCATCTACTACGTCAACCGCGAGCGCCAGGAAATCTTCCCGGACATCAACCCCGTCGCCGCCGCACAGCTCTCCCGCAAACGCACAATCATCTACGGCTGCGGATCTCTGTATACATCCATCCTGCCGTGCCTCGTGGTTCCGGAGGTCGGACGCATGCTTGCGGATAACACGAAAAGTGGGGGGATTGCAAGTCCGTACCCGATCAGGGATGGTACACCTCCCGCGGCCCGTGTGAAACTACTCCTGTTGAACGGATCTCACGATCGCGAGACGGAGGGGTACACCGCCCTCGATTTCGTGTACGCCATCACCGACGCGCTCAATTACTCATGCATGGTCGAGCAGAAACGCGGGACGGCACATCGACCCTCCCTCCCGGACATCGACGGAAACTCGTCCCTCCCGTTCACCCGCGACCGGGACGGCAAGCCCGTCGGTCTCGACTGGTGGGTCTCCGCCACCAGTCCCACCAGTAACGGCCACACGAACTCAGAAGACGACGACGAGGGCCTAACAATGCGCACCTCCCGCCTCTCCCTTACAAATTCACAACACAAAGCGGAAATCCTGACAGCAGACTCGGGCCGCACCTACCTCGGCTCGCCACACCCGCCCGCGGCCTACATCACGCACCTGCTGTACCCGGAGGACGGGGAGGTGAGGATTGATGTGGAGAGAGTGGAGGCATTGGGGATTCGGTGTGTTCGGGTGCGCAAGGCGGCGCGGAGTGTTGGGCTTGGGCAAGGGAGGGGGTTGTATGGAGTTGAGGAGTTGGGGGAGGTTTTGGATTGTTTGGTTATCTAAAGGGTATTTTTTTGGTGTTTGATGAAGGTCGCGAGGCTGGTGAGTTGATGTTGAAGAGGTCGGCGGCAGGACCTGCCGACGTCTGAGGTCTTTGTGTGTGCTGCAATCTATATCTTTTTTTGGAATTGTGCGTTTGTTCCTTGGTGGACGGAACCTGATGTGTACTTATGTAAATTGATTGATTGAGTTGACTCGATGGTTGCCTGGCATGAACCTCTTCTCCATGGACAGAACCTGTTCATTCATGCTTTTTTGCGAAAGCTACGAGTTGGTTCTGGACTTAAAAACATCGGTGGAGGCTCGGAGGGCAAGGCCTTTTGACGGGGCTTCCCGCGCGTCAGAAGTTTTGACAGCGAGTGGAAACAATACCAGCCCTCCAAGCACCTTCTGCACGCAGTAAGTTTCCTTTATGACACACTAAATGTGGGCCATCGGTCTGTCAGGTATATTCACAGCGGCGTAGATGTCTCGGGCGTCCTTTGTACAACATTCTCCACCGCAACCGAAAGCCCACAAGCACCTCCCAGAAACAAAATGTCCAATAAAGCGCGCATAAGCCCCGTCGAACCCGCCCCGACCCCCTTCCACCGCCTCACCCAAGCCCTCAACCCCACCGATCGCCCCTGGGCCTGCTCAGCCGACGGGTTCCGCCTCATCCTCCCACACGGCCTTGACCACGCGCGTCGCATAACCGAACGTGCCGGCAAAAAAATCGCAGCGGGGTGGGATGGCGTTGTGGTCGTGCCATGGAGTCCCGCGGTGGATATCAGCAGAGTGGCTGCGGCCGCGAAGACGGTGGTTGTTGCGGTACCTGCGTTTCTGTGGACGCCGGCGTTTACGAAGTTTGTGGATGCCCAGGAAAATGTTGGGATCTATCGGTTGAAGAGGACGAGCGTGAGGGGGCATGTACGGACGGAGTTGAGCGAGGTTCAAAAGGGGTTTCTTACCGTTAAGGCCAGCAAACTGTTGACGCGCGGGGGGAATGTACATTATATAGAATAGGCGACCGTCGTCATGTGTCCCGGCACTGACACCGGGTGCACAAAGGCGTCCTGCGGCGACCGTACCGAAGGGTTGGGGGAGTGTCAGGGCGGCGCACTTATATTGGCGATATTCCATTCCCCGAAAGAAGAACGATGGACAGACGGCTTCCTATAGTCCGAGCCAAGGTAAGTAAAATGTCGCCAGCAGCCCCATCCTTTTCACGTGAGTGCAGAGATGTTCCCCTGTCCAGAAGATGTATGCAAAGGAGTCCCGCCTGTACAGGCACGTTCCCTCGGACAAGTGCTAGGACGTAAGCGTAAGAGCCTTGCCAGGGTTGCCTGAGTATACAGTCAAACAGTCCCGAGGCCATTGCTGGCCTCCGCCACACATCACCCATGCCAAGTGGGAGAGACTCGCGCCTATACAGGCACGTTCCCTCGGACAAGTGCCAGGACGTAAGCCAGCCTTGCCAGGGTTGTCCCAGTATACAGTGGGACAGTCCCGAGCCATTGCTGACTCCCACACACTCAGCAATCACTAGTCAGGTGGGTGAATCAAAGCGCCAGTACTTATCTTTTGGCTTGTCTTCCGCGATGAGATGATTGGCGCACGCGTTGTTTGGTGGCAAGGACGAGCCGCAGAGTTTTGTTGCGAGTTGCCACTTTGAAGCTAAAGCTTTCCGAGAGGTCCCTTGCCGTGTGAAGGAGATGATCAAAATCGCTAAAGCACTCTCCTTCCTGAATGGTGGGGGGTTGTTGAGGTTGCGCTCGTCGGGTTGCTGGTTGCGCGCGATGGGATGCCACATACAGAACCGACAGTTGGTTCGTGTCCGGACAGCTCGGACATCGCGTTGGTGTCGCGGGCGGCGCGTTTGAACGGCGAACGCCCAACGGCCCCCCAACCGCAAACTTTCGCCAGCATCGCACACAGAATGGATCGCCCAGAGTCAGCCTTGAGCGCTGCTGACTTTCTCTCCGAAAATCCAGGCGGCACGAATCACGAATTCCTGCAGTATCTGGCGGATCTCCGAGCTAAGGAGGTCAAGTACTCGCAAAGGTTGACAGCGGCGGATACCCGCAAGCTCGAACATCATGCCCGCAGACTCAAACGTTTGCGTCGACTCGAAAGCACGGTGAGTATCCTTGCTCTTGCAAGCTACCAAGCAGGCTTTCGACTCATTAGACTTTCTAGAGCGAAGCAGATTTCGCTGCGGCAAAGGCGGAGACTGCAGACCTGCAAACGAAGGCAGCGGATGCCCATCAATCCCTGTCAACACACGTGGCGAGCCTGTCGGCTCCACACAAGACGCTGATGAATCACGTGTTTGTTGCGATGAATCCCTTGCGGACTGAGTGAACCAATGATGTTTACTATCTCATGCCCTTCGCAATTCTGCCGTTCGTCAGCCTACGCTACGGGGATGGCGCTTCGGCGGCGGATCGCGACGACAACCGGTTGCGGACGTCAAAGGGGATCGGCAAAAAGGTCGACTACGACTACTTTGTGGGATCGCGCGAGCTCGGCGCGGGGGAGAACTCGGGAGATTCCCCCACCAAAGAAAAGGTCAACGGGGATCTCATCGCCACTATCAAGGTGCGAACTCGTCACTTTAGAAAGAATCCCCAATACTCACACTTCTTTCACGCTATAGCTGGCGATCAGCCAGATCCGCAAAGTCAAGAAAGAGGTGCTCGCGGATCTCCCTTTGTCGGATCGCTGCAAAGATGCGACCAACATGGCAGCGATGATCGCCCCTCCTTTTTTTGTTGTGGAACGCCATATGATCCACTTCTTTGTTCTTTGTGAGATCGGCAGCGAGATCTTCCCGGTCAAAAAATGCGGAGCGATCCCCTTTGGCTCGGCGCACCAGGATCTCCTGCCCTTTGCGGGGCTTGCCCGGCAATTTTTGTTGTTCCAGGTGAGGTCCACAGTTCTGTCTGTCTCTCAACCTGCTCTGCTGATCCCATATGTTCATTAGCAATTGGCGATCCAGGCGAGCCCCGCCGCGGACTCGGCCAAGCTGCGTACGCAGGAGGATCTCGCGCTCCGCTTGCCCGTGCCGGATCACACTTTCGTCCCTGCCTATGCCGTTAGTCGACACGCGGGCGAGCTGGACTAGGTTTCTGACGTCTGGGAGGCGCTCAAGTCCATTTCCACGATGCCATGCCGGGCGCCGAGGCGTTACTTGATGCCGAGCCTGTATTAGCCCCAACAACTAGGTCGGAATGGCATGAGGATTTCGAGGAGGCGAGTGGACCGGGTGCCTCAGAAATGCCACGAGATTGCTGTGAAAAGTGTCAAGCCGACCGTGCTTAACTTGGCGGTGTATACAATCCCTTTTGAACGTGCCTCGTCCTCTTATGGGGAGGCGGAGGACCTTTGCCGGTCACTCCCATAAAGAAGGATCTTCTTCTCACCAAGGCCATGAGGAAAGCGAGCGTCCCAATCCCCGGTCCCACGCCCGGCAAACTGAGGCGAGCGGATCCCCCGCAACACGACTCCCCGACGTGATCCCCGTTTCCCCGCAACGCGGATTCCCTACAGCATTTGATCCCCCACATTATATGATATTTTTTTTTGATATGATAGGGATTTGTTAAATCCACGGCCTCCATATTAGATCCACGGCTTTCCGAAAAAAATTAGCGCCACGGCCTACATAATTAGGGACACGGCCTGGCATCGCAGTGGAAGCTGAATACGGATCTGAGGGCACGCAGACAGCCTGTGTCCCGATCCTTTTGGGTCTCCTTTCCGTTCTCGGACAATGCGTATCTCGACCGGGCGAAGATGTGGTGCACCTTTCGAAACCCGAGCTGAGGCACATGCTGGAGCAAATGTGCGATTCGGATATATGGGCTCACGTGTGCCATACTTACGACGCGGACGCCGACCTGCCCAACGACAACCTCGAGGAAACCAACGTGCTCCAGATCTCGGTCCAGTGTGGAAGCCAACCCCCACCCGCTTGCGTCCCCAACGGATTCGCTGCTTCCCTCTCCGATCTTCAACGAGGATCCTTGCTGGACGCGTATCTTGCTGGCCTGATAGATCTCGATGGGCTCAAGGCGACCCGCGACGTATTTGCATCACGGGTCCGCGGGGGCTGGGTGCAAATAGCACCGTATCACGGCCTTGATATGCATCCATCGTTCGGTTTGATGAAGCCTCAGAAACCCAAAGCCCACATTGCCGCTTGTCTCGTTAAGACGCTGGTACCAGGGCTGAAATGCGAAACTGGAGAGACCAAGCCCTCGATTGTCACTTCGAAACTTGGGTCTGGCACAGGGTGCGGACAGCAGCCGGAAGAGACACATTTGATCATCTCCTCGCTCCTCGGACCCGTGACGAAAGGAGACATGGCAACGGTGTTTGCCCCTGAAAACGATCTCACGGTCTCCGGGACAACAATGGACCAAAAGCCGCCCGGTAACTCAGCAAGCAAGGACTTTCTGGTCTCTGCTGTAGTGAACCGGATCGCTGTCAGGCAGTGGATGTGCATCTGCATCACGGCGCGGGCGGACTTTCTTGAACGTCTAGCAAAGTGTCTGAACATTGAAGTCGCCGTCTTCGACGAACCGGTCACGGCAAAGCCGTTGATCGCGGCACTGCTTCTTCTTCACTTCTCCGCAGCCTTACCGATGCCGGCTCCACTTCGCAACTGCAGCGGTGGCGAGACTACCCACCTTTAGCACGTTACCCATTCGTAATCACGCCCACGCAAGCGGAGTTGCTTACGTCACGCCTGACCGAGATGTTTGACAGTTGAAAAAAGTGTCAACCAGATCAGTTCAGATCCACAAGTTCAGATTCTACTGTTTTCAATCAAGAAATCCACGCCACTTAGTCGAAAGTAGAATCCATATCCAAACTCAACCCTAATCTCTCGTACAACGTAGCATCAACGGTCTATGCAGCGCCCGTAAACCGGCCCGTCATGGAGGATACGGGGTATACTAACGAATATGAGGAGCTCCACGCGCAATCGCATCTCGCAGTCGTGTTCGAGATATCGGACATACACTGAAAGAGGTCCTTCCACCAAAGACCTCCTGCGTCAGAATCAGTTGAAATCGCATGAGCTCAGCAATATGAAAAGAGCCGAAGACACTCACTCGATGGGCTTTTCCGTCTCGACACCAAACGCTTTATTGATATGGAACCCAATGCTATCATTCCGGGGTCATGGACCACCGTCCCGCCATCTGAAACGTTCACACTGGGCAATGGAGTCGTCCTCCTATCTGGGACGACCTACAGGCGGATAGAGGTGCGATCGGGTTGAGAGTCGTCTGTCCGATTATTGTTGCCACGACAGGGGGTAAAGAGGGGAAAACGGATGATAACGAGAAAGACTAGGCGCAGCACGGGATCCAGTCCGCTGAAGCAACGTTGTCTAAGCCCTTCGTGGTCAACGTCCTGCCAACAGATTCTGGAAAGAAGGGCGTGTGCACTACCTAGAAGAAGGGACAACGGGACGGCGTTTTGCGGCTTTCCCCGGGGGTCGGTTACTCAATTAGTGTGAGTAGACTGAGGAGAAGCTGTTCAAGCATTTTATGGCGGAGAACCGTTCGACCACCGTTCTGGCGGATGCCAACTGGTTGGGGAAAAGTGAGGAGGTTCTCGAGAGAATCTTTTGCGGATATGAGGAAGAAAGAAGGCATTGCTGTACAAGCTCTTTCGAACAAGGACGGGTTAGAGATGAAAGAGAGAATCGCCTTCTCCGCGGGAACTTCTCGATGTAGGCTTCCGCATCGAAAAGGTCGCGACCGCCATTCGAAGTACGAAACATGACGATTTGGGACTAAATGGGTGTACATATATCAGAAATTGCGTGTGTATGCATCGTACGCTCGAGTTGTGTGGCGGTAGTGACAAAGGAAAGAACTCATTATTATATAACATAATAAGGAGGACATTGTCATTTAGCCAACTCTTCAAGTTGCGTGCATCAGTACGTTTCATCGGTACAGATCACTATATGTATGAGCGGTTGGCCGCTACCGCTACGGAAACGGTCAACGTCCCTTTGCCAGACAGCTAAAATCGGTCTTTCGCCGTGTGCTCGGTCGTACAGTAGTTGAAAGTTCTGATGACGAAGAGACCTGCTGTTATCCTCTGGATGCCAGCACATCGCAAAACGTTCAAAAGGTCTCTTCAAAAAATTTTGCTTATATGGAGAAATGGACGTCCAAAAGGTAGGCCGTGACATGCTATTCGAGAAAGAGATTAAGAGCGTGGACCGACGGTCATCCAGCTTCATAGCACCGGCCGGACTGCACGTTGCCATGGCTGACACAGGCCGTTTGGAATTCTACGTAACAGAGGGTTCCGAGAGCTGTTCCGTTCCGTCGCTTGAATTGTTGACTTTGACTGCCGTGGCCCGCAGATGTCTGCCTGATGAAGAAAGAGCAAGGCTCACGCGTCCAGAACCCGCCCGGCCTTTGATCGACAAAACCGATGGCCCCCCAAATTCTAATCATCTGCCTAAACCAACATAGCCAAACGTTTTCCATCTTTTAGCTGACGCTTGTTTGCCAATCGAGCGTGCTCAAAACGTACGTACGTGAGGACGTGAAGTTCACATCACAAACATAGGAAATTCCCACGCCCACAAAACCCTTGCCATTTCTACCTCAGCACCCGCATACTACCTCAAGCGCCGTATCTATCTCTCATTGTTCTTCCGACATCGGAAACCGCTAGGGAACGGAACGCTTCTAGTGGCACTCCTACGCGTGGTAAACAAGCAACCGTGCCCGTTAGCTCCACAGAGGAACCAATTATCTGCTCGCGCGCCTAGGATGAGGGAATACAAACTTGTTGTGCTGGGATCCGGAGGTGTGGGAAAGTCAGCTTTGGTATGTTGCCTGGAAATGGACGCGGGGATTGGGGGACGATGGGTGTACAAGATGATTCCTTCTGCGGGATTATGCGTGGCAAGAGCACCGCATAGGTGATGAAGCGAGGTGTTTGCAACTTAGGTTGCGGGCATTATTGCAGAGAGGTCCCGGAGATGACACCCGTAGCTTATACCAGGAAAAGTTGTTCTCCAAACCGTCCCATAACCCCTACTCTGACCTCCTGACTTCTGTTACTGTGGCTCACAGACAGTGCAATTCGTCCAATCCATCTTCGTTGAGAAATATGATCCTACAATCGAAGACTCATACCGGAAGCAAGTCGAAGTCGATGGGCAACAGTGCATGTTGGAAATTCTTGACACGGCAGGAACAGGTACGTACTGACACACATCGAAAATCTCACCATGATACACCATGTTTCTGATGCGTCGCGAATGAATTTCGTCGTAGAGCAATTCACGGCGATGCGTGATCTCTACATGAAGAACGGCCAGGGATTCATACTCGTATACAGCATAACATCGCAAGCCACTTTCAGCGATCTAGTCGAGTTACGGGAGCAAATCTTGCGAGTGAAAGATACCGAGAAGGTGAGATACGGAATTGCGCTGGCTGCCATCACACGCGTAGCTGCTGGGTTTCCGCTCAATGTTGTTTCCCACGGATTTTCAGGTTCCAATGGTGCTAGTAGGGAATAAATGTGATTTGGAGGACGACAGAGTGGTATCAAGAGATCAAGGGGGCGGTCTAGCGTCCCAATGGAGCAGCACATTCTTGGAAACGAGTGCACGGAAGAAGATAAATGTCGATGAAGTGTTTTTTGACCTGGTCCGTCAGATCAACCGGAGTATGCCAGACAAGGTACGGGCTTGGGGTATCATGTCGATGTGAAGGCTAAATCCAAACTGATTGGCAAAATTGTATTCGCAGGACAAGAAGAAAGACAAAAAGAAATGCATCATCCTGTAGGAGATATCCTCGCGCGACCTTCCTGTTCAACCCGAATCAGCTCCAACAACCCAAAAGGCCTTTGACCTGATTCTCTCTCAACGACCGCGCAAAACCATTACTTCTCCAAAAGCAAAGGCGGAACGACACCCACATATGCTTTTGGAGGGTTGTGTGTACTGCGTGACTGTCAAATTACTCTAGATACCCGACATTGGGCTTTGCTTGGGGTGTTTTGGGGTGGGAAAGACGATCGATGTAGGACGCGCTGGCCACCGTCCAGGACTCCAGAGACGTGCCTTTGCGTAGTCTGTTGGTGATTGTGCAATGACTGGCTTCGTTTCCTTAGGATATCGCATCTTACGTTGTTATGTTACCTTTTCCTTTTGTTTGTTTCGTGATACCAGTGGTATATGTGGAATATCCCGCGTAATAACTATCGCGTTAGCCCGTGTCCCTATCTGAGTCAAAACCTAACTTTACGCCGATGATGAAACGAAGAACCGGTAATGAAGCTCCGCAAAAGCAGCTAGTCTATCACTCCCATATCTCAACCCACGCATTCCTAATCAACTGCACAGATTCTTCATTTCCAGTCTCAAGTCCCCGAAGTCGTTGCAGAACCTGCTTCACCGCCTCCCGGCACGTGGGCGAAATCCTGATACGCCCGGTTTTACTTCGTCGGTCAGCCGTCTGCGATGAGGCGCTGGTCGTACACTCCAGCAGACGGATTAGACGTTTGATAATCTACGCAGGTCATTGTGAGCATTAAATGAGCCACCAAGATGCGGACAACATATGAAGACGGCTGCCATATGAATGAGCACATACCTGTTTTCTAGTGGAGTCTTCAACTCCTCCATCCCTAGAGAGCATCCGCGGCAACGCAAGCACCATCTCGCATCTCGCTCCCTCCCACCATCCCTCCCCGCCATCAACCACAACGCTCATCACATCCTTATCGTCAGCAGCGTCATCCTCACCCTCCACATCCCTCCCAACAATAATCCCCGCCGCCGCACGCTGCCACGCCATCTCCACGGCTATCCCTATCTCCGCAACGTCTGCATCGCCACCCACCGAAGCAAGCAGCAGAATAATGACGTCCATCACAGTGACGACCCATCTCGCCCGCGCGTTCAAGCCGTCCCCACTCCGGCTGGGCGTCATGTTCTCAACACACGTGCACAATGCGTCGATGGCGGCGCTCCACAGTTTTGGGTTGTCTGGGGAAAGGAGGGCGGTGCGGGTGCTGTGCATGAGGAGAGCGGGAGGGGATGTGAATGAGCTGGAAAAGTGAGTGGAGAGATGCGTAAGGATGTGCGGGTTCGCGGGTGCGAGTTCAGCGAGGCGGGCCAAAGTGTGTGTCGGGGGTGGGCTGGTGAACGTGGAAATCAGGTACGAGAGGGCAGCTACGTCGCTGGCGATGCATGTGACCAGGGAGCGGATTGTACGAATTTGATCGGCTGAAGACGGCAATGAGGGAATGTTGGCGTGAGCGCGGACCAGGACCCGGAGAAGGTCGGAGCGTATTGTTGCCTGGTTGCCATTTGACGCATCCGTGGTGGCTGTGAAATGCGGCAAGATAGCTCTCGACAACTGAAGCTGAATATCCTGATGCTCAGCTTTCTGAGTCTCCTTAAAAACCGCTAGGATCGCGCTCTCAAAGATCTGTAGGACTTTGCTTCCCGCCACCGGTGCAGAAGAAGGAGGGCTGGTCTTCGTGCTGTTCTCCTTCCCAGCATCCTCCTCATCAGGATATAGCCCTCCAAGCTCCAACAATTTCGGTACGCCTTTTTCGGTCGCAAGCAGTGCATGTGCCTCCAAATCGGATGCATCGCGCGCACGAGCGACAACGTCGGATATCGCAGACAAACAGAAGCCGACCAAGGATCTCGCAGATGTCGGCGACGCGTGCTTTGCGGCAAAATCCAAGCAAAGAGATTGCATCTCTTGCTTGGGTTGTGCATTTTGCACTTGCTTGATTAGAACCGGGGTCCAATCGACGGGCGGAAGTGGTACATCCACCTCGATGAGAACTTGCACCATGGTGAGGATACCCTCGGGCGTCGATTTGACGTTGAGGGATCCCGCGAGTAGATCCCATACACCTTTCAGGTAACTGGACCCAGAATGCAGTCTGTTCAAGTTCGCAGGATCCTTCTTGCTCGCTTGCACTTCACTCGCGGCACCGACAACTTCTCTCCGATCGGTGTTTTCCACCCGGCATTCCGAAACGATCAGTCCAAGCACCCACCCCGCCACTCGCGCGATCTTGGGCTCCGGTCCCATGACTAGCGTCCGCAGTGTATCCGCCGTCCGGCGTAAATCACTTTGATCAGCATCTACATGCGTATCGTGGGAAGCAACACTCCAGTCCATGCCCAGCATAGGAACGACGGCCAAAGTGTTCGCAATACGAGCGTTAGCAGACATCGCGGGTGAAGTTAGGAGACTCAGAGTACTGGAAATCGGTTCCTCGACCAGTTGTGGATCAGTCGCGCGAATCCGAGCTTGGAACGCGCGCGTGTAAGATACAAGCACGTGAGGGTAGCTCGAAGCGAAACTTCGTTTGCCGGCTGCCTTCTGGACGCATTGGTGTAGGAGCACTACGATTCTATCGGAATCTTCATCATCCACCCAGTGGTTCTTGACGGCCACTGATAACAACCAGGCCGCTCCTTCTATCGCTGATGCTCCTTCCGTTTCCGGGATGAGGTCATCCTTGAATTGCGCTAGATGCAGGATACAATCGTGCAACATCTGCTGAACGGACTCCTTCTCTTCGTCATCTGCTTCGGACATTTGCGCTAAGATCGAAGCCAATCCCATGTAGAATCCGGTTCGAATTGTCATCGGGCTTCCTGCTTCGTAGCACAGATTCTTAGCGGTCGCTACTTTCATCTGGCTAGTTCCCGTCATGGCAGCCAGCCCATATGCGGATGCAAACTGGCTCCATTCGTGTTCGTCGTTCTTGGCGCGCACGCCTTGCTCGAATACCGCAATAATCCGCTCCGTTCGCGTCTCATCTCTGGATCTGAACGTGTTGGCCAGATGTGCTAACGATATCTTGGCAGCAAACTCTACGTCGTCCCCACACTGTACGTCGTTCACTTCCGCAGCTGTATCGCCGCTCAAATACTTGACAATCAGCATATCCACCATACGCGAAGCTTGCTCTGCCGCTTCTGAGAGTCCTAGCCTTGCAGCTGCCACAATAACTCCAGCGGCAGCTAGGAGGATCGATACCGTTGTAGAGGGAACCCTCGACTCGGCAAGCTGCACATCCAGTAGGTCTGCCACGAGCGCAACAAAAGTCTCTCCAACATGTTTGATCCGATCCTTCTTCTCCGCTTCCAAGTCTCCCAAAGGAGTACCGTCCCGTTGACGCCTATCCCCATGAAACTTGAATATCGCGACGAGCGCAGAATCCCAGTACTTTATCCAAGCAGGGATCGCTTCCAGTCTGAGGATCGAGTTGTCACCTAGTGCGAAATCGCGGAGTGCGCTGCTCAGGCGGTTGAGCGGCGGGAGGTCTCCTTTGCGGGTGCTCGGTTCATGCCTTCTCAAGGCTGTGGAAGGAGTAGTCGTCATCAAGCCGAATGCTTCAGTTCGACAAAACAGAAGAGTAAGCATCGTTGTCGCCACATAACCAGCGCAAGGCTATCCTGACTCACCTGTCAATCCAGACCTCAGGCCCGGCTGAGCCCTACCACCATCCCAAACACCGGTAACGTCTGCAACGATATCCTTCAAAACGTCTTTCGTCTGCCCTGCACCGTCCCGTTCTCGGGTCCCTTCCAGTCGAGCTCCTCCTACAGCCGCTAATCCTTTGAAGACAGCACGTCGCATGTTGATGCATTCGTGCTCGATTAAGCTTGCTAGCAGAAAAGCAGCTGATTTGACGGGATTGGGGTCGGTAGCAATGGAGGTCACAAGCTCGCGGGGCGAAGGTAGCAGCGGATATAGATCTGGGGGGGCAAACGAGGCTAGGGCTTTCCAAGCCGCTTCACGGACGTCCGAAGTATCGTGCTTCGTCAGTGGCATAAGACACTTCTCGATAATCTCGGGCTTGAAGGTTAGGTATGCTTCCGATTGATCGTCTTTCGCCGCTACCAACGCATAAAAGGCGCAGATCTCCACGAGAATTCCGGCCGGGAGAGCCGCGCCCGATTGTCCGACGTAGTGATGCATGAACACATTCCAGACCGCTCGAGGATCTGCTACATCCTCCTCAACACATATGTTAGTCGCTTGCAATGCATAGACTGCAGTTGTCGGATGCAAGTCAGTCGACTGCAGCAAAGAAAACAGCACCGGCAATAAATCCTGGCAACAGTTTGCGGCTCTCGTTTGACAGGCATCCCTTATTGTGACTGCGATTGTCACTTCCATCTCGACCTCATCCGCCCACGTTTGCTTTTGAGCCCAACGAATCGGGCGTCCGTGTTTTCTCCGTTTGACCCAGGTCACCAGGTGTCCCTTTAGCTGGGGCCAAATCCTCGGCTGCCTCTTCCAGATTTCGAGCAAGATGCGGATGCCGATGCCGCCCAGGGGACTAGTTCCGACGTCACTTCCGTTACCGAGGAAGGATTGCACGACGTTGAGGACGCGAGATGTTACGAATGCATCGTTGGCCTCCACTAAGGAGGGGAAAACGCGCAGAAGGATATGCATTTGGACACGCGCAGATGGGTCGTTCTTCAAGTTGTAGAGCAGAAGTGGGAGAGCCGACATGCATAGGGAAGGAGATGCAGGGAAGAGCTTCGAAAGCTTCGTGAAAGCTTTGATTCTTCTGTCTTCGTGCGCATGGAATGTCGATGCTGCGGCAATGTATGCCTGAAGCGAAAGGTCTGAGCTGCAGACAACAGGGACTTCATCTGAAGTTTCCGGAATGCGCATCAGAGCACCAACAGCGGACAGCAGTACTGCTAGTTTGCCTGAGACCGGAGTCCCATCCAGCCATTTCTTCTAAGAAATCACATCGCATGAATAATATTGACACAGGCAAAGTGTTTTGTACATGCAATTCACATACATCAAACGCATTGCTCCCTCCATCGTTCATCTTTCGCAGAACTGCACGTTCTAAGATGGTGAGAATGTCGAAGGCTTTTCGCTTGATTTGGTTGTGAGAACTCTCTGCCAATGCCTGAAGAAGTGGTAGGACAGCTGCCGACAGCGGCCCTTGTATCTGGAAATTGTCGACCTCCATGACTCGGATCACTTGTAGCATCAGCTGAACGATCACCCCTCCCTGGTCACTGTATTCGGCAACTCCAAAAAGGCAGAAAGAGAGGGCGGAGAAGAGGCTTAGCTGAACTGCACCGTCCAGTTTACGATCTTGAATGATCAGACGAAGATAGGAAAGGGGCAGTGACAAGGATCTTCCGTTTGCTTCGCAATCCAGCAGAAAGTTGAGCAGACGATAGATTACGGGCGTCGTCGATCCTGTATCGGTTCTCGACGGTTGCGTGCACAAGAGCGATAGGTTTTCAAAGATCGTGATCTGCGTAGTGATACAGCCGTTTCCGACAATTGGCAGGTCATCCAGGATCTCACACAAAATCCGAATCAAGTCTCCTGCGCATGCTCGTTCCGGTGAGGCTCTACAAAGCACTGCTAGCACAGTTGCTTGCGACTGCCCAATGAGCACATCTGGCAACATCGCCGCCTCCAGACACGTGTATCGGATGAACGGCTCCAGCATTCGGTGCACAATCGTCCCGTCTCCTGCGACATTGAGCATTCTCCGCAACTCGACGATCAAATCTGGCCAAACCTCCGGCCGCGCAATCACTAGAGGAACGAGCGGATGTGCTCTGCGAGTTTTTACACCAAAAGGAGTGGCGTATGCAAAGGTTGGCGTCGCTTTCCGCTGTCTTTCCTGGAGTTGAACGTGTAACGACAGCAGCTCCGACACTAACCGCACCGCATAGGCCAATGACTGCGAGGGTACCGTCGATATCTGCCCAACGACCTGGTTTATGGCTTCGTGCCAGTCCAATATCCCGTTTTGAACAAGGGAGAGAATCGCTTCCCCACATCTTGCTGCTAGAAAAGCCGAGTTCCCTTCACTTTCGTGTAGCAGACCTTGCCATAAGAGTTGAATCGGAGAGTGTTTATCACTCAGCTGAGTGGGTCTCTCGGATATCGCCGCCGTAATTGAGATCACTGTCGAACTCTGCAAGCCACGGAGCCTATGCTGCAATTTTCGCCGCAAACTCTGAAGGTCGTCCATCGCAACAAGACCCAACGCTCTTCAAGAACGTGCAATTCCGGGAGGGGTTATGTGAACGTCAACTCGTTTTGTAGTCCTTTCCAGTAGGAGCTAACCTCCTCTGCCTCTGCTACAGCCAAAGGCAAACACGAACGCTGGCAGAGTCTCAGGAGATTTCATCCTTGTCAAAAGGAACTTGAAAATCGTCGCGTCTGGTCCAGCGTCGGGTCCAGCGTTTGGTCTCTGGGAACTCGCTTTACCTCACGATCTTCGCAATTGTGCTTGAAATTGCGATTGAAAAGGTACCACGTTGAACCCCTACCACAACGAATATTTCGACTCAGCGCAACGCTTCTTCGCCACCCACATCGACTGTGAAAATGGTCAAAGATCTCCTTACTTTCACGGTGAAGTCCGTTGTTTATGGCGGCACAATAATAGGAGCGGGATATCTCATAATGAAGGCTACCGTTCCTTCTAACGAAGACATGGCACAGGTGTGTCCTTCAAATCGTTTGCGGAGAGAACAGCTTTCCTTTGTGAATGGCTGATGTATCTCTCATTGCCCTTCTCGAATTATCAGAGACTGAGAGAGTCAGGCCGTGCAAGCCACTTTAACTCACCGGAAGACAAGAAGAAACTATCAGACTTGGCGGCTCTGATAAAGGAGAATGCTGGTAGCGACAGACCGGCCTGGGACGTAAGAGTGTAAGTACAAGAAATCATGGGAAGGGAGTCTGATTGGTGGTGGAGGACGGAAGTATTCAACAAATCTTGATCTGTCTGATAGGATCGATTCCCAACGAAAGTAGGGCGAGACGAGGTGAAGGAACTATTGATATACTAGGGGAGATTAGGGCATAGCACGGGAAGTGTTTTGTAGATCATTTAGATAGCGACCAGTGAAATTCATGCAGTTCATTGGGCGAAAGAGTTTTTGGAATCCAAAAATCATATTAGCAATCTCAAAGCGCACAGTATTGCTGACATTCGCGACGGAGAGCGTTCCTATACGAGGGCTGCGGTGGACAGTGACGAGCGACAGGCCAAGCAACCTCTAAGATTGGCAGATAAGCTGGGAAACGACAAGCTGGTCACCGAGGGAGGAACTACAAGACGCGCGGCAAGGTCTTGGAGAACGAATCGGAATCAATGGACAAGATATTGATGGGCTTCTTGGCTTCTTGGCTGGTCATGATCGAGGAATGCTCAAGTGCTTGATGGGAAATATCTGGTCGGTGGCTGTGAGAGAGTGCCTCCGCGATCGGATGCCTGTTTGAAACATATTCACAGCTGGGTCAAGAGATAGCTTCTGCAGCGGTACTTGGGCGTCCGGAGACACGGCTGGATCGTAGTGCACCTGGGCACACCGGGCGCGCTCTCGTGCTCTCAAGGGGGAAGTCTGCGGGAAGGCTTTTACAACGCCGGGCAAGTACGCCAACCATCTGTACAGCACATCTGGCCCAACTTGACGCTCACCGGCGAGCCGGGATGTCATCGAGTCTACCGTCTGGGCCGCGCAACTAGCTTATGCGGGCGGAGGGGTACAAGTCATGAGGCCAACCCACTGTGGCCCCTGCCCTCGTCGGCGCCATGGGCAAGAGACACATTTGGAGACCTGGATGTGATGCCGGTGAATGGAGGGGCAAGTAACGGATTACGAGGTTGCCCATGTCGGCAGTCTGTTGTAGGCTATCACACATCATAGTGAGCAGCAAACGGCAACGGTGGCGGTGAAGCAAGGGAAATGCCAAGGCCCGAAGGTAGAGGAGCCACTGGTAAGAAAGGCGTGCTCCAAGACGAAGCAATTGTTCCGTTGCAGCTCAATTTGTCCATCGATGAAGCAGGCGTTGAAGAAGAAGCGGTGCCGCTGCGACGAAATGGAAGACGTTGGGTCTTCACAGAAGTCCAGGACCCGCCCCTACGTTAGGGAGCTCAAGGTGGCGTTTCTCTGTCGGATGGCATACGTCGCCTGCGATAAGGGAGCGGTCATCCCCGCCCAGGCCAAGGGGTGCTGAAGATGATGGTGAAAGACGACGAGACAGATCTCCGCCTTGCGTTGGCCGACTATGTCAACAGCGGTGACAAGGCAGATCCCAGGAAAATGATTGACCGCATCGTGGCCCCCCCGCGGCCCCAGTGGCAGAAGGGTTTAAAGGCGATGGAGGGCGAAATCTGCCGCGTGACGATGAGGACGGCGGGGTCCTTGACCGGGCCTCCCATGAAGTGCGGTATCGTCGTAGATCAAGAACGCTGCAACGTGACTGTCGGAGATCTCACTGATGCCGCTCGCCATTTGAAGGTATACCACGGCCCTCCTGGCAGGAACCGGAAAAGGAGAGAACATCCGTGAATGCGGTGTTGATTACTGCCAGCTCTGCTCGACATGGCTTGTCGGGCGCCATGCATTCAAAGCTACACGTTGGGCTGCACCTCGACAGCGATCTTGCCGGATGGACCCACAACGGCCACTCCTTTGCATCTGATGCGGTAATATCGGAGCTTTGCCCTCGTTGGGAATTTGACGAGTCCCTGCACGCAGTGGAAAGGACGAAGTCTCACTCGTCGCCTTCATCTGGTCGCAGCGGTGGTCGGGATCTCATTATATACCAACCGCCTTCCACTTGCAACTAAGCAGTATTCCCGCTGTCAGTCGGAACTGACAGCACAGCTGTCATGGGCTCACGTGATTTTCCCCAAGCCACCCACGCCACATTCGTCGTTTCCTCCCGCCTATAAAAAGGGGCCCGTAGCTGCAGCCATTTTTGAAAATCCAAAAGCATCGAATGCAAGCCACAGTCGTCCCTTCCTTAATAGGGTCGGATTGCCAGGACCCATAGCGGTCCGTCGCATTCAAGACCAAGGTTTACCAAGGGGCTCTTATAGGAAGTGATCTCGACGCTTTGGCGAATGAGATGATTCGCGCTCCGATGAGTCCCAACATTTCAAAACGATTAGCCATGTGTAGTGTGCTGTTAGTTTCCGATTCGACTCCAGACGTCTTTGGACGGCGTGATGTGCCCGGGGGCGATCGTGCACATGTGAAGAGATGAGAGGTTCTGCCTCGGGGAGACGGCCCTTGCCATCAGAGCCGGTATTTGTGGCTGCCTCGCCTACGCTTCAGTTGTCTCAAGTTGTCGCTGCATAGTAACGAAGAGATGCAATGGCCGATGGGACCCTCGAGACAGAATCTTACACCACTATTGAGGATAGTATTTTGCGGTGCTTGAGCTTGCGCTGGACATCACAATCCTCAATGAACGCAGGGAAGTTCTGCACCACCTGCTTCTAGATGGCACACGTACTGTATCCTTAATCAACGGTGATTGCGTTTCTTTCCGTATTGCTGGGAGGTGATGTTTACCTGGGAGCTATCCGCTATAGGATTGCTGAGGCCAATAGGATCAGTAGTCCTTTCTTTCCCATCTTCATTACTTTATCTGTTACTACAGGGTGCTCCCACGGATTGGGGCAAAGATCGTATGGCAGCAAAACCTTTCGCTTTCGAGGATGTTGCGCACTTTGATGACATGCCGGCCGGATGGAACTCTAGCTCATGTACATAATCTACTGTACGCATCTGACGGCTCTCGATCTGCAAAGCAGTCTTTCATGGGGTATATATGGCCGCAATTCGTTGATCCGTTTCCCAAAATATGTTGTATGGTGAGGGCGATGCTAGTAAGCCCCTGATGATACTGGTGGTACTATGGCTGACCCCATCCTCGCAATAAGCTCAGTTTCTCCTCCACCGCCTGCAAGGATGAGAAACGGTCGTTAGAGCAAGCTCAAACCACCAATCTTACAATTGAACACCATAACCAACCTGCAAAACAACCTTCCGATCTGTCTCCATCTCCAGCGCATCAATCTCACCTTCCAAAACATGATACAGCACTTCCAGATTCCGCACATTCATCCCGTTCGTCAACGACAGCAAGTCCGTCCGCAATTTTGCCAGGTCTCCGCCTAGTTGCGCGACTTCTCGTTGCGGACGGTGGGGAAGGGTCAAGTCTTGTGATTCGGCTATCTCCATGTGGGAGGAGGTGTTGTGCCCGGGAGATCCGGATGTGCTCGAGTTCTGCGTAATGGCTGGTTCCGTGGTTGATGGAGGGTTTGTGCTCGCTGCGGTGCGTTCTGAATCTGAGGATAGAGAGAGCCGCCGCCGCTTATGTGCCGATGAAGGTTTGAAGAATGTTCCTACAAAACCAACGTACGTGTGAGATTTCCGTACAGAAAGAGAGCACAACAGATACAATGGCCGTTCCTACTATTGGATTCTGTGCCATTGGATTGTGTGCCATTCGATACCGTCCCCGCCGCCTCGCTAACTGGTGGCACAACCTCTTTCGCGCCTTCAACCTTCCTCCACAGCGCCGCTTGTAAGTAATTCAGGCGATACGTGCTAGGGATGCTTTGCACGAATGCATGAGCGTCGTCGCGAAGTTCATGTGCCTGCAAACCCCGAGTTAGCTTCTTTCTCCCTATGCCCTAGCCCCTCCCCAGTGATGATAATTAGCCGTACCTTGTGTACAATCTCAGATCGGGGATAATTATACTCCGACGCATTCTTCCATATCTGCTCAATGTCCTTAAGCCAATCTTCCGGAGTCTCATATTGGTCCGCATCGAGTTTCGTCATCATCTCCCCCATATCCATCGGTTCAGTAACCACCTCCCTATAGTCCGAGTACCGCGACTCATCCACCGGGTGACAGAAGACGCGATACTTGGTCTTGCCGATATCCTTGTGGAACAATCTCAGCCGTTGTTTTAAGTCTTGCAGCACGTTCCAACATTTGGCTTCCATATTCTTTTTTTGGATGTTGGTGAGCACGGGGAGGGGTGGGCCTTCGGCTAATGGAAGGATGGCTAGAGCTGTTGGTGGGATGGCTGTTTGCGCGGAGTCTGGTAGTGTTGCTATGGACTCTAGTAACGGTTCGAAGAAGAACGCGCGCTTTTCCTGGAGGAGATTCAGCGGATGTTGGAGATTTTGGAGTCAGGAGCTAACGCTTCTCATGAGGCTCTCATACCTCCGTGGGAACACTCATCTCGAATATTGCCCGGAATCCAAACAACGCATTGATATCGTCTTCGGTACCATTCATGAATTCCTTAATTTGGTCGCTGATCTCGCTCGTCGACTCCCAGGTCGCAAACACGAGAATGGAATGGCTTGCGATGCGTAGTTGATCATGCAGAAAGGTGATCGATTCCGCCGACCAGGAATCAAAGTTCTGTAGGACAATGCAAGGGAGTGCTTCGTCTCTTAATGCATAAATCGCCGAGGTGATACTCTGACTGTGATGCTAAGAAGTGTGTCAGCCGCCCGTGGCTTCCAACGGGCATTTTGATATCTCACGTACCTCGGAATCCAGGACATTCTGGATAATTTGCACCCTGAAGCCCCACTCCATCAATTGACCCATTGCCATGGACGAGATTTCCATCTGTCCAATATTAGGCGGCCCAGCAACCATGACGCGTGGTTGTATGGTGGAGAATGCAGTACCAGCTGATCGTCGACTGAGAGCCGTATGGATCACCCGCAACCGGCGAAGGACACCATCCCACATGTCAGAGACCAGCACTTGAGCACGGGACGATGGTGGCGGGCCGTTTGCATCGCCAATGCTACCGCTTGGCTTCACATCTGCATTACGAAAACTTTTAGTACCCAATACCCTGGACATTCGAGGAACGTGCTGACGTACCTCTGAGGGCTTGATCAAAATCGCGTTGTGTGACCTTGACGAGCGCCGGATCAACATGCAGCTTCTGAGGAGCGGTATATATTTGGGGATATGTCCTTCGCAGAGCTTTGAAGTATGCGTCGTTGCATAAAGACTGCAGGAAAAAGAAGAAACCGGTCAGCTCAGGGTCCTGGCTTCAAAACGCTTATAGCATATGCAAACCTTCAAGTCCGCGCCACTATATCCATCGGTTGCACTCGCAACCCGTTCCTTCAGACCCTGCTCGAGCTGGAAATGCTGCGTTCTGATGTCGATGATCTTTTGTCGCGCGCCCCGATTTGGCCGCTTGAACTGCAGACGTCTATCGAACCGGCCAGGACGGAGTAATGCTGGATCCAAGGTGTCCAATCGATTTGTAGCTCCGATAACGATGACACGGCCTGTGTTTCCAGTAAAACGAGTTGAACACTTCCATCATCGGATGCTTTCGATTAAACCCAACTCACCTCTATCTTCAAGGCCGTCCATTAGCGTCAGCAACGATGTGACCACCGAGTTGTGAGGCGTCGCGTTCTCCCCGGATGATCGAGCCGGTACCATGCCTGTGCAATCGCAAAGTCAGTGCCATGCTATAAATGCCGTCGACGAAGTACTGCAACTTACCGTCAACCTCGTCAAAGAAGATGATAGCTGGCTCATTTGCCTTAGCTTGATCAAACAGCTTCTTCAAGTGCTTCTCTGACTCGCCAAACCACTTCGAGTGGACGTCGGCCGCTTGGCACTCGAAGAAGGACACTGGGACCTGGAAACTCGAACAGCTCGAAGCGATGGCTCGCGCTAGATGTGCAAGTCAGCATGCTTCTCCCACAAATAATTCACGCCAGCGCGTAACATACCCATCAGTGTTTTCCCGTTTCCTATAAAGGAGCTTCGGTTAGAACAGGTACGTCTTCCCCTTCTCAACCATATCGTCATATCTACCTGGTGGTCCATAAAACATGACACCTTTGATAGGATCCGCATTTCGTGCCAACTCAGGGTATAGGAGCGCAATCTTGATCATCTCTTGAATTGTCTTGACGTGTTCTTCGTGACCCCCAATCATATCGAAAGTGACTCGGTTCTCTGTGAACGGGAGAGAAGCGGGGAAGTCGTTGTTTTCTAAATGCGTCTGTAAGCGATCTTTGTAGTATCCTTGCGTGACTTCGGGTAGTTCCTTGAGGAGAGCGGTGCATCGCGCGTATTGTAGCATGGGTTTCCCCATGTCGCCCTCATCATCTGAATCGTAGGTGGGGCCTCCTCCCGTTGTTGCCATCGGAATTTTGCGTGGCCTCGCTATGTTGTTGGGAGAACCCCATGGTCTTCCACCATCTGTCGAGTGACGAGGATGTCCTTCACGTATATCCATTTGGTCCAGCAGCATTTTGAAAACGCGGCCCTCATTGTAGTCAACAGCCTGGCGGTTTCTGCTGGGGCGCCCTCCGCTGGTTTCGGTCATGTTGATATCGATCTCATCGTTACGCCGCCTGCCCCCATAGTCCACAGGTTTCCGTTGACGGAACGCGTATCGCGAACTTTCGCCTTCTCCAATATCAAGTTCCGCGGTCGTCATTAAATCATCAGGGTGCCTGTCATCGGCGGGTAGCTTCCGCTTCCGAAGGATGCGATTGGTCGATCCGCCTGTTAGAGGTGGCATATCGGTAGCCCCGGACTCAGCGTCGCGCCTTGCAAATGAGAGTCGCCGAGAAGAGCGGCGGAAGTCGGCGCTGTTGTCTTGTTCATCTTCGTCGTCCCCATCATGCCCATTAAGAGCACGAGGTTCCGTTGGCGATTCGGCTAGAGACGTCCTCTCCGCGGTTACTGCGGCAAACTCTGTTGACATGGAGTTCCGCGTGGCTCGCCCATGACTTTTTGCGGGCGCAGGGGTTTGAGGCGGATAGGGGTGACTTCTGGAGCTCCGCCGTGTAGATGTTCGTACTACATGGTCGGAGGATCTGGGATTTCTCAGCTCTGCACTTTCATCGTAAGATACACTTTCATCTTCAGCCGAGTGTGCCCTTTCGTCATAGTAGCTTGGGGTGCGCACAGACCGGCCGTAGCGGGTTGTCTTCACCTCACCGTCCCTTTTCCCAGAAGATGGGTGGGAGCTTCTGCGCTCGCGCAAAGCGTTTGCCTCTTCCGCTTTCCGCTGGTCATCTATAAATCTTCTTGGCGCAGTTTTGGGTCTGGTAGAGTGCCTGCGCTCAGAAGCACCAAAGTCCTCGCCGAAGGCCTCGCCGTCGTCAAAAGCCATGTTGGGGGTTCTACGATTAATAAAGTGTCGACTGTGAGCAGGACAGCGGTTATTCACCCAAGGCGTTTCAGAGCATGTAATTTGACGCTATGGAAACTGCTTGAAGCTTCGGATAAGCAGCTGCGATGTTCGTGGGAATCCGAACGTCTATATATGTATAGGCAAACTCAGCGAGCAAGAATTGGAGTGGGAAGTCACTTTGCTGCGAGAATGCGTTATACCCGGAATGTATTACGTCAGCACTTCGGACATTTTTAACCCTGGGACTCCGCTGTCGGCTGCTGTCAAGTCTCCATCCATGCATTGGAACCTACTGACCATAGCTTGGGAGATCTCATGCTGACGCCTTTGGGAACAGGAGAACAAATCGCGGGCAGGATTGGAGTCTCTCTATCGATGCTGCTCGTTTGTTTTCCTCAAGCCCTGCATATATGCGCACTAGCCTGGTTTCAATTCGGATTGGACCTACACAAAAAGACATCATCTCGCGTAAGCAGTTTATTTGACCTCGGGAGTTCTGGTCATGTTCCCCCCCAGTATGTTGTCCAAGGAATCAACAACTTCTCACAAACATAGAAACAAAATGCCACAACTATTGATCTCCCAATTCTTTCCACGAATCGACCCGACAAGCCTACGCCCAGCGGGTCGACAGTCTAATGTCGCAAGAGATGAACTTGAGATTCCGCCCTCCACTGCGACTCGAAGGTCCTCGAGTCAGCCAACCCTCCACGACATGATGCGAAGAGCAGGCATCGTCATGCTGCGTCCTAAAGCACCCGCTGCCCCGAAACCTCGACGCAGCAGGCACAGAGAGGATAACTCCCCTGCTTAGGCCAACATCCGGAGATGCATTGACCTCCTGCCCTTACTTGAAACCCCGAAGACGTATTCATCCGCCGCCTTCTAAGCGTCGTCGCTGTACAAACACGTACGGTTCGAAGAACTCGGTGGAATCGCATCCGTTGAGAAGGGAGGACATCAAAGATCTCTTACCGATCTATATATCCAATGTCTAGACTGAATCGAATTTGCAACGAGAAAGCATACGTATCATTTCAATGGGACGGGTGTATGAAGAGAGTGCAGGGCATAAATCACGGAGGGACTTCGGTCATTTGATCCTCAGAAGTAGTATTATTTCACGTTCTTTTTGATAAAATGACATTTGACTCTGAACATTGATGAGCTCGCTACATTTGTTTCAGCCCGTCGCAGCGAGCGATGAGCTATTCACTTTATCCAGGCGAACTATGAAAAGCTAATATATACGGCCGACAATGGGACTTGACAGATTGAAGGCGTGGCTCGCAGTCAAAACCCACGCACGTCCAAGGGAGCGCACATGGTAGGTATAGAGACGAAGCACCGGCCATCTTGCAAGATTGTACACTAGTATGGAGTGAACAGAAGCCTCAGTAGGTACGCAGAGTTTGGAGGGAAGGCTTCGGTTGCGCGCAAACGACAGCCGCATACCGGGCCTGCGAAGCGGTTGGTTCTATCGTCCCATACGATATAAAAAGAACAAAAACAGAAGCACAATCCCGTTGGGGCGGGTAGCTGACTGGACCTCCGGAGATCGCTCAATACCATTGAGAGGATCGCCCAGTACAATTGAGAGATCACGAACCACTGTCGGGAGACAGTGGCTCCGCCTGTGTGCTCGTTTCATAACCCTGCACAGGCAAACCTGTACATATCCGGTGTAGAGCCCTGCATCCCGCCCCTGCTGCCGTGTTCCAGACGCCTATTTCTAAAGTACTCGACGTCGCTTCGGATTGCAATTGCCGGTGTGTGAGGGAGAACGCCCTCTTTACTGGAAAAAATGGCATGAGTCACACGGTCATCACCTGAATAGCTGAGCTTCGAATTATGGCACTTCAAATCCTCTCAACAACAACCAGCACAACGACGTAAAAGACAAGAAAAGGCCAGGCGAGGAAGCATCACCAGCACTGGGAAGGATGTCGCTCAGACCCAAGGTTTGTAGAGCTTCTGGCTTACACGGTCTCAGGAGGTTGTACACTTACATACTCACTGCCATCCAGCGTGTGGAGTTTGACGCGACGTTCTCAAAGTTCCGGGATGAGATATCCAACATGTTTGCGTTCACCAACGTCGGTGGTCAGCTGTCTGGCATGTGTAAGTGATGGACGTCTGGGAGCGTCGTAAAATGGTATGCGGAGAGCTGACAAGTTGAGTTGCGGGAAGTCATGATACAAACCGTGTATGATCTCTGCACGGCACACCCGAAGCCGCACACGGATTTGCTTTATCAGGCGATAGGGGAGTTCATTCACGGGCATGCTTGCTCTGTTTTGGAGGTACGGATTGAGGAACGGACCCCAGCCCTCCATCTCTCGTCGTCTGATACGCCATACCTAGGTCATCGATGCTCAAGATGATGTCGTATCCGCATACGCCACCGCGTGGGAACGATATCGGGTGGCATCGCAGTACCTGAACATCATATGCGACTACCTGAATAAGCTGGTGGTCAAGATGCGGACGCCGTATGGCGCTCCTAGGAGAGCAGGGCATGATTCCAAGTTCCCGCGGATGTCGGTGGAAGCCGTAAGTGGACTAGACACATTCGCCTCGCTTGTCTGACCCTTGTATCCGAATACTGAGTTTCAAGGATCGATGGCAGCTTGCATTCCACATATGGAAGGACAAAGTCTATTTTGGCCTGCAAACACATTTCGGCAACCGTCTAGTGTCACAGCTCCTCGACATGATCCACCGAGATCGGGACGGCTTTGAGATCTCTCTCGCGAGTGCCTATTACTGCATTTCTTCCTTAGGTAGGAGTTTGCAAAAACCCTCGGTCGTTTTCCATATAGCCGTTTTTGGTAGCTCAGACGTCTTTCCCCTCCACCCTTTTCCTGTCATCCCACCCATAGCCTTACTCAACCACCACACCGCAAAACCCCTGCAATTGTACATTGAGCAATTTGAAAAGCCATACATAGAACAAACAAAGATTTATTATGCACAAGAGTCGTCGCGGTTTTTGACCCAGATGTCGATCGCTTCGTATATGGTCAAGGTATGCGAGGTCATTACCCTCGCCACCCAGCCGGGTGAGATTGCGCGTCTTACTATGGCTCATTGCAGGCGAACGAGCGGCTGTCGGAAGAAGACACGCGATGCAAAAGGCTGCTGGACCCAACATCAAATGATAAGGTTTGCATATGTCACATTCCTAGTGCGGCCCTTTCAAGCCAGTTCAACATCTTTCTACGCCTCCAAGGTAGTCAGACAGTGCGACCATGAGTTCATCGAGGTTCATCAGACGGAGTTGCTCGCGGAGGTTGTGCCGATGCTTTCTGCTGCACGGATCAATGGTATGCTTTCCCGGTTGTGGTCGTGATTGCATGGCACTCGAGCTAACGTTCTACAGATGCCAAGCTGCTGCACTCCTTACTCTCACGTGTGGACGGTGGGATCCCGGCTCTGCTGGATATCTTCCGGGACGTCATTGTCAAAGCCGCAGTTGAGACGACGACGGCGTTGAGTCAGACGTTGGCTAAGGTGAGGACTCAATGGATTATCCGATGTTCACTGGGCGCCTGACCCGATGTACTTTTTCAGGATCCACGCGTTTACGCAGAAAACCTGATGGACATCCATGCAAAGTACATGCGAATGTGTGCCGAAGTGTTCAACGATGATCCCAAGTTCACTGCGGCCGTCGACCAGGTATGAACAGCACGAAGTCAACAATAGACATGCGTCGATCACCAAACTGAAAAGTACTAAAGACACGGTGCCCACGCTAGGCATTCCGAGTGATCACCAACGACACCAAAATAACACCAGGAACGAATGCACCAGAGCTCTTAGCCCGGTACTGCGACGTTTTGCTGAAGAAGAGCGCCAAGGGTTTGACGGAGGATGAAGTGGAGAAGCGGCTTGGGCAGATGGTCTGTTTTCTTCCACCATGCAACTCATAGCGTATTGGAATTGCGAAACTGACGGATATTCGTGACACCGTGACAGATCGTGCTGTTCAAGTACATCGACGATAAAGACGTCTTCCAGAAGTTTTACTCTCGGATGCTGGCCAAACGCCTGATTCACGGCACGTCGATATCGGATGAGGCGGAATCCAACATGATTACGCGGTTGAAGGTTCGCCACATGTCGGCCAATCTCCCCCGTTTTGAGTCTACGCAACACCTTTTTGTTCACCATTGGTCGTCCGATTATGTAGATTGCGTGCGGAGTAGAGTTCACTACAAAACTGCAACGGATGTTCACGGACACGGCGTTGAGTGCGGATCTCAATACCGCGTTTTCGCAGTTTGCTGCGACCACCGGGATCAAAGCAGGAGGTAGGCACGCCTTACACACGCTTTGTAGAGGACTGTTCGGGTAGCGGATTCACCTTTCTAGTGGCACGTCCAGTGGATATGCAGATTATGGTGTTAACGGCCGGATCATGGCCCTTAAGTGGCACCTCTGCCACAGAGTTCGTGCTTCCCTCGGAGGTACAGTACCGCATCTAGAACATACCCAGCTGACTTGTGTGAACTGACTTCCGCCCAAACAGCTCGAAAAAAGCATAACACAATTCACAAACTACTACGCGAAACACTTCACCGGCCGGAAACTCACATGGCTGCATCATCTCGCCCGAGGTAATACAATTGCCTCCACCCGTCTGACACCCTAATCTGACACTTGTTGACTAAAACAGCGGACGTGAAGCTCAACAACTTCGATAAGCGCTACGAGCTTGCTCTCACGCTGTACCAAACCGGGGTGTTATTGTTGTTCAACAATGTGACGAAACTGACTGTGGCGGAGATTAAGGAGCAGATTAAGCTTGGGGATGCCGATGTTGGGCGGATTGTTAAGGTGAGCGCGGGGCGGACGCTACTTTCAAAAGATACGAAATACGTGGGTCATGAGGGACAGTATCGCCCTAACAACTCTGTTTCTCGGATTATTTGCAGGGCTTCGTAGACCTCAAGCTACTGTTATACGATGAAACCACCGCGTCCTACACCATCAACGACAAGTTCACCAAGTAAGTCAAAGTCGCCCTAGAGGAGCAAAGCCCCTCAAGTTTCTCCAAGGAACTTCCGTCGCTGACCAACTCGATCATCGCAACAGCAAACGCATAAAAATCAAAGTAAGCGCCGCGGCACAATCCGACACGCCCCAAGAAGTCAACGCCACAAGGGAAGCCGTCGATAACGACCGGAAGCTTTACCTGCAGGTGCGTTTCCATCTCCCACCCACACCTACATTATAGAGGACTAACAGCACGACACATAGGCCGCGATCGTACGAATCATGAAATCCCGCAAAGAACTCAGCCACACACATCTCTTGCAAGAAGTCATCGACCAAGCGAAAGCGAGGTTTGCACCGTCTGTGCCGGTTATCAAGAAGTGTATTGAGCAGTTGATTGAGAAGCAGTATAGTAAGTGTTCGCATTTTGGGTGCGCAGAGGCTGTTGGAAAGAGCTAATCCCATCTCTTTGGTTTGCTGCAACAAAAGTTGACCGTGTACCAGATACCCGAGATCGATACATGTACATAAGTTGAGAGCGGAATGTCTTGCCAGTGTCCCGCTCATTGGCACGGACATCGCCGGAACCGTTTGAGCGTATGCGTAACACTTTTCATTCTGCAACGGGATTGTATGGGACGGCGCTTTTTCTCCCACATAACGGCAATTGCATCTAAACGGCGTCGCGTCTCATATACTAGCAAATGTGATCTAAATATAAAGTGTGGAGCCGCAATGTTGCATCTACGTGAGGTTGTGGCTGGCCTACGTGCTACGGATTTGGAAATGTCAACTACTCTCCGAAAGGTCTCTCCCGCGAAGGCGGGCAGTATGAGGGCGGGAGCAGTGCTGCTTTCAAGGGCCTGAGGTAGTCCCAAAGACTTCCATGCTGAGTATGATCAATAGCCGTTATGCCGCTATACGTGGAAGCGGACTCTGTCGGCATTATCACGAGCGAAGCACACACTGTCGCTCAAAAGATGCCCGGAATTCGATTGTGCTGACGTTTTTCCCTAAAAGCCAAGGTCTTAATATCTGCCACGTTCAGCATATTGAACTTCGTCTCCACACCTACCTATAACAACCACCTTATTCACCCTCTCCTCACCCTTCGCCCACTTCGCACCCTCCTGTACATCATACAGCTCTCTTACCGCCTGCGCGACGTGTTTCCGATCCGACCCGTCGGCGTTGATGAGTGCTTTGAGGCGGAGTATTTCAATTTGGGTTGTGGGTTGGTCACCGACGGTGTTCTCCCACAAGAGGTTTTGGAGCCAGGTATTTAGTGAGGGGAGGGATATTGTGCCCGGGAGGGTGAATGTGACGGTTTGCACGGACTGCGGGAATGCGAGATGACATGAGCATTAATCATTTACCAAGAAAGCTCATAAGCTATAACTTACCTCGTCAAGGTGTTTCCTCGCCCCTGCCGTCGACTTTTCCAATATCAGCTGTTCCGATCGTTCATCAAACGCATGCAGATCCAGCAAGTGCTCTATTGGCACATCTGACCGCGTCGTCTTCGTCAAAGGCGCCACAGCATTGATGTCTCTTATCGACTCCTCAAGATGATTGACCTGCTCGGTCGAAACTGTGTCGATTTTGTTCAGGATAATGCGGTCTGCGAGTGCTATCTGCCTAGCCTGGGGAGATCAGCAGTTGTCATCTGTTTTACGGTGGGACGACGCGACGTACCTTATTGCTTCATTGAGAAGCCCGTCGGGCTTCTTCTCTTGCAGTTGCTGAGATTGAGTGGTGACCCTCACGTCAGTACGCGCATCAGCGGGACAGGTGAGATCGACCTTCACTCGATGTATACCTGTAAGCCAAACTTCGCATCTACAACTGTCAGGATGGCGTCGAGGTATATCTCGCTTTGCAGCTCATTGTCTAACCAGAACATGGATGCGATGGGACCTAAAGAACCCGATGCGTTGAGTGGGATGTCGAGGTCGAGCCACTGACCACTCACGCACCTGGATCCGCAAGTCCGGTGGTCTCCAGCATGATGTAGTCGAACTTTCCTTTCTTCTTCATTAGGTTCTCTACCGCCTTCACACCAGCATCCCTAGAAAATGTTCAGTGCCTGCCCAGCCGCCTCGCCTCCGCATCCGCAGCTACTCACTTCACAGAGCAGCACAGACATCCTGCAACGACGGATTGGTTGAACGCGGTTAGCGATGTTCAGAACCCTCCACAGCATAGATGACATCAAACCGTTCGCCATTTCTAGCCATTCCTCAGCCATCTCCCCATCTTTGTTCATCGTTAGACTTCGATCTATTCCCGAACCTGACGTTGAAGGAGTTAGCCACAAAAGTCCCAGAGCATAGGGAGGTTATGTGAAGGTCGGGAAGACTCACTTTCACCGAACTCATTCAGAATGACTGCGATGCGTTTCTTATGAGTCGGGTCTTTAAGGAGCCTCGTTATCAGTGTTGTCTTGCCACTTCCTGCAGTTAAGAAGCGTCAGGCACGAAGTCCGCGAGCTTTTATTCCAACCTCCCCTCTCGCCGTACCCAAAAAGCCCGTCACGATAGTCACAGGGACCGTCTTTTTCGGCTCAGTAGCCTCACTAGCAGTGTATTTTGTGAGCATCCGTCCTGGCAACGTGCAGTCTGTTTCACTTTCACTGCTACTTACCTCGTTAACGGCCCGGAGCTGAGAGTTGCGATCGCGCTCTCGTCGACCAACAATGGAGGTTCGTCAAAGTCTGCCATGATAATCGTTGGGTTCGAAGCTTAATAGACTAGCGGAGGCTGTGGTTGTCCTTAGAACTGGGACCACGTAATACTCTGTGCTGGGTTCTCTCGACGCAGGTTAATGCTCCTTGGGAAACACTCGCAACCGGGAAGGTCTCACTGCTGTTGACGTAACAGGCCTCGAGACAGTTTAAAGCCCCATGCACGTGATACAATGCAACAAGAGCCTCTTGTCCGAACGCTCTTTCGGACGGGATGGAAACTTGGCCCTCGTTCCACCGCAGTAGGGCTCTGGACCAGCCCCCAGCCCTTTGCAATCAACTATCTCTGAGGCAGCTGTCTGGAAAGCAAGCACCGCTACCGCTACGGTACCGCCAGCTACGTACAGGCTTTGCTCCCCAGCAGACAGCAGTCAAGCAGTCTCGTCGTCGTCATCGTCGTCGTCGTCGGACATTGGAAACAGAAGACAGCGCATGGCTCGGTCGGACCGTGAAGAGCAGTGAGCTTGGAACAAAACTACAAAGTCGAGCCAAACCCAATGGGTTACGTGGCTTTCGCACAGCTGGATGACGTTTATAAGCGATTGAAAGCAGACGCTTCACAAGGTGGTGGTTCCGCAGCTTCCACGGTCCTCATTTTCGTCAGTCCCGACGCTGACGCTCTGTGCGCCCTGAAGATATTGGTGGTGAGTTGGGGGCGAGCGTTGATGAGCATGCTATTCCAATGCTGACTTCGAAATCGCCCTCTGACGTACACTCTTTGTCTTTGTATGGTGGCTGGTAGACCCTGCTAAAGTCCGACTGCATAGCACACAAGGTTGTGCCCGTTGCGGGGTATACAGATTTGAGCGGAGCCAATGAAGACCATGTGGAAGACAATGAGGAGGTACGAAGGATTTCACATCTCAGTAGCGAAAGGTTAAGCGTACTCACACCGGTTGTAGTTGCGGAGTATCGTCATGCTCAACTGCGGGGGGTTGGTCGACCTCACGGAGCTGTTCACTCTCACGAATGCTATGACCGTATATGTCTGCGACTCGCATCGACCTCTCAATCTGCGGAGTTTGTTCGGCCATGATCAGGTGCGTGCGACTGCTGTTGTTTGCCTCAGAACTGAGCACCTGCTGATGACTCCCGTTCATAATCGTGATGAAGATCATATTTATGGACGACGGAGACGTGGACGATCTGAACGAGTTACGGCAGGCAGTCGAAGAACTAGAGGTAGTTACGGGATCGGAAAATCGAGGAATGCATGCATATCCTGACAATCGGTCGGTTTCCAGTTCGAAGACTCCGATGACGAAGACGACGACGAGTTTGAGGAAGCGGACGATGCCGAAGATGAGAACGATGGGAACGACTCTTCAGGCGATAAACCTGATGGAGACGAAGAGACGTCCGATATAGAGAACGATGAGGATGATATGGAGGATGCGGATATGGAGGTTCGTAGATGTCATTCATCATCGCAGAGCATTCGTTTGATGGTGTTGTGTACAAGAGGACTGAACGGGATATTTGTACAGGCTGGGGGAAGCAGAAAACGGAAACGAAAGCCACCAGAGTCGAGAAACGCAGGGGATCTGGAAAATCCGCCGAAGAAAGCGCGGCTTGCGAGGAGGGCGAAAAGGAAACGAAGGCAGCGTCATCAACGACTCATTGCGGAATACTATTCTGAGGGCGCGTACTATGGACTTTCAGTAGCAGGGATGCTATACAATCTTGCAACGCTGCTGGGCAGGGCATCGAACGATTTCTTATGGTAACATTCACCAGCCAGAGTTGATTTCACTGGGTTTTTTGCATCTGCTAATGCGGCTCGGCTCATTAGGCTTGCACTGGTTGGTCTAAGCGATCAATATCTCCACGACCGAGTGGACCATCGGCAGTACTCAGCACAAGTCTCCACATACAAGGGCGAGGTCTTACGATACAACGTCACCAGCGGCCCCGGCTCCCAGTCAACCGATATGGACGATCTCGAATCACTATTCGGCGAATCTCTGGATCAACAAGGGCGCACGGATCAGAGCAGACATAGCGCTGGGCCGGTGATCCGGTGTGATGATGAGTTTCGGCTCATGTTGCTGAGACATTGGACGATGCATGAGTCTCTGCATTACTCGGTTTACGTTGGAACGAAGCTGGGGATATGGAAGGAGAGGGGGCGGCAACGGTTGACGAACTTTCTGGTCAAGATGGGGTATGGTCGGTAGTGCTGTGAAGTATCCGATAGCAATACTTGACTGACCTTTCCTATCGATAGACTACCACATAAGGAGTCCCAACAGCGCTTCACCGAAATGAGTCTACCATTCAAACGATCGATCAAAGAGAAGCTCATAGCAGTCTCCCCCCGCTTCAACATGACGGAGATCGTCTTCCCATCATTCTACAAAAGTTTCGGCTTCCGAGGCCTCATGTCCGCCCCCGACGTCGTCTACTCCCTGACGTCCCTCCTCGACGGCGGCGCAGAGTGGATAGCACAGCACGGAACAGGGTCGGGGTACCCCGAACTGATGACAACCGTCGGACAACTGGGCGGTGGATCTAGACAAAGGAAGAACGAAGGCGCCGAGGCGGATGTCTTTTCGGGGAGTCTTGCTGGCGTGGGTGTGGGAACGCGCACGGGGATGGCGGCGTTAGCGATGCGGACGGGGGATATGGCGGGGATGCCTGTTGATACGGATGAGGAGGGGAGTGTGGTGGAGGAGGATGCGGAGGATCCGGGGAGGAAGGCGAGGAAGGAGAAGGAGAGGGCGTGGGTGCGGAATTTTTATGTGGCTTATGATGCTCTTGATGGGTGAGTGTCGATTTGACCGTTAGAGCCGTCATCGACTCCGATTATGGGTACGCCTTATTGACCGTCCACTATACGATAGGTTCGACCTCCTACAACACGGCATCCATCTAGCAATGAACTTCCAACGCGCCCTCGTCCAAACAGGCATCGCCATCATCGAAAAGAAACTCACCCAAACCCTCCGCAATTTCCAACTCACCGTGCTCACCGGCGAAGGTCTCGGGTCAGGGGTCGACGTCACAGGCGCGCTAAACGACGACAACAATTTTACCCTGTTTGGACGGAGTCCGGCGCATTTGGGGCGGTTGGCCAAGTTCTTGGTGGAGGCTTTCAAGGTTGGTTGCCTTAGACATGCTAGTGGTTCCAGTTTGAAGTGCGGGCTGATTGTGGGTGGTGGTGACAGGAATTCAAGGAGAAGGATCTTCCGCTGGTTATTGCGGCCTTGAACGAATCCGCTGATGCATTTTTGATCGTTGGGTATGCGGGCATGACAAGAAGGGGCGTCATTCGCAGAAAGTGAGTTGACTTGGGCTTGCCATCACATTCACCACGCAGAGACTTACATACCTTCTGATGTTTTCAGTACATTCGGACCAGCATTCCAACAAGCCGCCGAGCAAACCAACGCCAACGTCAAGCACGACGGGTTCGAGGCGTCGGTTATGGAGGTTAAGCGGGAAGATCTGGGCGATTTTTTGGAGACTCTGCAGAATTTGATGCAGTGATTTAGATCGATGGTTGTTTGGGGGGTTGGAGGGGGGTTGGTTTGTGGAGGAGAATCGGTGGAACGGTGGATTTGGGCAGCTGCTTCTTTGAACATATATGTCAATGATGATGTTTGCGCTGCACGCACACTCTGCGCTTTTTCATCCAATCCCGACTGACTCATGAACAGTTCCAAGCTTCAGCTCGAGAACCTCGGTTATGCATAAGTGCATCCAGGGTAGTTTTCCAAAGCAGGTCGGGGAGGACGCCGTGATTCATCGCCGTAGTTAGCCGCCCCCAGCTTGTGGTAACGGTTGTGAAAATGCGGCGTTTTTGCAGAGTTCGTGGTTGATGAGTTAACTCAACTCAACTCGAAAAACATAGTTTGTTATACGACTGTGGAGTTGCAGCATGCACAGAGAAGCAAGGAGAAAGTAATGACTTCAAGACCAGCAGGCATACCTTCGCAGACACCATTATTGAAAACATTCGCTGTGGGAGCAAACGCCAGAGAACAGCGTGTCCTTGAAAGTCCGATCCAGGTGGCTGTGCACTCCACAATCATCTCGTAAGCAAACGCGTTCATTGGCCACCCTCTTTTTCAGCGGGCTAAGCCACACTTCAGGCTGGAGTATAAAAGTCAGCGTATCGCTCACAACGTCCTGTTTTTTTCTCTTCACCGGTCTCGGGCTTAAAACCTCGAGGCCAGCAATACAAATAATACACATATCACCCGATGAAGAGAACCAGCGCTGAACAAGGACTTGATCCTTGAGTTCCGCAGAAGATAGCGGAGGGTGGCCTATGGTGTTGATTGTATTATGTGTTGTATTTGGAATCTGCGTTCCAGTCCGATTGCGGGATCGTCCCCCTCCGTAGAGGGTAGCGGATCTACGATATCTGCGAGTCATGTCGGGGACTTTTGGCTTCATGCCCTGACAACCATAGCAGCGTTGTCGGGGGTTTGAGCCTTGAAGTTCATCGGCGCAACTCGGCGGAGTGACGACTCGTAGGCTTGTATGGCAGTCGATTGTCTTGATTCAGAGATGTATTCCTCTGCGAGAGATCTATGTATCTACGTTCGTCGAAACGAATTATCTGTACGCCGCAAGCACTGCTATTGTAAGACTATGCTATGCTTGCAAAGGTGATTTGTACAGCCCATCCAGGCCCGGCAGCAACCGCCACATGCAGCGGGTCCAAACTATGTATGAAAGATCCTACCGTTTCAAGCCCGTCTTGCATGAAAGTGACGCACCTAGCGTCCGCCCGATACCGGCACATCAAGACCGACCCGGCCTCCACAGCTGGCACAACTCCCCTTGTGCCAGGTCTCCCAAAGCAGAATGAACCCTGGTATACCCGTCCGTCGTCCGTGTGATACCCAATGCTGCCGTACTCCCAGCCAATGTGGTAGAACGAAGAGCAGGGGTGTGGTGCGAAGCCCAGGGAGAGAAAGGATGGGTTGATGTTTGTTGAGGGTGGGGCGGATATGATCTTGACGGTGAATTGGAAATCCTGGGAGAGGTCGATTGGGAATGTTGAGATTGCCGAGCAGGGGTTCGGGTTTTGGGTTTCGGTGAGTAAAGGTGGGAAGGTGATGAGCTCGGATGTTTCCGATTCATCTTGTTGAATGTCATGGATAATGTGTACGATGGGTAAATCCGCGACCTCTTTCGGGAGGCAGTTGGGAACCATCCTCATTGGGCATTCCTGATCGAGCAGCGGCTGTCGGACAAAATCCCGATGCATTCCACGAAGGGCATCGTTTGCCAAAGTGAATCTGAAGGGTATTTCGCCGAGGTTGACGCCAACATGGCAAGGTCCGGCTGCCGAAACGACTGGGAACCAGTTATGTCGGTAGTCAAATGGGGTGGTGTGTATCGTGTGTGGTGCGTCGCCGACCCAATGCCCGTTCAGGGTGAAGAAGATGACCGCTCTCGACATGGCGAATGGTGCCCGCGCTGCTTGTCCTTCAGCGGTGCTTGCTTCCGAGGGTACATGAACGTAACCACACCCAACAACATCCCCGACCTTCCCCCACTTCGCCGCAAACTGGAAATGCTCGCCATCCCTGTGCCCAAGGGCCAACGACCCGTCATCGCTACAATACCCTACACTGCGCCCCACAGATCCCGGCGGATGCTCAAAGGAATGATCCTCACTTCCGAGTCCGACCTCCATCCCACATTCGTCCACGCCAACTTCCAAAATGGTCACCTCGTAATAGGCTATCCTGCAGTTCCTACCCTCATTCCACGGCTGCGGCCGAGCGTACAGCGGCATCCCACCCGCGACCGCTCTGTGTCCCTTCTTCCGCAGACCGAGAAACAGTCGGTTGTAGCTAACTATCCCGTTCACCTCAGACATCGAGCTGATCTCTCTATCGAACTTCGGTGCCGTCAGATCGTCGCCCGTTTGAGCGAACCGCACGACTTGCTGTCTCCCGCCCATGCAGCCGATGGTGACGAATGTGTCGTCCCCATTTGTGTGCACCGTCCAGCGGTCAATGTTGTCTCCAAGTACATTATAGATGCGTTGACATGCTTGCCGGAATAGCAGATAGGTGTCGGCGTCAAGGTAATCGGATATGCGGAGGAGGAGCTCGTGGGGTATTGTGCTGATCGATGCAATCCTTCCTGCATGCAAAGTCATTGTCGGTGTCCTCGTGAATTCCGCTGGACTCGTTGTCGGACATGCCGGTGAGAGTTGCTGAATGTCCCAAGTCGATGCGATGTTCCTGCGTCAAATTTGCGAGGATGGCAGGTAGCTCAGAGAAGGTCAGGAGTGATTTGGGTGTTTCGCGCGACGGACGTGAGTTGCTGACTAAGCGCGTGCGTTCGCGGTCCCGTCATTTGGCTTCCAGGAACTCCTGCAGGTTAACAACTTCAAGAAAGATCACGGAGCGAGACCCGCCGCAAGCTTCACTAGGATATCTCCGGTGAGGCGAAACTGAGGCGAGGAAGTCATGGGGGAGCTCATCAAGTTCTCCGTCCATTTGTAAGTGCCTCGGAGTCCCGCTGAGAGGCACGGGTTCCTAATGTTTGGGCAACTGGGAGACCCTGGAGATAGTAAGTGGATACTAAGATGTGCTGAACAACTGGACCGGATGAGCATATAAGGAGCAGCTGGAGCAGGCTGGTCGTGCAGCATACCCTGCACTGCAACAAGAGTTGGAGGAGGATGGACGGTGGGCACGAGGAGGGGAAGTGTCCGAATGAGTCCGAATCGACCGACGCGCCGCGCCCATTTGTTCGACGTCGGGCTCCCCTTCCCTTTCCTCCTGCTTTCCTCCACTTTTTCTCGGAAGCCAGCGCGAGACCCACAAAAAGATTTACTGCAACTGCCCGCCAAGGCGTCAAGAGAACGCTCCGTTGACAGCTCTCGGCAACCTGTTTGCAGTCAGCGCATGCCAGATCGTGCGGAGGCGCTCCATGCGCTTCGAAGTGTGAACTCTGTTTCTACCTAAAAACCGACACACTACCCAGCTGCTGGACGGCTAGATCAGTACACCCTACAACACCAACATGCTCGCCTCAATCCTCTCACGACGTCGTTTTCCGCGCCTTCGTCAGCCCATAAGGCGCGTGCACGGCAGCCCAACGGTGGGCGCCACGCATCTCCTATCCATCTTGCCACCAACATACGCCCCCGACCCGGCGTCCGTAAACGCGCGACCAGAATATGACGTGGGGGAGTTCAGGCAGCCGACCAAGTTGGTGTGGAGAAACGCGCTGAACGATCCGTGCAAACCGGCGTCGCTTGATGCCTTCGGGACGACGGACTTTGAGCCGTCGGAGGAGCAGCAAGCCATTTTGGACCATGTGAGAGGAGGGACGAGCGACGTGGTGGTGTTGGACGCAAAGGCTGGGACCGGAAAGGTAGGGTAAACAGCTAAGCTATCTTTATGTTCGTAGGTGAGGATGGATCTAACGTCTTGACCCCTTCCCAGACCACCACACTTCTACGGACACTGCTCCATATGCCAAGTACTTGCCAGAACGTAGCGATACTTGCTTACAACAAGGTTAATGCTGACCTTATTGCTGAGCGCGCCGCCGACATAAAAAAGCGGCACGAACTACCGTTTTCGATTACCGCTCGGACGTTCCACGGAGCCGGGCTCGATGCATGGACCGAATACATCCGCGGAGACGCCAGCTCCATCCACGTCAACCCAGAAAAGTCATGGCAAATCTTTCAGGCGATGCTGACGTGGGATGCAATCATGCTCTATGGGAACGAAGTCGCTCAGCTAGTGAGCATGGCGAAGATGCACTGCTTAGCTCCTGAACATGCCTCGTTGAGCGGCATAACGGTTCCAGACACCCCCGACGCATGGAAAAAGTTAATGACTTTATACGACATCAAGTGCAAGCCGGACGCCAAGGAGGATAAACTTATCGATATTGCTCAAAAGTGTCTCCGACGGTCTCTACAGCTGGCTGGAGGTTTGCAGGACGGCAACACGTTCTTCCGAAGGCGCCTAGCGACAACAACATCTGCCTTGTTACAAGACCTGCGGGGCATCGAAGACCTTCAAACCCATAACGCGCAGCTCGCATTCGAACTGCATCACGGGGATGGCATGCCTAACATGAACGAGTTTGCCAAGCGCCAGCTGGACATGGCGATCACTGCCTGCAGGCGGAGCAGGTTCGTGCTGGACTATGACGACATGCTTTACCTGCCGCTCGTGCATGGGGCGCCGTTCCCAAAGTATGACCACGTTCTAGTTGACGAGGTATTCTGGAGTATGCAGCATAGTCATGGTTCTCCCCTTTTCAAGGATGTCTATCAACCCTTCGATGTTTCATTCGCAGGCCCAGGATATGTCGCATGCACGAGCGGCAGCTGTCCAAAAGATGTGCGCACCGGGAGGCAGGCTGCTTCTTTTCGGAGACAACAGACAACGTATCTACCAGTTTGCGGGCGCGACCCGGGACTGGTTTTCAGAAATGCACGATGAAGGATTACGACAAGCCGGCATTTCGGTTGATGCACCATACAATTCAGCTAACTCGACAAATCTCGGATTCGGTCTTCCCCTCGCTGAGCATCCCAGGCGGACTTATACCCACGACGCGAACCTACCCGTCGCCGACGATACCCAAACTTCCAACGCTTCCAAAAAACCATGGGCGTCAGTCACCCTCCTCCCACTCTCCGTTACCCGCCGCTGTCCCCAGTTAGTGGTTAAGCTAGCCCAAACACTCGTTCCGGAAATTCAATCGGCGCCAAATGCAATCGAAGGCGAGATCGTTTCGGAGCCAAAGTTCGAACTCGCTGAGTTTTTCCGTGGAGAAACAACCATGGTGCTCGCGCGCAACAACCTGCCGATCCTGAACTTTGCCTACTACCTGATGGCCCATGATTTTCGCGTTCAGGTCCCCGGCCGTCACATTGGAGAGGATGTGATGCACCTGCTCGAGTTTGCATGTACAACATTGGAAGTCAAGGACACCGACTGGACGGACGACTTGGCAGCAAAACTGTACCTCTTCCGCGAGTCGCTGACCGCGGATACGTTGGAAGAACGCGTCGGCGAAAAGCTGGCCATCGGCGGACTAGAGGCTTTCGACGACCGGCTAGACTCGATCATGACCATCCTAACCTACTGCGTCGGCCGGTTTTCGCACTCGCGCAGCGTGCTCGATCTCAAGAAGTACCTGCTGTACCGACAAAACGACCCTCCCGACGTGATCCTCACCACCTTCCACAAATCGCGCGGTCTCGAGATGGACAACGTCGTCATCCTCAACCAGATGGACCACATCAAAAAGTTCGACTCCTCACACCGCCGCACATTCCGCAACCAAGACACCGAAGAAAACCTGATGTACATCGCCTACACCCGCGCCCGCCGCCGGCTCCGCTTCATGGAATGGCTACCGGAAGGCCAACACCAGTCCTACGAGTACGTCCGCTCGCGCGACAAGTGCCCGCTCACGGGCCACGTTGTCGAACACCGGATACGACCCTACGTCACAACGGACCTACTCGAACGTGTGGAGATGGAACGGGACGCGCAGGAGGCGTTGCGGAGGAACAACACCCCGGGTTTGGGGATGAGTTCGAGGGAGTTGGAGATGTTGACGGAGATGATCGAGGAGCATGTCGCGAAAAAGAGGGTGGGGTGTGCGCCGGGGTTGACGGGTTGATACCTCTCAGCTGATTTCGGGTGCTTGCGTCTGTGGGACGCTTTTTATCTTGTAAATACGGTTTTCGTTCTTTTCTTGCCCTCCGGCGTGTTGATCCGGCTTACGTAGGCGTTATCCCGCTCCGCCTCCGTGGCCCTCGTCGCGGCGTTTCTACGTAGTACTTATACCTTCCCCTTTTCAGGCGTTTTCGCCTTTGTTTTGCTAGCATGCTGTGCTTGCTTTGTAAATAGCTTGCTTTTTTCTGAATAGGAAGACTTTTGTCTTTGAGATGAATACGAGGCTTCGTGTCTGTGTCCGCAACCCTTCCATTTTCGCCAAATGAGGGCATAGGCGTGAAGCTCTGTCTAATATCACGCTCATTTTCAAATATGTTACAGACAAAAGGAAAACCGGTCTTAATGTAAGGAACTCTAAACGGGGGAAGGAAGGGATAATAATGATAGTGATGATATGAGGAAGGGAGGAGGAAAACCCCAATGCGAGGCGATGGCGAACGATCCTAGCAAGATGCAAAATATGTGTCCAAGTGGTTGAGAGGGAACAGACGGTGGTTTTCGAATCCGGCGCCGTCGGAGACTCACGCCTTCAATTCTCCACATCCATGAGCGGAATGAAGGGGCGTCCGCCGACGGGTGTATATGTGCAATGAGCGGGCGATACCGGTTTGATGTTGTGTCTGCCCGGCCGACTGTCGAGCAGGATTCCTGGACCTAGCATCTACCACTGTCCGTCGAACCCGACGAAACCGGTAAGCAAGAAGATGGGGAAGTACTTCTTCTTTTCGAGGGTCGAGCACCAGTTCCATGCCGAGGTGAGACGGCCATCGATACATGAGCCAGCATCTAACACACATTGCCAAGGTCAGCTTATGCCAAATCAAAGAGTAAGACCAAAACAAGAAAACGAAACACCTACCAAAGAAGTTATCAGCCCCACTCCCATCGAACGCATGCCTGAAGAAATCCGCAAGAATCGTCTTGACAAGCATCTCGGTCCCGCCAAACTCGCCGTCGACGTACGCGCGGATGCCTGCGTCGCGCTCGCGCACGGCAGCGATCTGCGAGAGGCAGTTGACGATGGGCAGGAGGATGCGGTAGATTTGCGTGTATTTGTCGATGAACATGAGGGCGTTGGGGACGTTCTAGGGATTTGACGACGGGATGAGATTGCGCGACTCTAGGGGGTACGGAAGCACGCCGAACTTACGTGATCACCCAAATGGATGACAGACGACCCGACCCAATACCCAACCTTCTTCTGCGCGCGATGCAGAATCGTATGCATGATCCTCGACACCTTCGGCGCAGCCTGCACACGGTTCAAACCCTGACCTGTATCCCTCAACCTGTACATGTTCCCCTCCGCAAGCAGATCCTGTTCAGCCAACGACCACACCATGAACATATCGTGCATGATTTCCCTCCACAAGGTGAGCGACTGCAGCACGTAATGGTATTGCTTGGAGTGGTCGTGCGAGAGACGCGCGCCGCCGCGGCCAGCGCGGATGGCGAGCGAGAACTTGTCTTCCATGGCGTCTTCGCGGAAATAGGTTTGGAGGTACTCGATCATCTTATCGCAAGGGTCGCGGTTGACTCGCAAGAAGGCGTGGTTGTCGCCAATGGAGTACAGACATTGACGGATCTGGTCGGGTTTCAGGTCATTCGCGGCGTATTTCCGTGCAAGCTGCTCGATGGCGCGTTCTTTGAGTTTGATGTCGGCCTGCACTTGGTGTCGGCTGCGGCCGTCGGAGGTGATTTCCTGCGTCGCGATGGAGATCAGGTCATCTTGGAGGAGGGCGAGGCCGTTCTTGGTCGAGGAGAGGAGGGTGTATACGGTTTTGACGGGTTTGACGCAGGCGAACTGAAGCATTTCGCGGACTTCGGGGATTTGGGAGTCTTGGAGCATGTAGACGAGCTTGCCGTAAGTTGCCCTCATTTTCTCGGGGTTCATGATCTTGTGTCGGCGGCCGAGCTCGAAGCTGGGGTGGTTAGGGATGGACGTTAGCCAAGTCTTTGCCTCAGCTCAATCATATACTCCGTGCCGACAACGCATGCCAACTTACATCTCCTGGAAGAAAGCTTTGTTGTTCTCGAAATCCCTGTCCTGGAATAGGTCCTGCCCGACCTTATAATCCGCAGCAAGCACCAGCCCCGACAAGATCGCACACAACTCTTTGATCTGCGCAACGATCCGCTTGCTCTTGTTTCCATACGTCAAGATGTCGATCTTATCCGTATACTCAGAAACGCTCAGACCTGCTTCGAGGAGCCGCAGGAACTTGCGTTCTTCGAGGCTGAGACGCACAGGGATGTACTTTGAGCGCTCAAGGAACCAGTCGCCAACCGGCCGCTTGCCTGTCGGCTGAGCTTCGAGGAGTTTCCAGTCGTCTGCTCCCGCCACCCCTTCTGTTGTGGTAGCCGTTTCCTCGGGCGTACTCCTCCCCGATTTGCCCCTCTTCTGCTTCTTCTGCGACACGGGCGTCACCAACGCCTTACTCGTATGCTTTTTCCGATTCCCCTTCCTATGCTGCGAGTGGAAACACACATCGCAGTAATCATCGGCGCACTGCTCGCAGAACACCACTGCCGGCTGATCCTCGCACTCGACGCAGTACCCCTGCGGCGCCGGCGCCGGCTTCTTCTTCTTGTTGCCCCCGTTCCGCGAGCCGCTGCCGCCCTGCACCGGCTCGGCGTCGTGCGACTCGGCGGAGGATGAGTCGCCGTCCTCGTCCGAGTTGCCCGTGTGCAGCTGCTCGACGCCGCCGTCGAGGATGTCCTCCAGACGTACGGGTTCGGCGGGCGCTACTTTCGACGGCGCAGGCCTAGCTTCGGTTTTGACTGCCGTCTGTTTGTGTTGTGTCGCTGCTGCGCGGACATCTACCTCCCTCGCTCCGACGCCGACAGCATGATCAGGAGCGTCCACCTCCATCGGTACGTGGTTGTCGTTATGGTTGTCGTTCTGTTTGTGATCCTTCCCGTTCGCGAAAATCCCTTTCTTCCCCTTATTCCCAGCAGCAGCAGAAGCGGCAGTACGCGGCGGCGAACTCGAAGGCGAGGGCGTCGCAGACCTCACTGTCCAGTTGTCACAAGTGGCAATGGGCCGGGCGACAAGGATAGACGACGACGAGGCGGCGGCAGCGTCGGAGTTTGCTGTTTGGTTGGCAATGTCTCCGTTGGCCGCGGCAGGCTTGTCCATAGTAGGGGATGTGGGGAAAAGTCCGTTGTGTCGTGCTGGTCGGCGAACAGTTTCTCAGGTTGTGGGAATGTGTCGTTTGCTCTGATGCTTGAAAAGTGCAAGCGAATGTAAGTTGGGGTCCATAAAAAAAAGAGGAGCGAGCCTCAGGTACAACAATACATAGTGCACATTGCCTACCAAACGTCAAGAAGCAAACTGGAGTTGGACACGGGTTTCGAAGACACAGAAATGCAGATATACGAGGACGTTGAGGCAGCTGCTTGCACCTTGCGTAGGTGGGAAGATGCGGTCGTACAGTATGTTGTGGGAGGTCACCCACCGACAACCACTGAGCATTAGGAATGTGAACGGGACCCGCGAGGGACATTCGGTTGGCAAATTAAACAACCGCATGGTCACGTGCTTCTCCACACCACAACGCGTCAAGCCCATTCTCACTCACTCACTCACTTATTATCATTGGCGAGAAATGCAAACGGCCGATGGATGGTCGTTCTATCGACAGTGTGAACCTCTATCTGACCTCTTGGCTGTGATGGATGCCGTGTCCCTCCAACCTTCGGTATTGTTGGTGGAGCTACCCTCGGATGGGGCGCCAGGATGGAGAAGATGGGGGGGGGCCAGTTTGGAAAAACCAGACGCGCGAAACTGTCGCCCACAGCGGAATGCCGTTTGCAATTCTCAACTCCAACATGCTATCCGCCCGGGCAGACGTTACATATGCGAACCGCGATGCCTATGTACCAGAAAGGAGTGCAAGCGGCCAAGCCTTTGCATCGATCCAGTATGTTGCTGAATTGAATATACGTAACAGACCAACAGTGGTCAGAAACATCACATCTCTAGAGACCACGCTTGAATTCTTTCTCTCGTCTTCCATCAATTGGTTCTCTCGTCTTCCATAAAATACTTTACTGTACTTTTCGAGCGTAACAGGTTCTTAGTGACTGACCGCACAGCGTTTTGAGCCGGGCTAGTCCGAGACGAGATTCAGATCTTTTGATTGCGTTGGAACACAATGCCATCGACAACGATCCCATCCCCATCCCAGCGAGAAGATGGAGGAGATGCCGAGCAAGATGATATTCGGCCCAGGCCGAAATACATTATTTTTACACACGATCAACCAGATTTTGGGCGAGATCAGATAAACGATAGAATGCGCTGTGCACGAAAGTATGTTGTCATTGATGCATTTTTCTCGATAGTATACAAGGGAAAGCGAGAGAGAGAGAATGCTTAGGGAGCTGAGAGCTCCCAACAACAGAGGGTATGCTACTATGGGAGTGAATTGAGAGGGCCGATATATGTAAGCGTTTCGAAACGCTGGCACAACTCTTGAAGGGACGACGAAGAGACTTGGAGTGGAAGGGCTTGACTTAGGAACGTTCACCGCGGAGACGACGGGCGAGCTGTAAATAGGGAAGGAGAGAAGTGTAAGAGAGCTGGATTATAGGAGCGTGCAAAATTGGAAAAACATCTCGGCACGCACCTGAATATCCTTGGGCTGGATAGTAACACGTTTTGCGTGGATGGCAGCCAAGTTGGTGTCCTCAAAGAGGCCAACAAGGTAAGCCTCAGAAGCCTCCTGCAGTGCGCCGATAGCAGAGGATTGGAAGCGGAGGTCGGTCTTGAAGTCTTGGGCAATCTCACGAACGAGACGCTGGAAGGGAAGCTTGCGGATCAAGAGCTCGGTGGACTTTTGGTAACGACGGATCTCACGAAGAGCGACGGTTCCGGGACGGTAACGGTGGGGTTTCTAATGATTGAGAGGGAGTGAGGAAGAGTAGAATGAGTAAAGAATATTCGAGCCATTTTGAAAGGTGAATGTCAAAAGACTGTGCTGTGTCAGTCAAGAGAGTAGAAAGAGCGTACACACCTTAACACCTCCAGAGGCGGGAGCCGACTTGCGGGCGGCCTTAGTAGCCAGCTGCTTACGGGGAGCCTTTCCACCGGTGGACTTGCGAGCGGTTTGCTTAGTACGAGCCATTGCGAAGGTTTAGCTTTTGGTGACGGTGAGGGTGAAGGTGGTGGGTAGCGGTGGTGCCGGGTCTGTTGTCGAAGGGTTGGTTGGCGGAAGCAGATTGCGGTGGACTGAGTTGTTGTGTGGTGAACAAGAAGGGGCGGGGGGGGGTGGTGCGTTTTATATGCCCGCGAGGTCCTTCCTGAGTTGAGAGGGAGCGCGTGAGGCCGTGGGGAAGTGACCGGCCCCCCTTCCTTGAGAGAGAGAGCGACGGTGCGATTGGGCGGGTGATTGGCTGCACGAGCGCGTCTGAGAGTGACACAGGCAATCTGGCCTTACAGGGAAATAGCAGGAACTCGCTCTCTCTCTCGGTCTTCTTGCGTGCGTCTGCGACAGAGAGACAGAGAGAGAGAGAGGGAAACACCCACGCGCGGATATAAAAGCACCCCGCGCCGTCCGCAACTCCCTCTCTCAACTTCACAAACAACAACAACACAGCAACCGCTCCCCCTTCTCTCGCCACCTACTCCCAACTACCCGGCCACCGACATTGGCCTTCGACAACCACCCGTAAAACCAACAAACAAACACACTACTCTTCACAATGACTGGTCGCGGAAAGGGTGGAAAGGGTCTCGGAAAGGGTGGTGCTAAGCGTCACCGCAAGATTCTTCGTGACAACATCCAGGTAAACTACTCCGAAGCCGTTGCAGTCTCTCCCAACCACTCTCCATACCACTCTCTAGCTCTGTACTCATCCATCCACCCCTCTCTGTCTCTCTGTCTCTCTCGTACTCCTCAGGGTATCACCAAGCCCGCTATCCGTCGTCTCGCCCGCCGTGGAGGAGTCAAGCGTATCTCCGGTCTCATCTACGAAGAAACCCGCGGTGTCCTAAAGTCCTTCCTCGAGAACGTCATCCGCGACGCCGTCACCTACACCGAGCACGCAAAGCGCAAGACCGTCACCTCCCTCGATGTCGTCTACGCCCTTAAGCGTCAGGGCCGTACCCTCTACGGTTTCGGTGGATAAATCCATTCGCTTCCGTTCTCCTCCAACTACATCCACCGCCAACCCATCCATCCACCCTCGCTTGCTTGTTGCTATCGACCCTCTCTCTCTCTACACACACACTCTTGTAATCTCCATACCCCAGCGCTTAGCAACGGTGTTTATCAACGCCAAAATTCCCCTCTCTCTCTCTCTCGCTCGCTCTTGTATAATACCATCATTGTAACTTGAGAAAAGATTGCGCACAATATCAAACTCCATGATGACAACCCATACTTTCTGTTCTTTCTCGTTTCGCTTCCGCTTTTGAATTGGCTCGGTTTGGCTGAGGTGCTTGGTTTGGGATCCGGTTTCTTCTTTCTACTCGGACCTTTGATTGGAGCCTGACCTGGTCGTCATGGTTTCCATATACTCTTCTGAACATTGCACATGGCAAAATCTATTGTCGATACCTAGTTGACTTACCGGGACGAGCGTTTTTGCCGAGATGAAACACAAGAGGGGCCCGCGCAACGGTCATTGAGATGCCTCCCAGCCAGTACGTAGTAAAGCAAAGCGGCAAAAATGAAAAATGTGTTATTCGGCCATGCAATACATCAGCCAGACAGGGAAAAAAGGGATAGAAAAACAAGCGGGTAAAAAGTCGATAATACATGCATGCGTAACGGTGGAAATATGAGATGCGATGCGGGGGGGTGATCGTAAAAGAATGCGGAATGGAAAATTGTTTTATCATATCAGCAGGAAAACGGGAAGGGGAAGAGAAGCGAAAGGGGGATGGGCTTGGAGATATGGGCAGGGCTAATCTTGAGATTTGGATTTGGTTCTATGAGACGATAACTACGAGGCCGGAAACGCTTTCAAGATGTAATTAAACAACGTGAGGATCTTGCCCTTATCGCCGTCCATAATATCTGCATCACCAAGTATGAAACATCAGTCAAATTCAACCCTCAATCTCCATCCCCCCCCCCCCCCCCACCGCCATCTCATTTTTGTTTCTTACCCTGCGGCGTACAAAACCCCCCCGGCGCGATCCCCTTCTTCGCCACAAAATTTAACGCCACCGCGATATTGTCGATCTTGAGCACGGGGAGCATCGCTCGCTTATTGTACTTGCCGACACTTTCGCCCGTCGCGTCCTACAAAAATCAACCATCATCATTAATTCCATTGTTGTGGGATGCCGGAAATGACGGCTTTTGATGGTCACCTCGAGGGCGTAAATGAGGTTCAACCCGTCGCCGAGAGACGTGTAGAGGTTGTCGACTTGGATGTTGTGGGAGTGGAGGTGCTTGTTGAGCCAGTCTAGACCGCCCTACAAAAAAGTCAAATATTGCGTATTAGCAACTGGGCCGACGAGTGGGGAAACCATTACGCCACGTACCTTCTCGATGGCCCTATCGTCTCCGCTCGTGCTTGCTTCTTTGCGTTTCAGGTTCTGTAACGGCGAGACAAGCATATTCAGATTGACGGCAAACGTAAAGAGACAAGATTATGATCGTTCCTCTTCACGTACCAAGGTTGTACCGTTGAACAAATCAGGGTTAGACCGCAGCGGGGCACCGGTTGCTCTTCGCATGGGCGGTGAGCCGACGGGTAATTCCTTCAAACACGTGCGGGACACTGTGTCAGTTGGAGTAATCAAGTACTTCACATTTCCACAACAATGATACATACCTCCTGTGCCTCAACCTCCGCATGTAATGCTTCAGCACCCCCCTCCTCTCCCCCACTCGCCTCTCTCGAATGCCCTCTCGAAAGCGGATGCTGGCCCACAACTCCGCCATCATCCCCAATCTGATCCTGACTCGCACTCCTCCCAAACCCACCCCCCTGCCTTCCCGTCACAGCCGCCGCAAGGGCTCCCAGTGCTCCATGGTTAGTTCCAAACATTCCCGGAATGCGGCGTGGTTTGGGTGATTCCACCGGTGGAGCGGGTGCAGAGTCTTCCGGGATGGTTTGTTCTCCGGCGTGAGAGGGGGGGGAGGGTGAGTCGACCGAGTATGTTGATTGCGGCCGTTCGTTGATCGGAGTCTGAGCGGCGGCGTGCGAAGGGGATCCGTAATGGGAAGGCGGGCGTTCGCTGTAGTGGGATTGGGGGCGTTCGCTATACTGCGATTGTGGGCGCTCGTTGCCGCCGGCGGTGGAGGTGGAGATTTGCGAGGCGGGGCGGACGGATGGGACTGGGCGGGGGCGAGGGGTGGGGATGGGGACCGGGTGCGAGGCCGCCGCGCTGTGTTGGGAGGATTCGGAGGCCGTGTCGTCAATGTGGGAGCTGCGGCGGGGTTTGGGTGGGATCACGGGCGCCGAGGGTGAGTGGACGGGAGGAGAACCTGCACCTTCCGAGGGACTCGGAGCCGGAGCGGGGACGGGAGTGGGATAGACTCCGCTCATTCGGTGGGCCGGAGACTGCACCGGTTTCGGTGGCCGACGAGGCGCCGAGCCGTCCGAAGACGGCGAGGTGCCTTCATCCTCATGCACGGTGTTGCGGCGTTCGTTATTGTAGATGGTCGACATGGGACGCGCGGGCCGCGGCGGGGGTTGTTGGGGGTGTTCAGCGCTTATCGGCCCTTCGGGCTCTGAATACACGCTCTGACGCTGTCGGCTGCGTATGCTCGCAGTCTCGTCTGCATCTGACGCAGCGTCGTCCTTGGCAGGGCCTCTCATGACGTTCGCCAACGCGCTCATGGCGGCGTTCTGAGGGGGTCTGCGGGGCTTGGATGGAGCCTCGGAGCCTTCGGTACCTTGCGAGTCGTATCCGGATGCGTTGGATTCGGCCATGGACCCGGTCCTGCTGTGTTTGAACTCTTCCGGGTGGGCGACCTCCTCCGGCCGGGGCTGCGGGTTCACCTGCGATGGGGGACGTTGCGGCACCACGGGTGCAGGCGCAACGGGCTCCGCGCGTTCTTCTACGTGCTGAGATACTGGTTCGGGTTCCTAAGGAATGTGTAGGTTTAGATTCAAAATGGGGGCGTATTGGTCCATTTGCCATCACGTTACCTCCACAGCATCCGCATCGTCCTGTCCATCATCCTTCGAACTACTCTTGGCCTTCTTCGGCCTCGACTTTGTCAAATGACTCAACATGCCCCTCAATCCCATCTTCGGAGACTTCTGCGCTTTAAGCTTCTCACTCGCCTTCCCAGCCGCAGCGTTTCCACCAGGCGTAAGGTGCTGAGAGGCCACATCTTCCGCGGTCGGACCATCATGGGACTCCCGGGGAGTGGAAATCGGCGTCTGCACAGCGGCGGGTGGTGCCTGTACTGATGCTGGGGCAGCGGCGGGCTGCACATCATGGTCGTACTCTGCGCCATCATGCGGTTCATCTGTAACACCGATGCGAGCAGGTGGACGGGGCGGGATATCGGGAGTGGGTTCGTTCTCATCATTCACCCGTTCCTCTTCCTCCGGGGCCCTTTGGACTGGAGGTCGCGCGAATTTCGGTGGAGGTCCTGAGAGCATCCTGTTCAAATTGGCTGCAAGTCCACCCGGTTTGCCGGACTGAGGTGCGTCCGCAGCTCCCTGACGCGCGACAGGTTCCTCCTCAATAGAATCCGAGCCATCCGTTGCCTCATCAGACACAGAAGTTCGCGACTTTGCAACTGGAGACCGTTCAATCGCTGGTGGGCGAGAGGGTGGGGAAGGACCGGTAGTCACAGCTCCGTGGTTCACAGCCATGCTCTTTGGTCGGGGTTTGGTAGAAAGAGGGACCTGTGGAGGTTGAGAAGGATGTACTACTTCGGACGCCGGACGAGGCCCCGAGTCGGCTACCGGACGCGGCACGGCGGCGGGGACGAAAGCTTCGGACGCTACAGATGGCGGTCTTGGCTGTGCCGCTGCGGCCTGTTGTGGTCTCGATTCGACAGCGGGAGGCTGAAAATCACATGGCCTCATCAGTTATCCGACTGACAGGGAAGCTACCGAATGCGCGAGACATTGAGTCTATACCTGAGCAGGTTCAGCAATCGCCTCTAGCTTCTGAGAGACCCTCTGCACTCTCGTTGCCAGAGACTGTTCGACGGCCGTGTTTGCTGAATCGAGCATAGCGGAATACAGATCGCGCGCGCCGGTGCGGAACCGAGAGTCGATAAAGTTCAAGACGACCGCATCGAATTCCCCCACCAGGTCGATGCTTCCGGCTAGCTCGTGGAGGTTCTGCCGACACTGCTCCGCACGTTCGTCGCCTGCCAGTATAGTCATAAGCAATGTGCGTGGAGAGGGCCACACGTAGCAGTCATACACTCACTGTTGACGGTTGGATCCTCAGCACCCTCAGCCTCGAACACGAAGCGCACCTCATCCACCAAAGCGTCCGCCAGTTTCACCCACTCCCTCCTAACAGCAGCATCCGCTTTCCCGACCGCATCTCTAAACGACGATTTGAGCGCACGGACCAACCGATCATCGACAGCCTTCGGTGCGTTCCTCGCCAGCCCAGTGACCGTCTGCGTCGAAGAGTCTACGTCCTCCAATACACCATTCGCAGCGCGGAGGATACTGTGACTTGCTCCGGGGGAAGACGGAGTGGACTCGGCACGAGCTATGAGGTCTTTGAGCCTCATGGCTCTCGAGGCCATTGCAGGGGTCGGGTACCGTCCTATTGGAGCGGAAATCGCGGAGTGAGAAATTTGGAGTCATCCAAACGTTTCATGGCCGCGAAAAAGTGCCCATTTGCCTCCCAGCCAGTCCTCCTATGTCGTCCGCCTATCCTGAAACCTACCGGCGGTCGTCGACATGATAAAGTCAGAGCCAAACCACGGTCAAGATGGAACAAGATGAACTGGTTTTCCCAGAAACGCCGCTGTACCAACAAGGATACTAGATGTGAGCAGCTCGTCGGGTGGGTATGAGAGCAAAGCCCCTGGCTCCCTCACCTCCGCAAGCACTTTCCGAAGCCGATAAGCGATCGTTGACTCTGGGGGTATGGGATACGTTAGGGTGTGTGAGACGGTTGCTCCAGTCGAAAGCTGCTGTCGACGACCGCCCGCAAGCGATCCGCGATGAGCAGGGGGACGTCACTTCGAATAAGGCCCCTAGGTCTAAGTCTTTGAGAATATGGCCCTGACTTGAGCGACATTCAGCAGCAGCTCCTAATCCTCTGATAAGAATGGACGCCTGACCTGCGTTTGGGGTTTAACGGGCCAATATTAAATACCCAATCGACCGGTGGTTGGCGCAAAATATAATTATTCATACCCAGCGGATATATCAGACTCCAGACTCCACAAGTCCTGATGAGATCCAAAGAGAAACCCAGAAATGCTACTATGACACTGTGATAATTCTAAGAAAATGCGAATAGATTACAAAATTGGGGGGGGGGGGGGGGGGGTTCGGTTAAATGCAAAACGTCCAGACCAAGAACAAATGGGTGGAGGGGTATATAAAGAGAAAATAATCCCAAACGGCCAGACGGGGTGGGGTTGTATCATATGTCCCTACGCAAACTGGGGATGCCCTGTCCGGAAAATCGTTTCTTCTTGGAATGACTGGCAAGAATGTTGAGATGCTTCGCATTATGGATGGCAAGTCATGGTTGACTTGGGTGTCATTCGTGCGTTCATGTGTGTGACGCATGAATGGAGGACTTGCGTGGTGTATGCGAGTAGTGTTGGTGGAGCGAATGAGAATCGTGGGTGGTGAGGCATGACTCTCGGCGGTCACCCCACAGTGGGCACCGCCAACGATTTCCGTGACCGCACGAGCTTATCAATCTTGGCAAACAGATCTGGTTTCGAGTACGGCTTGGTCACCAGGTCGTCCATCCCCACCGACAGGGCTTTCTGCAGGTACTCGTTCCGTGCATTTCCCGTAATCGCGACGATGGGCACGCGCGCGCCGTGAGGTGTTGCTATGCCGCCGTTGGCTACTTCCAGTTGTCGGATCTCGGCGGCGGCTGTGAGGCCGTCTTTTACGGGCATCTCGAGGTCCATGAGGATGATGTCGAACTGGGACCCGATGGCTACAAACAGGTCGACTGCTTCGCCGCCGTGGTTCGCTATCCGTACTTTGTAGCCCACGTTTTCAAGCTGCTTCTTGAGGACCTTCTGGTTGACCTAAGCAAGTGAACGTGTGAGACATATGGGAAATATTAAACCCTTCTCACACCACCCGGTACTTACGACATTGTCCTCCACAACCATCACCAAAGATTCTTGCAAATCCGATGTCACCGACAGTGACGACGGCGTACTCCTGAACCCTTTACTAAGCGATCCAGACGACAATTTCTGCGACAGCTTCTGCTGCGATCCATGCTTCGGCCGCGACGACCCTTCAATCGGCGTGTTCGGCGAGAAACTCCGCTTGCGCGTCTCAAGCCCCAGATGCTTCTGCGACTCGGTGGTGCGAGTCCGGTCCGGCGGATTCGCTGGTGGATCTCGCAGCTCGTACCGAATGTAGAACTTGAATGTCGTCCCAACGCCTTTGGTGCTCTCAACCAATATTTGACCGCCCTGCAGCTCGACAAGCTTCTTGGTGATGAAGAGTCCTAATCCTGAGCCGCCGAAATCGCCGTACGTTTTTATGGCGGGTTGGGAAAAGCGACGGAATAATTGCTGTTGCTCGTCTTGGGTCATGCCGACGCCTGTATCTGATACGCTGATGGAGATGTAGATGGGTGGGCCTGGAGAGGTCACTTCGATGTCAGTGTGTTTGGCGGATTCTGAAACAAACACGCTTATGATCAGTAAGAGCGCAGATCGTCCTGACGGTCAGAAGTATGGGTATAATTACCACCAACACTAGACTCAGCATCGTCAACGTTCATCAAGTCTTCATCGAGCATCCTCGGTGCGTCGAAAGGCTGTGCAGAGCTGGCATTCAGTAAAACTTTGATCTCTCCCTTCTTGACCGGATTTGTGAAGCGCATTGCATTCGTCAACAGGTTGAGCTGTAATCGAAAGAAACAGGAGGTCAGATTCTTCGCCCACGTACAGCCCTTGCCAAATTCCACTTCCAAAAGCCAAGTATAACCCACCATGATCTGACTCAGCCTCTTCGGATCTCCACACACCCAATCAACGCCAAGCTTCTCATATTCCGGATCCACAATAAGGGACAGACTCGTGCCCTTGATCTTAGCCTCCGTCTCAAACACGCGGATCGCATTTTTGACCTCCACATACGGCTGGAAGCTATCGTTCGAAATATGCAGCAGGTTCATCGAGATCTTCGACACCTGCAGCACGTCGTCCGCGATGTTTTTCTGGTGGTGTGCGCACTGTATGATGGTTTCCACTGCATCAACGTCATGCGTCAGTTCCTCTTCCATTTTGTTGAGCACATTCTCCAGACTCGCCATGGATGGCTCGTTGGTCTCGCCCCACTGCATCGACCCGAGGGTTTTTCGCATCATTTGTGCTTGCCGGTTGACGTTTTGCAGAGATTCATAGACCAGATCCGCGTTGTGATATATCCCATTGAGCGGGTTTCGCAGCTCGTGGCAGGTCATGTCAATGAAAAGCTCTTGTTTCCGTTTCACAGACTCGGCCTCCTCCGCACGTCGTCGCTGGTACTTCTCCGCCATCTCCAAAGCTTCTAACCGCTCTTTCTCCAACCGCTTCCGCTCAGTCAGATCGGTGATGGTACCAAGAAGTCCTATCGACCGGCCCTCCTCGTTGTACTCCAGGATGGTCTCTTGCAACACCCAGTGCTCGACGCCTTTGGTCTCATCGTAATACCTGAACTCTGCTGAATGGCGCGGCAACTTTAGCGCTTTCTGCCACTCCTCTTTGGCGTGGTCGCGGTCTTCGTGGTGCACTGCGCCGAAAATCTTCTTGCCCGCTGGGTCCAGCACGCGATCGTGCATGCTGATTTCCCAGAACTTCTCGTTGGCGTAGGTGAGGTGGCCCTTATTATTTGACTTGAAGATCCCAACTGGGCTGAGGCTCGACATGGTTTTGTACCGCCACTCCGACTCCGCAAGCTCTTTCGTCCGTTCTTGGACCCTCTTCTCCAATTCCAGTCGCAGTCGTGACACTTCTAGGTGTGATTGTACGCGTGCTTTGAGCTCCTTTCCAGAAAACGGCTTGACTAAATAGTCATCTGCACCCATTTGCAAACCATCTACTCTCGCTTCCTCGCCCGCTCTCGCCGACAGCAGGATGACCGGTATCCCCTTCGTCTTCGGATCTCCTTTCAGAGCACGAAGGAGGCCTATGCCGTCGAGATTCGGCATCATGATGTCACTTACGATACAGTCTGGCGGATTTGCCTTGACGGACTCCAGCGCTTGCAATCCGTCAGAGACTTCCGTGACCCGCCAGACTTTGCCGAGGATAGATTTGACGTACGCCCGCATGTCGGCGTTGTCGTCTGCCAGTAGCACCCGGCAACCGCGCGTTGTGACAGGTAACCTGGGTTGCATTGTCGTGGATGTTTCTGACAAGGTCGGTTCGGAACTGGTGGTCGCGTGATCAACAGGTGTGCTGTTCCCATCGTTGTCCCGCAAAGACATCCAATGATTCGCCTCTTCGATAATGGAGCTGCCGTATGTCAAGGAACCGACGGTATGCTCAGCCTCTTCTGTTTTGTTGAAGTCTTCGGATACCATATCTGGTGGGAGATGACTCGATCCGAGAGGAATCTGGACGAAAAACGTGCTTCCGGCCCCAACTGTGCTTTCCGTCCACAACTCGCCGCCGTGCAACTTCACCAGCTCTTGCGTGAGCGCCAGCCCTATCCCGGTCCCCTCGTGACTACGCCCAGAAGCTCCTTCGACTCGATGAAATCGTTCAAATACGCGGTCAAGTTGATCGCTAGGGATCCCTATCCCGCTATCTTGCACGGAGAAGATAAAGCGCATCTTATCGCTGCTGGTCGCAACTGACACGCGGATTGTGCCCTTCATCGTGAACTTGAATGCGTTTCCGATCAGGTTGAAGACCACCTTCTCCCACATGTCGCGGTCAATATAGGCTTCGCATGACTCGTCACATTGCACTTCGTACTTGACGCCCCTCTTTTCGATGGCACTCCGAAACACGCTCGCAAGGTCTCTCGTCAGGGCGGCGACGTGGGTCTTCCGGAAAGATGCCTGCATTCTTCCGGCTTCCAGTCGACTGAAGTCTAATATGCTGTTCACCAGTTTCAGCAGTCTTCGAGCATTCCGGTTAATGAGCGTTAACCGCTCCATTTGGAATGCCGTAGGTGATTCCTTGGAAGTCGTCAGCAAATCCTCCAATGGGCCCAGCATGAGCGTTAACGGGGTTCGCAGTTCGTGTGAGACGGAGCTGGAAAAGGGATACTGAGTGTTAGAGAATCTGTAGCCATACATGAAACTCTGGAAAAGGGATGCTAACCTGAAGAAGGCGGTTTTTGCGCGATCGATGGTAGCCAATGCGTCTGCTCTCTTCACTTCCTCGTTGAAAGCCATTATATTCGACAAGCTGCTGGCCGTTTGCCTGAATAGAAGCTCAATGAAGGTGCTGCAAGCGAGTTGGTTAGACCAGGAGAATATGTCCGATGAATCAGTAGCGTAAGGACACATACATGTAGTCCTCATCGTATGGTAGCCTACTACTTGTTCCAATGATCATGACCCCTTGTATGTCCTCGGCTTCACTTCCAGCGATCGGACAGACCACTACTATTTTGGAAGGATCTCCGAATCCTCGCCCTGGAATACCTTCCACGAGCTCTTGATTTCGCACCTCCACTGTCGTCCGCTTGGTGCAAACCTCGTGGAAAGGCCATATTTGCGGCAGCTCAAAGTCCCTGGACAGGTCAACAGTGATGTCTTCGATCGCGGCTCGATGATCCCTTGTGATCCCGATCACTTCGGCTAGGCGTAGAGAGAACGGCCGCCCAATGTCGACATCTCCGTTGGTCGCCTCCGCGATTTCCGAGCTGCCCGTGTACAACAAAGCAAATGTCACGTCTCTTTCGCTTGCTCTGAGAACGTCCGCAGTAATGCTAAGAAGGTTCGACACGTCTTTGGCCTGTCCAGCTGCAACACTGTATTCCCTGAGGGCTTTTAGGCGACGTTGAGCTATCACCTGACGAGATGTTTCAACCGTTGGATTCAAGAGACCGCCTACAGATCCATCCTCTTGACGGATTGGGACATAGGACCACTACCGAAGAAACGCGCGAGTCAGGTACATTCCTCCTTTTGTCCAAAAAACGTTCAAAGTATTGACTGACCGTGTGGTATGTCTCTTCAGGGAATCCGTTGCGTGTCATGAACAGAAGATCGTCCACGGTGTGCTTTCCAGCGCCCAACAGAGCCTGCTCAGCAGGGCCTTTCAGATCATCCCAGATCTCACTCCATGCCTCGGCTCCCGGTTTGCCGAACAACCATGGATGTTTGCCAGCACAAATTGGAATGTAAGCGTCGTTGTACAGCAGGATGAACTTCGGGCCCCACCAGATGGACATGGGGAAAGGCGATGCCAACATCAACGCGAGCGCAGTCATAAGGGACTGAGGCCACGTATGAACTGGACCAAGGTGACTCTCGGTCCAGTCGACTTCTCGCAACAGCTGTCCCATGACACCGCCACCGGCAAAGGATTTGGCCAGCCGTGGAATTGCCTTCCATCCAGTGGGATGCGTGAGATCGCCAAATGACTCCACGATTTCACCTGTATCTATCTGTTCGATAGTCGTCGACGACTCGGCAAGCCATTTGCCGGTCAGGGTGATATACTCTGGTCTCATCCACACAGCGGACCACTCGACCAAAGCCGCGCTCCGGCTCGGCGACGTCCATCTCGAGTTAATGATTTGTGTTGTGAATGGTTGAGGTGATTGTCCGCTCGCACAAACGAACGAGATCCAGTTTTCGAATTCGCAAGGGTTGTCCACGAGAATTAGGTCGGCGATCGGAGAACCTTCAACAAGGTTGTGTGTAGTGTTTAAGGCCGCATAGAGGGAAGGGTTTACGTAGGAAATGGTTTGTTCTGCAAACGAGCTTCCAACCGTCAGGACGACTGCAGGTTGTGGCAATGAGTCGAGGTACTGCAGGAGCCCCAGAGCTGCCAACGGTCTCGGATTGGATTGTGTTGACATCGTAGGGTTGTGTCTGAGGGCGGGCCTGGTCGTAGTCCAGGCGAGGCCGAGACCGAAGGATTCTTTTACTAGCGTATCTTTGTCTCTGGCCGGACCCCCAAAGGCACAGTATAGTGATGTAGTTGGCTGTCTGTACCGAAACTCTCTCTTCCTCAGTTGGGAGCAGTTGGGAGGAGTCCTTTGCTTCAGGTGGGCGTGGGAAGATACCGTATGCAGGTGGAGGGGGCTTCTAGACTCCTGCAGACGGTCTACGACACAAGCCCATACCATACCGCCGCATAGTACTGTACCGAGGCCCTGTTACCTTGGAAATCGGCATCGACTGTATCGTTTTGCCACCACCCGCGCGTCCCACTGGCATAACACATTGTAGTATATACCACAGTATCCCCGATACTATCGAACCATAAATACTTATGTCCTTTTTATCTACATTTTACTCCGAGTCTTTATGGCCTAATATGACGTCAATTGCGACGTTATTAAATAATGACTCATGCCGCAGAGAAGGAGAGAAGCCGCGTTGATTTCTCATCTGGCGATCCTTTGTTTGAACTCATGGCGGAGAATCGAGAGATTAGGCAAAACCTTATATTACTGCCATCCGGCGGTTCCGCCAATTATAAAGGACCTTGCGTTGGGAACCAGTTAATTAGTTTCGACAGCGCGCGAACCCGCCGTCATTCCACTCCGGATTTCACCTTACACATTATATCGAAGACCACTTAGCTCCTTCACCATGACTGCGATGAACAAGGCCGTCGCCTCCAGTGCCACTGCGGTAGCTAGATGTCGAACTGTTTGATTTTGTAGCCACTTGCCAAGCAACTGAAGTTGAGCAATACTCGGAAGCAACCGAGCAACCGAGCAACCGAAATCCCCCAAAACCCCGACTGCGATCGGATATCTGAAGACTCTGCAAAAACGCTGAACACTGGCTCGGTCACACTGTCACATTGGGCCGTCAGCCCAGCGCGTCGCTGTCAGCTTCTTGCAAAGGAGCTCTCCATCAGCATCCGGAAGCGAGCGAATACAGGAACACCAATCTGATGCCACTCTCGCTACCAATGTGTTCAGTAACTTCAGTGTTCTGGCATGACGATGGCAGGGTGTGAAACCGGTGTACTTCGTAAGAGAATAAATTGCATTGTATAGTTGTGCTGCTGTGAGTGCTATATGCAAACGTGAAAACGTCGAAGGGACAGCCAGCCCGCATCACAAAGATCAATCCCTTTTAAATAGCAAGAGATCCAAAAAAGAGGCACACCCACGCAACCTTCAGTAAGTTGCCTTGGATATCCCAGAAGCCCTTCCCTCCATCCTTGCAGAATCACGATATTCCGTCACCACCTATGCCTCGGGGTCGTGGGTCGCCGCCGCGTCCTTGAGCTTCCACCAACAGTTATGGCAGATCATGTCTTCTTTCGCTTTCTCAGCAACCATTTTGGATGAAACAGCATCGACGACCATCCCGGTCTGACTCTTGTCGACCGATGGCTGCACCTTGATAACCAACCGCCCATCATCACCCGGCCCAATCGACACAGTGCTCTTGCGCCCGCGTTTCCCCACCGAGCGAGATTGGTATTCGCCATAATCCCCCTGCTCGGCTGCGTCATCGTCGCGCGATTTTCGCTTGTGAGATGGTCGGTTGACATCCGAGGGCACGAGGACGGGTGGTGGCGGCGAGCTGGAGGAACCTGAGTCCTCTTCGCAAAAGCCCGGATTGGATTTACGGCGTTTCGTGCGCATACCGCGGCCGAGAACTTCGGGTTCTGATTGGGGTTTGCCGTCGTCTGCGGCGAGTGACGAGGGTTGGGCGGGGTCAGAGTCGTGCCCATCGTCACTGAGAAGCTTTCGTTTCTTATCGTTGTTTGTGTTCCCAGCAGCGATCGCGTCGGCTGGTGTATCTGCCGGTTGCTTGGCGTCGTCTTTATGTGTCTTCTCGACAGGCTCCATCCCCAAAGCTTTCAGCACTTCAGCCCTCTGCCACCATATGGCCGACACTGTGTTCTTACAATCAATACACTCATGACTTGGGCCTGTCGAGGGGGGTGCCAAAGCGCTCGTAGACCCGGAAGGTCCAGCCGTGACAGATCTGTGACGCGCCGAAGAAGCCGAGTTGCTTGCCGCTCCTCTCTCATCTGCCGGAGATATGATGGTCCCGTCGGACCCCTTCCTGCCAATGTATTTCGGTCGATCGCCGTGTCCGCCCAACGAGATCAGGATGACATTCGGTTTGTGGACTTTCTCCGGTTTGACATCTGCCTGCTGCTGAGTGCTCGCTTGGGCAGTAGTTGCGCATCCATCTTGTGGTGCATGAGGTTGGTGATGTAAGTGGCAGGAGCATTTATCCACGAGCGCCATTGAATACGCCCTGCGCTGTCCACCGGTTCTCAATTCGTGCTTGGCGGTGGCGGTGTTGGACTTCCTGGTTAACGCATAATGCCGCAGCAAGGTCGACCTGCAATTTGGAGTCGGCTTCCCTTTCAACCCGTCAATTTGGTCCGCATCGGCTGGATTATCCCCTCTCTCGTAGGGCTCCAGTGTGAGACGTGTAGGTTGGTGGAGAGATGATGCCCTAATAGCGGCCCCAACTGCCTCGTAGCTCCCTGGAGTAGGCTAAAGGCACGAGATCGAGAATGTTAACGGATGGTATCGATTGAAACTGGCTCCATGTCCCAACGCGACAAGCGACGTACCAGTAAGCCATGTTTCCTATGGTCATGTTTCGCGCAGAAAGCTTGGCACACAACATCCCCCTTCTCCGCGCCTCCAACCGCATCCTGCTCCGTAACAGCCATCTCCAGCCCGCTCCACATCGCACACGAAACGTGGAACGCGACTTGACACCCGCGTTCAGAGCAAGTGATGCAAGCTCCTTCATGTCTGTGGCAGATGGAGCAGTTCTGCTTCCAGCGTTTCTTATCGATTATCCCGATGCATTCAATGGGCTCCATTGTGTTGACGTCGCCGAATTTGATCTCGGGAATCCAGATGGCGCAGGCGACGTGGGCCCAGTTGTTTCCGACGGTTCGTTTGATGGCAGAGAGACGGGGACCGGGAACCATGGCACATAGAACACAGTTGTAAAGCTGCCGTGACAGAAGTGCTGGAGTCAGCTGGCGGTTCCGTCTTGAACCTGAGCAATCTTTTTAGAACTCACCACAGAACACTCCGGCTGTCGAGTATTCTGACATCGAGCGCACAGGAATCCTTCTTCTACCGTAACTTGGTCTGGTAACCCGTAACAACCTGGAGATATCCGGAACAAACTTAGAAAGCCTTCCGAAAACCAAAGCTGCTCCCAAAACCCAAAATACCTTTATGCACCCTCAACTTGCATCCCGCACACTCCACAATCTGATTGTTCATCTCCTCATCCAAATCATCACAAACAGCGCACGGGCGCGGTCGAGATTCATCCCACTCGGGGCTTGGTGGAGCCGACTCTTCCTCTGCACGTGGTGCTCTGGCCACCGCGGCGTTTATTGTCTTGCCACGGGCGCTCTTCTTCTTTGGCTTATCTTTGTCTGATGCGGGCGGCTCGATGGATTGCTTCTTGCGTTTTCCGCTCTTCTTTTGTGCTGAGGATGCAGCTGTACCGCGAAATAGAAGAGTGAATGGCCGAAGAATTGGGAAGGATTCAACTTCCCCGAGTTAGCTGACTGGGCGCATACCATGCTCGCGATTTGCCTTGCGCATACTCTCAGGCACCGGCCTGGCAACTCCATACTTGAGCCAATAGACCCCGCAAGTGAAGCACAGTATCTCGTTCTTGAGATCAGGACGCTGTCGAACTTTCCACTTGGTTGATTCCGTGGTATAGCAATTGACACATTCCAGGTGATGATGCGCGTTCGGGTTGGACGGGGATTGCTGTGCGCGCCATTCGTCTTCGCTGATATCGCCAGACAGATTGCCTTCGGCGTCCAGCGCCGTTCCATCCATGGCATGCTTTTGCGATTTGAACTGCTTACTGTAGGTGCGGGATAGGTGTGAGCGTTCTCGTCATGCAATGTACGAGGTCTTGATGAGGCGTCTAACTTACCTAGGGCGATACTTTTTGCAGAACTGGGAGTATACCGGAGCATAACGCCTTGTTTTCTTCCATTTGTAAAAATATGTTACAATTTCCGGGAGCGTCTTTGTCTTGACCTAGAGGAGGAATTCGCGGAAGAGCGAGCGTGTTATTCACCTGCATTGCCGCCGAAGACCCCGATTCTTCTTCACAAACGAACTTCCGCTCTATCCTAACGTACCTCTCTCTGAACGAGGTGAAGCTCATGTCCAAACTTCGTAATGCCGGTTTCAAAAGCCTTGATCTCCTGCTCCGTCCAAGCCGGCACTCCCAAATCGGCTGCCTTCAAAGGAAGTATGACCTGCAGCGCCTTGGCGATGTTATACCCAGCTTTGTGCAGTTCTTCGTGTGCGCGGTTCAGGAGATAGTCTGAGCATTTGATTGAAGCGGGCATGGAGTCTTGAATGCGCTTTATGTAGTTGTCGACTGTAGATGGTTAAACTTGTTTTAGCACTTGAACGAACAGGCGAGACGAGCATAGAGTGAGCTAACCTTCTTGATCAGTCAAATCAGTCGGCATGCGGAACACGAGCTCCTCATCTGTTCCTCGTCCTGACGCAGCTGAATGCAACCAGGGTCAATGTCACTATGTGGGCATGAAGGGCGTAGCCCAAATTCGTCTGCTATTCGCTCCATACCTGGAATGATGATAGGTGGCAACCCTGAATCCTTCTCCTTTCGCTTTGATGCTTTGGGGCGACTAGGCGGGTTCAACTTCAAGGTGATTCTTCCAGCCTCAGGCGTTGACGCGCTCGCACTAGTAGGCGCAAGTGCATGCGGCGGCAAGGGAATCTCCTCTTCGTCCGGAATGTCCATTCGCATGGGGTCACCGATCTTGGGAGATGTCCGTGCGGCAGGCGTGGATTCCGGTTCATCAGCCCTGGCCTTCCCCGTCTCAGGGTCACGATTGTCGGTTCGAGTAGGACTTGTAGATGATGGGCTAGGACGCACTATGCTTGGAATGACGGCCTGATGACCATCGCCGATTCGTGGCGAGCGAGATGAAGATGACCCTGCCGATTCGCCCTTGGCTGCACGCGGGCTCGAGGGCGGTGACGCTGCTTGATGGGATAGCCCAATGCTAGGTCCGACGGCAGATGCGGTTGAATCTGTTCCAGCACCTATCAATGTCCCAAGACCAGGAGCCAATGTCTGCGGTTGGTCCTGGTTTGCGGGAGGGGTGCTGCCGGTCAACTTATTGATAGCCGCCGACCCCGAAGCTCCATCAGCTTCACGCGGAGATCCAGATTTTGGGCTTGGGGTGACGGACTTGTCATCTTTGTTCAGACTGGGGATCCGGATTTTCGATTGCATCAATGGGACGCATTCCGGCAGGTCTGCTTGATACGCTTTGCCGATTCTATTGTGTGAGAAAAATCTGTCAGAATGACCTTTATGGACTTGATTTGAGCAGAGCTCATGTACCTGCTGGCAGCGCGCGGATGTCCACGGTCAGGGCCTTCTTCAGCTGTTGAATCATGAAAAGTAGATGTTCACAAGAATCAGAATGAGATAGGTAAACGTAAGACATTTCACCACTTGGGGTTAACTTACCAAGAGATTCACGGTATTTTGCGTATTCGCCGAAGTATCGGTAAGGCCAGATAGGTTTCACCGTTTCTTTATTGACGGGCAAAGGAAGCTCGATCTTCTCCATCTGAACCTCGCGATTCTCTGGCTTCGAGGAAGACGGCGTAAGCGCATCTGCGGCAATACCAGAAGGTGTTCCAGGATTATCGCCTCCCTTGAGGGCAGATGTCTTAAGGCCCCGGTTCCTTCTCTCAAGACCTTTCTCGCGCTCTTCGCGGCCTTCGAGTGCCTCCTTATTGCATTTAGCGCATTGCCAGGCGAAGCCTTTGGGAGGTTTCTTATTGAGGCCGACACAGCCCAGATGGAAGGCGCCGTTGCACGCAACGCATTTGACGACCGCTTCGTCGGGATTGCACCATCTGTCGCAGCTGTTGCATACGCGTCGTTCGGTGAAGTCCGATGCTTTGCCTGCTTCGACGAGGATGAACAGGTAGTCGGATAAAGCGTGCGCCACTTCATCAGGAAGGTTTCTGACAAGCTCGAGTGGGACGACATCATACACGCGGTGGGTATAACGGTCGTAGACTGTTCGAAAGAATGGGAAGGCAGTGAGATAATAGGAAAACGCATTGGGCATAGTCTATACATGTGGCTGCATGATCGTGAGTCTTACGTTGATCGTAATAGAACGTATCGTCTTTCGCTTTCCACTTGTCCAAGTCCGCAATGTGGTGTATATGCATGATCTCGCATTTACCGCGTATGCTTGTTACGCTGCATTTGTAATTAGAGATATTTGTCAGGAAATGGGCGGTCGTGACATCAACTGCGACGACGATGGGAAAGAATCTCAAGTTACTTACGGATTGATGTCCGAATGCATGGAAGCGAGTAATAGTCTTGGGTCGTGATTTTTCTTCTTGCCACCGGGTAAGACATCCTTCGGCCTGTAAAACCATCCGATGCGTACAGACATGTGCTGCTTGCCAGGGTGCTGTTTCGGTGGTGGGACGAATTCTAATACCCGGCCAACGTAGTATCTGAATTCGGGATGTGGAAGAAGGGCGGAAAAAATTGGTGAGAAAATTATAGAAAATGAGCCCGATAGATCATTCACCGCTGTCATTTTCAATATGTGAGCGTGGGAATGGGGTGACTTACAGCTCATTGGAGACATCCGGTGCCAAATAAACGAAATCTTGAGAGAAAATGGAGAGGGCAAAGACGTCAGAAGATTGGAACCATGTTCTCAAGGCCAAATGATCGAATTTAGATCCCACGTATCAGATCCAATGCCATCTTCAAGGGAGCGAGTAAAGCTTACCGTTGATGGCATATACCTGGCCGTCCTTAGCTGTTATTTGAGTGATTGGCTGCTTAGGACTTGTCGCTGAAGCTCCAGCACGCTTGGGTTGTCTCGTGGGGACGACTTGGTCTGCCGAGGAGGCGCCTGAGCCACCGCCTCGAGTGGAGCTCCCGGCTGTCGCTGAGCGTTTGGCGTTCCGCATAACTGGTTCCGCTTGAAGCAGCCGGAACATGAAATCACCCGATTCGCCGGAAACGGCGGTGGTGCTGTTTCTGTCTCGGAGGTGTCTGGGGGTTTGCGGTCGGTATGTGCAGGTTATTTATTCAAATACTAGGAACGACGTCAGTTTTCGCCTGGCGAAGAAGAGGATAGGGCCGCCAGTTCAGTGCTTCTTGGGTTCCTTGCCGGAAGATAGAGCACCTGCGGGCTCTCGAAAGCTTCGAAAGGGAAGTATGTTGTCCTTCTTTTCGCACGAAGGCTCGTCAAAACCGGCCGAGATGATAATGAGGCGACGGGAAGAGTTGTCCGGCTGGAATCATTCGCTCTCTCTTGACGGGGGGCCGCTCATCAAGCCAGAAACACACGCAGGGAATACGCGAAGTTGCTTTATTCGCCGGCCTCTGCAAGCATATGTTCGTTTGACTTCGCTTTCTCTCTCCGCCGTGGCCTGTGCATATGCACTTCTCTAAATCTATCATTATCGGATGTAGGGACGAATGGCAACCGCATGGGCGAGTTCTGCGTCGATGGCTATCCTTAAGTTTAGTACCGGGCACTTTTTTTGTCTAATCATGTCTTCCTAAAGCATCCCTTCACATATGTGATTTTCGACGCCACTTTTCTGTCGTGCAGCTTTCTCCTGAGAGCATACTACGGGCGACTTCATACGATGGTCATCCGATCGCAAAAATGCCAGGCAAGGACCATGTGGAGCCAGAGGCTGCGCTCTTCTGAGAAGTGTCGCCATGGCCATTTTCCTTATGAGGTTCGCCGCAGGGAGAGTACCGTGCTGGGAATTCCGTCGGCCATCATCTCACTTATGGAGAAGCAAGCGACGCAGTGTTTCACTGAGAACCTCTACCGTAAATACCGGCCACGTTTAATGCATGCGAACCGTAGCGCCAGTGGCCTCCGTGAGCATCATGACACCAGGACGATTCTCGTAGCACGCTTTGCCTCAGACCCTCCGGGCAAGTGTCAGCTGCAGGAGCTACCTGCCCGAAGCTGTTTTCGTTGACCAGGGCCATGGGTGGAAATTATTGCAGTGCGTGGAGGTCACTGCGTATGTCCTGCGCATTTGCGAGCGTTGCATTCCCCAAGGTTCGCCTCGTAAGCCTCGTACAGCCTCCGTTGTAAACAGAAGACCGGAGCTTGCAAGTTGCAACGCGTCTCAACCTTTTTCTCGTTTGGCCATCTGGCGATCGCGAGAACATGTACGGAGAGTACAAATTCTGTTTGTACTGCCTTACAGAAGAGTATAGGCTGCCGTCTCTCCGCTGGGTACTACCGACTGTATAGATACTAGGTACTGTTTAGGCCCCTCTCCGTCCTTACCTGTTCGATTCTGCTGTTGAAAGGGTTTTCCTCCTAACCACAGTACCGCAAAGCCATTAGGGGTGGTTATCTTCAAAGCTACATTACATTGACAGTCTACTTTGATCAGACAACAAACAATCAGAATCGTTCATAAAACCATGTGAGATCATGGTCATGAAAGACTTGCGTGGTGTGCCTTAGTGCGGCATCGAATGCAACGAAAGCCTCTTCCACACTGATCTGCTGCTCTCCCTGCTCCCTTGACACAACCGCATCAACCAACGCCCCAACCGCATTCACATCCGACACGAGGGCAAACGCGGCCCCCAGCGCCGAGTTGAAATGGCCGGTACGCGCGCAGTCGCCAATAGCGATGACGTTGCGGGCAGCGTAACGTTTGAGATGAGTCTCCTGGACTTTGAACACCGTGATGGGTGTCTCCGGGTCGGGAAGGAGGGAGTCGCTGGTCAACGAAGGGAAAGCGTCGTGGAAGCGCTGACAAGCGCCTGAAACCAGCGCCTCGATTTGGTCCTGTAATAGAGATGGCCTTTCGGGGTGGATTGCCGCAATGGAGGGAGGGATTTGGACCGAGACGACCGCCTGCGTGGCAGGATGGCCAACGAGGGCTTGTTTGAGCATGGTGCCGAGCTTTTCGTCATAATGTCGACGAAAGTAAATGTCTGCACCAGCGCATTGTGTTCCGCTGGCGGACAGACAGTAGTAGAGAAAATGTTGCGGTGATGACTCCATGAGCACTTCTTTGGTTAGAGCCTTGAATGCCAAGGCTCGCCGCGACCCCTCTGCGAGAACGATGAGGTCAGGTTTGGCCAGCTGAGTTGCCGTTGCGTCGCCCGTATGATATCGGATGCCCCAGTGGTCCTTGTCTTCCACCAGCTCCAACTCCTGAACCCCAAAGTGAAACTCGATCACGTCGGCATATTTGGCGCCTGCTACCTCATATAGTGACCGCTGCAGCGCCTGAACTGGCACGTTGCAAACTCCGAAAGGGATGTTGTCGTCGCGCAGACGCTCGGGGGAGAGGTTGCTCAAGGCTGGCGCGGGATTTTGTCGCAGCACTTCACGTATTGCCTCAGCGTCGTGCACGCAGGGAAGAGCAAAAGTGAACGATGCTTCTAACCGAGTTCCCAGACGTTCTTTAGGAGAGCCGTCAGAAATCACGTCCGGGGGTTTGTACTGGTCGCATAAATGTATTCCACCCACGCGACTTGCTTGCAAGGTATCATTATCGCGATGGACACCCAAAGCGGTGAGCTGCTCGAACACCCAGTGATTCAGCTGAAATATGTTTTTCCGCTGAAATACACTGCGAAAACTCTTTCCCCTCTCTTCGGTATCGGCAGTGGGAGGAGACTCCATGAACGACTGGGTGTTACTATCGCTTCCGTTTCCTTCCTGGCCGTCACTGAGATGGCGGGACTCGAGAACAGTGACCTTCGCGGCGCCGCTTTGAGCACACCGGATGGCGGTGGTGAGGCCAGCCGGACCGGCTCCGACGATGATTATGCTTGTGGCCATGGTCATCTGAAACTCTCTGACAGATGTTTTCCACAAGAGGATGGATAAATCATGACAGGCGAGAATTTAAGATGCGGTCGCGTCCGAATTGCGGAGCACTTTAGATATGAAGTGCTGCGCCACTGTCGCTCCTCCCGTCTTCCCAAACTGCCATTGGCCTGGGAAAATTCCAACTTCAGAGTTCCTCGTGCAGGGTTTTGAGTTTACAGCTTCAGCGGTACCGGCGTGCTGTTTAGCTTGGAATACGTAGTATATGTAGGGTTTCCGAGCTTCCGAGACAGCTGGATGGATATCACCGCTTGAATTGCGGAAGGCAGGCTGCCGAGTATTTATCACTCGACCAAGGGAGACCTCGAGTGCTGAGCCCCGCATTCGATACGACATAGAGGCGGCGACAGCTGTGCAGGACGTATCCATCATTAGCAAGGTGCTTTTGGCTGCCGCTGTGTGAATAGGATTGAAGGAGGACAGTGCTGGCAGCCTGTGCGCCATGGAACCCCGAAGCAGCGAAGTGGAGGGCACTCCCCAAAGTTACTCCTCGGGCTCAATTACAAGAGAAGGATATCTCCCTGTTTCGAATACCGGTCAAGTGGTCGGAGGAGGTTCCGCCGAGCAAATGTTCGCCATTCCTGTGCCCAGCGATGAAGCCATGATCAACCCGCCGACGACTATATTGAGCGCGTTGCGAAGACAACCGCTTTCGACTCTGACGCCCCTTATGGATGGTACGGCCTGATCCCATTTGCTATATGCCGTTGTGCTGCCTTTTTAGTTGCATTGCTGGCATTGACTCGTTCAAACTTTACGTCCATCCCAACATCAGCGGTAGATCTGTTCCCTTCTTTCATGTCATCAGATGCGATGTTCCCTACGTTGCTGGACACCGTGGATCCGCGGATTATTCAACCTTGCATGCAGGATATGGATGGAACGTTGAGCGGCGTCAATGGTCTGGTGGATCCGTATCTTCTAGCCAATGTGACGCAATCGCTTGCGAACGCCGACACGTCTTACCTGTAAGAGTGATGAAAGGCACATGCACTGGATGATGTATAATCTGATCACATGGGTATCTTCGTAGGCAAACATGGCCTCGAACGATACGCTCTCAAGAAGAAGGCAACCAGCATCAGGTGGAACACCCTAGGAATATCGGCAGTTCTTCGATCGACGTCGTTGCGCCGGGGCCTGCGCTCCAATCTCTTATGATGGATTCCCCAGGAGGACCTTCGATTCCGCATCCGTCCGTGCATAACGTACAGTCTCCACAATTCCCAACCGACTCTTTCGCAAACGCCTCGTCACAGTATCCAACCCCTAATGCTATACCCACCCTGGTGAAGCATAGATCGCAATCACAGGGCTATATCGATCCCGGAAACTCGTCGCCACATCTGCCTCCGCCGACGCCTGTTGACAAGTTGCGTCCGCAAGTGACGTTTGCTACACGAGTTCAAGGCTCTCCGGATCCATTGATGTCGAATGTCGTTTCAAAGAAAGAGCACCCGCCGAAAGTGCATACAGGGGCACAGTTTCCCCTGAGTGGCCCGAAAACCCCTGAACCCTCGGCGCCAGCGAAAGCCAGATCATTCCTGGGTGTGGAAATCGTGAGCTCGGGAAGAAAGGTCCCTGCGTCGCTGATCATGGCTCAGAACAATGGATTACCTGAGATCGTGTCTCCCGCTTTGTCACAGAACCCGTCTACGGCCTCGAATGCAGAGACGCCGTCAGCGATGATCAAGGCAAGGCAACGAAGCACCACGAACGATCCCGCAGCCATTGTCAAAAGGATGGAAAAACTCATCGATTCAATCCTGGCGGAGGAGCAGAACCGAGCTGATCAGACTGCACAATCTGCGGAGCCCGATGTTGATGCAGCTGGGAAACATCTGGATGACGATGGCACGTTATCGAGCTCAGCTCTGACTTCCCTGCAGCAGTCTTTTCGAAAGGTGGAAAAGGCCGGATGTGTGGCGCTCTTGACGGAAAAGGTCGAACCGCTGTCCCTCAAGCGCTTGATGAAGCTGCTCGAAAGCAGGATCAAAGATTTGGAGTTTGTCGATGCCGGGGTGCGGACCAAAGAGAGCACTCGAACGCCGAAGAAGAAACGAAAGTCCATGGGGCCGGCAGACAGACATGCGGCAGAAAACCCAGAAGATTCGGAAGTCCCGCAGGTGGATCAGGACAATGACGACGAGTCCTTGTTTGTCTCCAACTTGACAAGCTTTCTGCATCGCGTCAATTGCAGTCTTGATGCTTGCAGGGTGGCGTTCATGTTCTATGGCCTCCTGGTGGAGCATGGAGTGCCAATGCATCAGCTTGCGGAGTTAGGATACAGCGAGGATATGATACTGTCCGGTGTCAATCTGCTGAAGACTCAACTGGTGGAGACCATCTACGCCATCACAGAAGCTTCAGCGGATGTTGGTGACAATGCCAGCTCTCAGGCCAAAGCTCTTCAAGCAGCGTTCGACCACAGCAGGCTTAAGAGCGTCCTGTCTCCCTTGATCGTGAAGATCTATGATATCATGGGCAGCATCTGCGTACTTTTGACAAACAATGCGCTGGGGGATGACATCGTGATACCGCTTGCCTTTGTTGCACTCTCCCCATTCTTTGTCCCTGGGATCCAGGCCGCGGGCTCGTCGTCATCGGCTAGTCTCGGCTTGGACAAGATCGAGATGCGAGGAATCGACATCTGCCGCACCATTTTCAGCAATCATGCGAATCATCGAACTTTCATACTGGATGAGCTGTGTGCCAATCTGATCAAGCTCATTCCATCGAACAACACGGCTACAAGTAGCAAACGCATGCCGAGGCAGTATCGTTTGGCGGACGGGAAAAACTCGATACAGATGGTCACGGCGCTGATTCTGCAGTTGATGCAGAGCTGTTGCTCTGGGGCGGCTTTGATTTCTACAGCAAAAGATGCGTGGAGCAAACTGAGAACGGATGAACAAGAGGAGCGCGTTCCGGTTGCCACTGCACTTGTCGAAGGATCGAGTAATAAAAAGAAGCTGAAACGGGCTTCGGACTCCGCCGCAGATGGCCAGGTCGAGGCAGAAACCCCGTCGAAGGAGTTCCCGGAGATATCCAGAGTGAGTTCAACTCTGTTTACCTCTACGCTCGAGCACAGCACTTACACGGGGTTTCAAAGGTCGTCCTCGCATGCAAGCAACATGTTGATGCAATGTCGCAGTGTGCGCATTACGTGTTCAAGTTTCTAGTATCCAGGAGCACACTGAATACCTCGGATGCTTATCAAGGCAAAGACAATTTGGTCAAGAACAAGCGCGGAGCGATCTCCAATGAGGCCGAGTACAAAGTCGTTTTGGAGCATATTTTCAAAGACTTGCTGGTTGTGCTGAAAACACCTGAATGGCCTGGAGCCGATGTTGCTCTCACGGTCTTGGGTAGAGTACTGGTGAGTTTCCAGTCTTTGAAGACATTCTTGAAAAAGTCGCTGATGTCGTTGTCGCTTTCAGGTCCAAGCGCTTGATGATACCAAAAAGCAAGGTGACACCGCCATCAGGGTTCTGGCGATCGAGATGCTTGGCGAAATTTGCGCGAAGCTACGAACAACGCGGGAAGTGTCGCCTGTCGTTACCTCCGCGTTACTGGGCATTAAGGACTTCGTCGGTGCGGAGTGGGGCAAAGAGTCCGCTCCAGAAAGTATCACCGCCGTCAGCTATATCCAAAATTGGATCGCAGATTGGCTGGAGATCGCAAGTTCGGATGATCCGGCGTTGAAGCATGCGCAATTGACATTTTTATGCACTTGGGCGGCTACCGTCGGAGTGGATAGCTTTGCAAAATGGCCAAAAGCCGTGAAAGACACTGTACGGAAAGTGATCTTGCACTATTCGGGAACCATTTTGCAAACTCAAGTGCCGAAAGAAGATGCTCTCGATATCACACCGATGCCAATTGCACTGAAAGACCTTTCTACTCCGACATTGGATACCCGACCGCTCATCGAGTCGTGCGTCGAGCTTCTGTCCGCACGTCAACCGCTGGCTCAATCGTTCGATGCCTACCTTCTCCGCATCGGTTCTGCGCTGGATTCTGATGTGGTGGCCCTCCGTGCGAAAGCATTGAAAGCTATGCAGGAGGTGTTTATGGCCGATCCGTCAGTCCTCCGCGTTGGCAGCGTCAGGAAAGTTATCGAAGCAAGACTAGTCGACCAGAGCCCCAGCGTGAGAGATGCCGCAATTGAGCTCGTTGGCAAGTTCTTGGTGAATGACCGTGGAGATGCTATCGTCGCGGAGTATTATCCACCGATTGCTGCTCGAATCATGGATGTTGGCATCACTGTTCGGAAACGTACCATCCGTCTGCTCAAAGACATCTTTGTTCGATTGCACAAAGTGGAGAACGAAACTCTTCGCCCCATCAAGCCTGACATCCTTGTGCGTCTACTCTCGAGATTGAGCGATGAGGAAGACACCGTAAAGGTAATGTCAATTTGTTCGGACATAAAGGGTTTATCAAACTCCTGACACTACACCTGACAGGATCTCGCTATTAAATCCGTGCATGAAATTCTACTTAGCCCGTTTGCCTTTGCACGGGAGAGCGGTCAGCTTGCTTCGCAGGCACACGGTGACTCGCATCCTTACCAAGCGTGGGCTACTCTTGCACCATCGGCGCGAACTGAGATCCGCGAGCGAGCACTGCTATTGGTCGCCTCATTGAAGGGCTCGTCGACAGAAACCTCCGACGCCTTCAAAAAACTTCTTGACAGGAGCCTGATCATTCCATCGAAGGCTGCAAGGGAGGATGTCTTCAACGTCTGCAAGAGTTTGGTGGAATGCTTTATGGAGGAGATTCTGTGTTTGGAGGAGAAAGAGAGCAAGGTTCGATTCGGGTTTTGTACTGCTGTTTGCTTGTAGAACGTCGCTGACACTCCTGTCGAGTAGGAGCCTATTATGGAGATTTTGTTTGTCCTTCTTCAATTTAGTGAGGTATACCCGGCCTTGCTTGCGTCGCACGTGAAAACGTTGCAAACCTACCTGGGCAGCTCTGCGGTAAGGATGGACGACGACGCCTCACTCTTTGCAACTAGTCTGAACATCATGTTATAGGTGTCAGAAGCAGCGCAGACCGCGGAGGCTCTGGTGGAACAGCGAATGAAGCAAGCAGTCATCAAGATTCTAGAAAACATCATTCCGTTCCTGGAAGACCCGGATCTGCAGAATCTGACGGCCATCGAAACGGATTTGGTGCAAGCTCTGAACCGCGGAAGTACTCCGCTAGTGCTGGTCGCGGCCCCATGCTTATGCTCGATCGTGGAACACGTCACTCATCACACGGAGAAGTTGACGATGCTCCTTCGAAGATGTGTGGAGTTTGCACAGCGCACGCGGAGCACAGTTCAAGCGAATCAGGCGGTACCCGAGTCTGGATGGCGTGGGACTTGGAGGTCCTTGCTCCTGACTGGGCAGTTTGTCCGATACTTTCCATTTGATGCGAAACGCGCGTCATTGACTGGAACAGCTGCTGAGGACTTGGACAAGCTGACTCCCGGGTCCATCTCGACACATGTCTGCGATTTGCTACTCTTTTTCGTCAGCCCGGCCGTCAATAATAGCACCAAGTACGCTGCTCTTGGAACACTTGGCGATATCTTTATCACCTTTCCGCGGCTCATGTTGAAACCGGAGTGCCGACAAGTGATGAACTCTGTGTTCGTTGGGCAAGCCCTAGCTTTGAAGATGCGCCTTCTTACGACATTCCGAGATTACCTGCAACATGAACAGAAGCGGGATTTAGAAAAGAAAAGTAGGTTCCGGTTCTCTTGAGCATCGAAGCATTTGTTCACTACAGCTAATATGCTTGGTATGTATCAGGGAACGCGGAACTTGTCGGTCAAGACGGTGTAGACATCAAGGTTCTCATCGGCAACGCAGACGAGATGGGAGACGCAGGAATCAGCTCTTCTATCATGCAAATGTACCTGGATAGAATTCTGGACTGCATGATGTGCAACAATGACGGCCTCACGCGCACAGCTTTTGATTTGATTGAGATAATCTTGGAGCAGGGACTGGTGCATCCCTTACTGGTAAGTGCATTGAAGAGCGAGTTCCTCCATCAAACTCATTCTTAAATTTGTCCTTTCCAGTGCATGCCTGCCATCGTAGCGATGGAAGCTTCGCCCTCCACAGACATCCGCGGTCGTGCTAGTCGATCGCACCATCGTTTGTACGAGAAGCACACGAGTTTCATCAACTCGAAGAACATGGATTGCGTGAAGCATATGTACAAGTATCTGGCCATGATCAACCCTCCAAACGGTCGGGAGTCTTCCGTTCAAGGTAACCCCCACGGAAAGGCATTCGGAAACCGCTATTGAAGTCTGGAGTCTGACTCTTCCATTTTGCCTACGTTTTGATAGGATATCTGGTAGTCAAGAGCAGCTTGGAGCCATCCTCATTACCGGAACCGTACCTGGGGCGGATGTACGCCCTCGTCCAGGCGAAGCGACCACGGAGGAACGAGTTCCTTGGGAATATGGTCAAGCAGATGGATGTCGACTTGAGTGGGAAGATTACCATGGTAAGACAGGATTCAACGTCGGTTCAACGTCGCTCGTCGTTGACCCACGTTGCGATTTTAGGCCCATATTGGATTATGCCGCTTCATTGCCGAAAACCTGACCCTCTTCCCTTACAAAACGCAAGAGGAAGTCTTGACGGTCATATACCACGCATATCGCGTCTTATCCGTCACTGGGGAGACGATCCTTAGGGAAATCGAAAAGAGCGAGAACGGAGAACCGTCTGTTGAGGTCTCCCTTTCAACCCTCGCCCATGCGTCTGTTTGCATGGGGATATTGCTGGTTTTGAAAACACACCTTCAGGCTCTGTATACCATTTCGGCGAGGTGCGTGATATTCGATGGACCGTGGTCTCCAACTTTGACATGGACCTAAACTGCTCCGCTTGTTCTTCTAGTCGGCTATCGGTTTTCAAACCGAATGAGGGATCGCGAGCGAGTGAGAAACCGGCGGTTCGCAACCCGCAGGTCTCGTTTGACTTTACCTGGTGCCGAATGCCGTTTGCGTTGGTGACCGCTTTTGAGAACGAGGATGAGATGAAGGATCAATGCATACAGGTAAGGGATTCACTTGGAGTGCGTTCGCCTGAAATACTATTTGCTGATGATGTGATCTCTCGTAGTTCCAGGAACTGATGCACTCAGACTACACCGCGGGCCACAACCTCAACGACCCCGACGCAGACGACCACGACGGCGGCGAGATACCCCTAAATGACGAATCTTTCGTCGACAAGGCCGGCCAGACAGTCATCACCGTTCCCGACGAGTCGATACCAACCCGCGGGACGTACACAGAGAGCGCGTCGAGTCCGATACCTAAACAACCCAAGCGACGCCCCTCGACAAGAGTGAGCGAAGGCGCACCGGCGGCGGGCTCAAATAAGAAGCGAAAGGGTGCGGATGGAGGATCGAGAGGGGCGTCGGCGGCGGATTCGGGCCCGCCTTCGCCGACGCAGCAGCCGAGGAAACGGCGGCGAAAGAGTCGGGCGAATGTGCTTTCGGATGAGGATTGGGAGTGATTCCATAGACTACACCAACACCACGCCAGCCATTTTGCAAACGCCTTTCGCTTTCCGTTTCGCGTCACGAGCTCAATGACATATACAGCTCAATGTAGATTACGTTTCTGATCCTTTTTTTTGTATATAGTTTTCCGCCCAGTCGCCATTTCCCCAACCACCCGTACTTATGCCATTCGCCAAACGTGGCTGTGAAGGGAGTTATTTCGTGACCATACGTGCACGAAAATGAAATACGTTTTCCATCAGTTTGCGTCTGGACGGTGTTTGATTACGTGGCGTCCGTTCAAATTCACTTCAGCACTGGCAGGACCATAACCCTCTTTGACCTTCTCTTGGCTGGACTCATCTCACAGATTTCATGCCGATACTCTCTGGATGTGGCCGAGAGTATCCAACTCACATGTGTCAGGGCGAAGGATTCACGGTCGCCCGCGGGAAGCGCCTGCATAGACAAGCTCTGGCGGCAAGAAGGAAGTCCGAGTGGCTGCCCGATTGCGATCGATTCGGGCGCTCCACGGCAGATCTCGGAGCCCAGCGACTGCCCTCCTTTGGGATTTACTATGCACATCATCTCTCCTACGAGGAGGTTTAGCAGTTAGTTTCCTTGACGACGATCCGGTGTTGATCTTTTTTTCATTTCCTGGATATTGGTCGGAGTGCATGAGATAACAGTTACGTCACTCGAGCCGTCCACAACGCGGCCGACGCCCAAGCCGGGATGTGAGCGGATTCCAAGTCCCTGAAAATCCAAGTTGACGATCAAGGAAGGATCATCATGCGAAGATCAACGAAATGCTGAATCATGGGGTTGATTATAGAAGGCGCGCCCAGGCAACCACATGGCGCCATTCCGGGGATTGGCTATGACGTCGCCATTCGCCACAGCCCCGGCGCGTGGAACAGGCGCGTTAAGGAGTGGACGTCGCTTGGACAGCTTGCCTACTCTGTATCCTTGTATGGGGAAAAAAGGACGGGAACAGGATGGGCAACAGAACCGCCAACTACTCAAACTGCTCGCTCTTCGCTGGAAAAGGACTTGGCCGCATCGCAACTCTCATCAGAACGACTTGAAAGAGCAGTTCGTGCTATTCTCGTAGATACCGCCGTCCCACTCTATTGTTCTCGTGGTGCTGAACTTTCCGCCGCTCAGCATTTGACGCACAACCCCAAACTCGCCACTTTCGAACTCGACGACACAAAAAGAGTACTGCCGGTTCTCAGCCATCACCCTCAGCTATATCTGCGTTGGCCTCAGGATAAAGCATAAAGGCAACTCTCCCTACTGAAAAGCAATTCACTCCTCGACACCAACGCCGAGGTCTTGCATAACTGAAACCGACACCTCGGACAGACCTTCAACCAACTCAGCATCTCGAAAGGTGGTGTGGAATTGGACGACCGGAAGCTGTACTGGACTCTCAACAAACGACCTTGACATAGGTCTGGCTGCTAGTGTGCAAAGAGCCTTCGCACCCGCACTGAGGTGACTAAGCCGGCCCGTTCGCGGGCTCTCTCAGCTCGGCTTCAGCAGTTGGACGTGCCTTGAGAACTAGGTGGGTGAACTGAGAATTACGTGCTGCATATTAGGGCATATTAGGGGAAGGTATACGTTCTAACTGTCTCGTCGCTGCAATAGACTACATAAACCACAATAGAGGACTGAACAGGATGGGACTTGGGAACTACATCCGGGACATATCGTCTTCCATCGGCGCGAAGGTGAAGGATCAACCGTCGCAATCATTGGAACAAGCTTCTATGCACAACGGCTCTGTAGAAATGAGATATTCGAACGATGATCCTGCCATTATCTGCGGTGCTGATGGACAGGTTCGATGGACGTCACAGGCAGTGTCCCGACTACTCGCGTGGAGACAGGAAAGCCTCGCGAAACAACCGTCATCACTATCAGGAGACATGCCAAAGAATCTTGGTGACACGCACGTCTCGGTTGACGAGTTGCAACACCTATCAACACTGGACGTGCCGCAGTGTATAGCGAAAAATCGGAGTGACGGCGCAACCATCTACGTACTGCAGAAAGTAACAGCGCTGAAAGCTGATGACCGATCACGAGCGAACGAATCTAACGCCTCTGGCTTCTTGGTGGAGCTACGGGACGTGAACGACGTAGTCCGAGGGATGGGTATGCCGGCCTTACAACTAGCGACACCACAAGCGCCACGATTACACAATCAGGCTACGTCTTCGTCCCTTCAGCGGTCGTCTTCCGACTCATGGGAGACCACCGTCGAGAATACCGATGACTTTGCGGCCGATGCAACATCCAGTAAAACAGCTACACTCGCACGGGATTCCGACGAAGTGTACCACTCGGTAGTTGAGAAATCTGACCTTGTGATGCATCACATTACGGATGCCATATTTGGCTCGACAGGAGACGAGCAGAATAATGTGCTCGTTCAGACACTGTGCGCCGCTTTAGGCCAGGTCTCCACATCTGTTCATGCCGCCTTTGTCGGTCGATACATCACCCGGACAACCTCAAGAGCTGATAAGGGGGAGTTGATCACCTCCCTGACACCACCGGTCGACTACTATTCTCTGATCTCCAGAAGACCCTCAGACGATAATGTCCTTCCGGATAGCATCATTGGCTTCACAGGCACCGCATATGTCGAAGGAAAAGGGTGAGTAATTGGGGTAACGGATTTCGGCGCACGTAGAGACTCAATATGCTAACTCGGGCGTGTCCTCCCACTTGTAGTCAAATCGACCTTGGGATCGTCCCACAGCTACACCGCTCCTTTATTCACGCTCTGCATTCCACAATACCCAGCATCATCCCCGCAAGCGAACTCTCTGTAGTTCCCAAGTCTACATCGTTCTGCCAGCCTGAAGACTCCATATGTCTAATCGGGCTGCATGACCTTGTGGGTCACCCAATAGGTGGACTGGGCATCGCATACAGAAGCTCGTCGATAAACTCAGCTGATGAGGATGAGGATGAGCTGATTGCAATCGTCAAGAGCGTCTTGAACCAACTAGCTCCGAAGGTTGCAAAGCAAATCACTCTGACTTTGGAGATGCTTCGTCTGAAGAAAGAGAAGCTCGAGACGGAAGTGGCTACCAAGTCTAAATCACATTTCTTGGCCAACATGAGGTATGTCAACAGAGAAGGTTCTTCACGTTTAGAATCGTTTCTGACCCGTTTCCGCCCTTCTCTCTTTAGTCATGAGATCCGTACACCTGTATCGGCAATCATCGGTCTGACTGACATGATCTTGTGGGATGAACGGAACCTATCAAATGACAACCGAGGGCGTCTTGAGCTCATCAGCTCGTCAGGCGAGCATTTGCTAGCGGTTATCAACGGGATCCTCGATTTCAGCAAAATCGGAGACGAGGACGTTAAGTTCCAGCTGAAGTCACAACCTCTCAAACTGAGGAAATGTATCAAGGAGGCTGGTATGTCTTTGTTCCTCGGCGCTGTCCAGCTTTTCTTGGGGTCTCGGTCCGTCTCATCGTCTTTTTTCTTCTTTTAGTTCAACTGGCAGCGCTGTCACCGGCCGCCTCAAGAAAGAGTATCCGAATCATTGCCAAGCATCGCGAGCTCTCAGCCCAACAGTCCGGACTGATCGGATCCGCACCCACATCAGTCTCTAAGTCGCCAACAGCTGCAGCAACAAATCTAGTTCCACCGGTCAGGAGGACGTCATCGCGCTCATTAGACGATGAGAAGGATGTCAAGTTCCATGACACGTCTCTAGCGTTCTTTTGGAGCGTTGCGGACGATGTACCGGATTGGGTCATCGGCGATGTGACTAGGATTCGGCAGGTCATGTTGAACTTGATGACCAATGCTCTTAAGGTAAGATTTGCGTAGATCAGCGGTAGTTCGATGTGGGAACGGCGTACCCACAGTCAATATCTTTGCTTTCGGTATTTAGTTCACGAGCCAGGGTTTCGTTTCATTCAACGTTCGCCGCCTTGCAAAGCAACCGGAAGGCAACCCGGGTGCCCCGCCCGGCAGTTCCTCCTTTGCTGGTGAGCATCACCCTTTGAAGCCATCAGCATCTGGGTCAGATGCGGAAACAAGAGCTACGCTGTCACCGCCTACCCCGCCCACAACGCGACGATCCTCTACATCCTTGTGCCTGGCAGATTTAAAGGAGGACATAGACAAGGGAGATGCGGCCGTCCTCCTGTTCACCGTCCAAGACTCTGGCTGTGGTATTCCGAAGGACAAGCTGAACTCCCTTTTCAAGCCATACTCCCAGCTGGACAACCCGAACAACATGGACTCGACTGTCGGCACCGGGCTAGGTCTCGCGATTTCCTCCCAACTTGTCGAGATGATGGGCGGCCAGATCTGGGTCGAGTCCTCGCTTTCGGTTGGGTCCAAATTCTCCTTCTGTGTGCCTTTCCCGATCGGAGAGCCGGCTGCTTCCTCGTCGTCGGGGCGATCGTCACCTGATGAGGAAACGGAAGTGGAAGCGCAGTCTCCTGAACCTGTCAAAATCACACCGAACAAACCTGCGCCTACCAAACTCGCCGCGAGGAAAGCCATCCCGCGTCCTGCTTCAGCGCAACGCAACCCCAGCGCCTCAAGTCTGAAAGGCGACGAGTCAAATGCAAGGCAGATGGGGGGCCGAAGTGATGACGATTCCACCTCAACGGATTCCGAGTATTCCGGCCTGAACAACAGCCAGAATGTGAACGCGACCACGGCAGACACGTCGGCATACCACGAGGATATGCGGTCGTTGATGGAGAAGCAACATCTGGTTAACAGCGCGGCGTCGGAAGACTCGTTGCCTTCAGACGCGGGATCTACTCCTACGACGAAGATTCGGCGCTCGGCGACACGCAGGACACGGCCGTCGTTGGCCGATACGGAAAGAAGGAATGCGGCGAATGATATGAGCAAGACATATCCTTTGCGGATTCTGGTGGCTGAAGATAACGCGAGTAAGTATCGGGTGCTGCTTTGAAAGGAATCTTCACTAAAGCATACTGACTTACGGTGCCATTTTTCTGTTTCAAAGTCAACCAACAGATCGCACTGACCTTGCTGAAAAACATGGGTTACAGCGCGGACCTAGCCAAGGACGGCCTCGAAGTCCTCGAGAAAGTCAAGAGCATGTCCACATACGACCTGATCCTGATGGACCTCTCCATGCCGAAGATGGGCGGCATTGAAGCAATGCAAGAGCTCATCAAGCGGTGGGACGAAGAGGAAGAGCAAATCCGCCGGCAACTCGAGTCCGATCAAGAGGAATTCGGTGCAGTGCCACCTTCTCCAATGTCGCCACCCCTGGCGAATACATCGCTTCCGCGATCCTCTTCAAGGGCTTCAACGATGTCCGGCCAGGAAGTGCAGACGGGCGCGTTCCCGAGGAGGCCGGTCGTCATTGCGCTAACGGCGTCCGGAACCGCTGCGGATTTCGAAAAGTGTCGTGATGGTACGTGTTTGTTTTGTCAACAAAGGGTGTTATCACTATTCTTTTCCCCGCCTTTTCCGACATTGATCCCCAACCACTCCCGTCATCAGTAGGCATGCAAGACTGGCTCAACAAGCCCTTCCGCCGCCTTGAAATGCAATCCAAAATCGTCCTGCATTTCGCCCACCTCAAGAAGGCACAAACACCTCTATCGCCTCCCGAAGGGCCTCTCGGAGCACCAGTACGCGCGCATGGACGCAGCGTATCCCAAACTAGCATATCGAACCCGTTATCTATTCCTTACCCAATACCTAAAGCCTCGGCATCCACATCGTCACTCAACCTGGCTTCGCCTGAGGGACGCGAGGCGGCTTCGTCGGCTGAGGAGATATCTCCGTCGCGTGCGCCGACTGCTATGGTATCACAGTAGGGAGTAACCCCTACCTAACCAGCGCGTGTATATTATACTCCCTGCGATGTCTCGTGGCATTTGGGACGTCCCTTCATCCTCCCACCCCTAACACACATCCGACCCTTTCTCCCTGCATAAAGACATCTTGTATTTAGTCATCCGTGGTTGACCATGATTTTGGGTTTGTTTGTAATTTGATTTTTTTCTTGGGGGTTTCATTTCTTAATCATGAACCGATCAAAATCAATCAATACCTATTCAGGGTTGCTTTGGGTCTCTGTGCGTGGCTGGTGATTCGGAATCATGTTGGGTTCTAGGCCTCTAGATTAGTACAGTGCATTCCATAGCGGTTGCGTATGTATTTAGTACCGACCTCTAACTCATAAAGGCGCTATTGACAGACGCCATGGATGGGCACGGCCAAAATCGCCCTGGCAGGCGAAATGATCATCTACAGTATCTACATCTATGTTACAAAGCGCCATACGCGCACAGCACCATCGTCCCCACCCGTTGCCAACAAATCCCCGTATCCGTTTTCCTTTAGAGGACACCATTTCACACAGTTTATGTCACTATGGCCGTGGGAGTCGGTTATGGTTGCTACTGTTGCGAATTGTGGCGTTGTTGAGTCCTGTGTGCAAAGCAAGTTAGTTTCCGAGCCGTGGTGATGTGGTCACAACGTGGCATCCGGAAGAACTCACATCCCCATTAGTTATCCCATCGTTCGCCGCCATCGATTCCAAAATCTTAACCTTGTTATCAGCACCCGCCGTGACGACCCGACCATGGACTTTCGACCACGACACGCAGTAGATGGTCCGATCATGGTGCTCTGGTATTGTAAAGATGTTGCGCCATTTCGGGTCTTGGCGCGGCTGGAACGATAATGTGGCGGGATCGGGCCGTGGTGGCGTTTCTCTTTGCCAAAAGCGCAGGGTGCGGTCGTCGCTTACTGAGGCTGGATGGAGTGTCATGATATGGGAAGTCAGTGTCCATCCCATCGTGACCACGATGATGAAGACCGCCAGCGGACCTAATAAATCTCCTGTATCGTTGAAATCCACGCCCCAGACAGTCGAGCCGTGGCCTTTCAGCGTATCTGAGCAGTACCAGTCGTCGTCGTCCTCGCGCCATATTTTCATCGTGTCATCATACGACGCACTGACGAGTAACTTCAACCAAGCAATGCTTCATTAGCATCGACAGTTGACTGAAGTTGAGAATTCACTCCTCTCGTCACCTACCTCTTCGTTCGGATGCCATTGTACCATCTTGACATCCTGCTCGTGCTCTTGCAGTACACTCAGGCACTCAAAGTCTGAATCTCCAACGACTAGATCAAGTAACGAAGATGTAGCGTTATCTGGAATGGCCCGTCATAGGTTCCGTCCCTTTCTCAAACTCCACACCCACCTTCCCAAATCCATACGCTTTTATCTCTGCTGCATGTGGCTAGAAGAGCCCCTGATGCAGACCACGAAACGCTTTTCACTTCGTTTTCATGTCCTTCCAGCGTTGCGACGCAGTCCCATTCTGGTGGAATTGCAGGAACTGTGAGCTTTCTCCCTGAAGGCTGTGAATGCATCGAATGCAGCACTGACCACCACTATCTATATCCCGCTCCCAAATCGCAGTGCTGGCATCGAAGCTGGCAGTAGCCAGTAGCTTTCCGTCTGGCGAGAACGCAACCGACCGAATCGTCCTCTTATGTGCGTCGTCCAGCGTAGATACACAACCCCACGACCCATTCCCTTCGTCCAGCTTCCATAACCGTACCGACTTGTCACCCGAACAAGAGGCGAAAAGAGGTAGTGTAGGGTGCCACGATATCGACCACACCCGGTCAGTGTGCCCTGGAAAGAGTTTCAGAAGGATAGAGGCATTAGAAAACTCCTCGGGTATGTAGACCTCTATTCGGCTAGATCAGCATAAACGTGGGCCGTGGGCAACAACTAACCTGGTAATTCCGCCAAGAGCTGGACTTCAGGCATGTTTCGTTGTACTGGGTCGTCCTTGGTTTCCAGATATGTGCCGATTTATGCTTACAAAAACGTCAAATGTTGCCTCCAAATGCCCAATCCCGACTTAATCGGATTCTGCCAGTGGGTACGACAGCCAACTTGCCCCAGTGCAAACAAGATCTCGACAGCGCGCCCCGGGACTGTCATTTCGAAGGAAATAAATGACAGAGATAATCTACAACGGCGGAAGGTACAGTATGTATACAGAAGGGCAACAGTGTCAGACTATGAGGTACTAAGCGGGCGTGCTGTTGTGCTATGATGAAATGACCTCCCAGCGTTGGAGTATACCTTTGATCGCAGCCTAAACGAGGGTCGCACAAGAATTAAAGTCATATTCTAAGAATTAACAACGGGAGAGGTAAAGGTGTCGCAAGGGTGAGGACAAACATACCTGGGTGAAAGGCTTCCCGATGGCAAAAGTAACACCGGCATTGTCGAGCAGCACCTGAGCTTCAGGATTGTCAATCCGATTGGCGGTCGTCACAACGATGGGTATCTTGCAACCGGCGTCGCGAATAGCCTTGGTGGCTTGATATCCGTCCATGACTGGCATGATGATATCCTAAAGACGAAGGGAAGAGCAATTAAGGCATATTCCGTGGCGCCTGGATAGCGAGCTAGTACTGACCATGAATATGAGCCGGTATCCGTCCCTGGCGCTGTCCGCAATCTCGGTTTGCGCTTTCTTGTACATATCTACAGCTTCTTGACCGTTCTCTGCCTCGGTAATCTCAAATTGCCCGGCAGGAAGTATTCTTTCCAGCATTCGGTGCAATATGCGGCGATTCAGCAAAGAATCATCGACAATGAGGATTCGTTCTTTCCGTGGGACTGTTGCCTCAGTGCCAGGGACGTTGGCCGGATGAGACTTCGATCCTGGAATCAAAGGGGTGTCCTCAGAGCCTGGAGTTGACTCTGGTGACTCCGACAGCGTTTGCTGTGTGGCGACTGAAATTTCGACCGTCGTCGTGGTTGACGTAGTCGTCGTCCTGTTCTCGACTCGATTTTCAAGCGGGTTCGCTAACTCGTAAACTGGAGTTGTATGCCGAGACGTTCGCCAGTTTTGTTGCGCCTGTACGGCGATGTCGGTTTGCTGGTGTTGGGCTTTGTGCAGAAGTTCTACTCGGTGTTGCATATCAGCTGGCGATATGCAGTCATCTTCGGAGCCGGTAGGAGAAGGGGGCAGTGGCTTGCCACCCGCAGCGAGAGACGAAACTTTGTGCATCAACCGTTGCTTGTTGATATGTTTGATGTCCGTCATGGAGGGTCCGTCTCTTGTTGGTGATGCAGTTTCCGCTTGATTATGTTGAAGTATCACCCTCGTTGGTCCCGCCAGCGGAGACACTGGGGTAGTGCGGTCCATGTTTGCGGTCGACTGTCCGCCTGTCCAATTCGAGTCCCGGTCTTTGTATCCGCTATGACTACGGAGTGGGTTGGTATCCGTCCGTTTCCAACTCCTACGCCGTCGTACTGGACCCTTCAATGGCTGAGATGAGCCACAATTTACGTTTTCTGATACCACCACATCCAGAACTTTCAGTGGTATTACAAAAGCGAATCGCGTTCCTTTACCGACTTCGGTTTCGACGGCGATCTGGCCGCCCATCAGGCGCACAATCTTTTCGGCTATTGGGATTCCCAGACCGCTGCCGCCGTACTCCCGCATCGACGTGACAGCCGCTGGCGTGTAAGGTTGGAAGAGGGATTCCATCACCTCCGATCCCTGATAGAGGAAAGCACGCGAAATGAAGTTAGCAGGTGTCCGGAGTCCTGGAACATCCAGTACTGTTTGGCTCCCTTCACGTACTATGCCAACTCCAGTATCTGTGACCGTGATTTCTATCAGATTCCAATGCGTCCATTCCGCTTTTGCGGTCCGCCAGGCGGGTGGGGGACATCCCAAACCCTCGATTCCAGTGGACGGGTCTGTCCACGTCCCCGGCGTCAAGGCCGAACATCGGAAGGTCGTCAATGCATCCTGAGAAGACTGTCGCCTCTCTCGCAAACGCGGATGAAGCTCTCCTTCCAGGGTTGAGTCAACAACCGTAATTGAGATCTGGTCCAGTATCTCCTGTTGCTCCAACTGTGGGTCAGCTGCAGAAAGGATTTTGTTGTTGCTGTTTCCTTTCTCCACTACCGGAACTGTAAAGCTGACACCACCCGCCGGGACATGCTGGGGTGCCCACCACTCCGTTGCCTGATGAGCTTCAACGATAATTTCACCCCCAGCGGGCGTAAACTTGTAAGCGTTCGACACCAGATTGTTCAGGAGCTGCTGCATCCGGGTCGGATCGATCTCAACCCGCGTAGGCACGTTGGCTTCCATCACGCTCGTAAACGAAATCCCATGCTTGCGCACCAGTTCCTCCGCGCACGCAAAGGAAGCGTCCAGCAAATGGTGGAAGTCGAGCTCGCTGAGCTCCAGCCGAACCCTCCCTCCCTCGAATCTGTCCAGATCCAGCACATCGTTGACGATCGCGAGCATGTACTCCGAGGAAAGCTTCATTGCTCTCGCCGACCTTGTCTGCGACTGCTCGCGCGATAGTAATGACATGTAGCTGTTGCCTCTCTCTGGTTCTTCGGACGCCGGACTCGTGGCGCAATTGTGCACAACAGGACACGAACACGGCCGTCGCACGGAATGAGATGAGCGCCGCTTCTTTCCCCTTCTGTCATCGGAGTTGCTGTCACTCGAATCCGATTCGTGGGAAGGATAGTTTTCGTTGCAGTCGTCCGAGAAAGAGACTGTGGCGAAATCGGAAGAAGACCGTTGAGCGAAGGATTCCTCCATGTCATCCAACAGGAATTCCGCCATATTGGTGACCGCATGCAGTGGATTTCGCAGCTCATGACATAGGAATGACAGAAAACTAGAGGAGCATCCATGAAAGAAACCGCGAAGTCAGCACGAATGGGTGTAGCGTAGAAGGCATTTGACAAGCTCACGCACTTTGCCTTATCCCTGTTCGCTTGCTTGGCACGATTTCTTGCGGCCGCCAACTTCCTCAGCGCTTCCGTGACTTCTGCTGTCCGCGCGGTCACCTTCCTTTCCACGCTGTAATACGCACGGTCCCTGTCCGCTAAAATTGTCACCATCCACATTGACGTGAATTTAAGGAGCACTAGGAACATCTGCATTGCCACGATATTCTCGAGAACGCCTGGTGCCCAGGGCTCGCCGGTGCTTCCGCGGGTGTAGTATGTCTTTCCCAAAGATAGTGTTAATCCTGAGGAACCTCCGGCCAAAAATGTTGATATCGAAGAGCCCGGTGGACCGAGCACCGCGCTGAGAAAGAGGACGATGGGGTAGCACATGAACAATCCAAAGATATTGGACAGAAAAGATCCCCGAAACGCAATGGCTCCAATAGGAGGACAAGCAGCGACTACCAGGAAGAGGAAGAGATGAAGAAAACCTCTCCAGGAGAGCATGGAGCTCCGACAACAATGGATGTTGGTCGATCGTAAGCTGGTAAATGTGACGATCAAGGGGGCTCCTAGGCTGAACAGAGAGCGGGATTAGCAGGATACAATGCGGTAAACTTGCGATACACCGGAGGGCATCGAACTTACGCAATGCCATTGACGTTCGTGGTTACCCATTTGACGTAGAAATGCCAGAAGTACAAGTGAGGAGAGATGATGCCTATGACCATGTATGCGCCAAGGAACCCGGTAAACAGAGACATCACGATCCCGCACCCAAATGCGGCTGCCTATCAGAGAGATCAGTAACTACATCGTAGCAGTATGGTTGGAATGAAGTCTCTTCCTTACATTGCGCTTCCGGGTCAAATCGAAGGGCAACCCCGGTGCTCCCAAGTAGTTTGCCACGTACTGGATGACCAAAGTGACCAGGAATGGATCTATACTATCAACCGCCGCGAAGGCGGAGGCCGTACGGACATCCCATGTGGGAATGCTTTTTGTCAAACGAAAATCTGTCTCTTAGTTCGGAAGCGATTGAACGTGGGGGACGAACAGGCGTACCTTATTAAAAGGCTGGCCACAAAGACCGTCGGCGGAATCAGAAGTCGTACCCTAACAGGCGCTTGCATTTGAAAGCCCTAGATGGAACGGAGATTCAGTTCCTGAGCCGCGGTGAAACTCGGGGAGTTTTGATTCCTCGACATACCACAGTGATTCCGCACACTGGCCAAAACGTTGAGGACCGATTGACAGCCGTCGCTCGAAAGGCCAGCGCTGACGATACCCACACCACTAGAAGGGTGACCAACCATGCCACCTACAAAAGTATATAAGCATGCACGATCCAATACGGGGGGCAACCCCAAACATTTTGGTCGTATATCCTCCTTTCCATACCATTTTTGGCCATGGAGTCGGCTTGCTGCCCGGCAGATCTATCAGCCCACACATCATGATCTAAGAAGACGCTCGAGTCAGTCTGGTACAAGAGGTCCCTCCCGTCTTGAATGGTACACCCTCTCGTACAAATTTCTTTGCCTTGCTCCAATCCTTGGTCAAATCATTTACTGAACACCAGCGGTCGACCTTCGCACTTGGCTTGACCGAGTCTCTCCGCGGGTCTCCCGCATTGGTGGCAAGCGACGCAGTTCCCGAGGAAGACATTTTTGTGCCGGCCCTGGTCGTGGCCCACGAGCTATTTGATGCGCCCGCATTCCGCCGCCCGGCGAGAGCAGACATGTAGATGTTTGCGCCAGAGCTGCCGCTGACTCCGCCGCTGCAAGCCGTTGACGTCCATGTGCTCGAGGACGCCATGTTGGTGACCGAAAGCCGCAGAACTCCGCTCTCGGTCTTGCCCCGTTCGCCGCATGTGATATCACTGGGTTCGGCGCTGGGCGGTATCAGGGTGCTCATTACTCGAGAACACTCTGCTCATGAACAAATCCACCTCCGTCGGAGCAACTTGACTGTCCGCCACGAAGTAAAACGAACGCGCATGTCGATTGTGTATAGGGTTAAAAGGGGTGACGAGAAGAGTTAGTGTTGGGTTGCAGTAGTGGGCGTGGCAGTGTTCTTGCAACGCCATTGTCTAGTCTCCAAGCAGATGCATGCGAAGGAATTACCAATTGGATAATACAGAGAGCAGGGGCGAGACACGCGGATCATCAAGTCGAAGTCCAGAACCGTCTGCAGGTATGGTTTGTAAATGTATGTATGCTTTTCGGTAGCGCCAAAAATTCGGAATTTCCTTTTTAGCGGAAGCCACACCCGGGAATTCAGAGAGATATGTATTTGTCACAGAGGGGGTGTCCGTAACCATCAGAGTATTGCCACTGTACGAACCATGCTGCCTGGCAATAGAGAGGCGGTGAAGAGTGCAACGGGGAACCGTTTTCCAGCACTACGAGGTCCGTCCCTGAAGCGTTATTCCAAAGAGCGTTTAATTTCAAACCCAAGAAACCCCGCCAGACCCCTTCCGGCGGGAGACTGTCTTAGGCAACTTTCCACCTCCGATTGTCGCCGTTGAGCACTTTGGGATGAATGGAGACTCGGCGACGGGAGCGCGTGACCCATGGCTGCTTCCGCATGCCGATCATTACCCACCTTAGCACTCCTTCGTCGTCAATAGCACTGTTTGTTAATCGCTTCAGCGGGGGGGAGAAACGGGGGGACAAGTGGGACAAAGGGGGACAAAAAGTGTGTCGGACTTGCTGACAGAGAAGCGCAACAAAATCGACACCGCGTCGTTCAGGGTCCGTGGTACATTTTGCTCGCTGGCATGTAAGGCGATGCGCCTACGTACAGTCTGTTGCCATAAAGCAGGTCGCGCCTGAAATTAAGTCACTGTCCTCGCGGCTGATCATGGTCCCGACTCCCTAATCACGGTATTAGGACCCCTAATCTAAAACTCGATCTGGGTTCCTAATCACGGTATTGGGACCTCTAATCTAAACTAGATCTGGCTGGGTGCCTAATATTTAGTAAGTCCCCCGTTTGCGGCAATGACAGCGGCCATGCGTCCAGGCATTGAACCAATAAGTCTCTCTAAATGAACATCCATTGTCTGCCAGACATTCTGCAGCGGGGCTGTGTCGAGGCGACGTCGGGTGAATCCCCGCTCCTCCGATACCTCCGTGCGCAAAGGATCAACAAAGGAAACTCTAATCCGCTGAAGCGGTCGCAGTGCGATGTGCCGAAAGAGCAGCGCGAGATTGACAGGCTTCTATTGAGCGCAAGAGGGAAATGTGATTTCTCGGCTGGCAGTCCACCGGCGTCATCATGATGCGATCTCCGACGCCCTAGGAGGCTACTATTGAATATAGATTTTCGTCCGGCCCACATCAGCCCCCTCCAATCTACATTCGCCCAAATCCCAACAATCCTGCCTACCAGTACAGTACTGTACATCAGGCACTTCTTCACACGCCTAGCCAGCTAGCCAACCAGCTTCTATACCACCCATTTCTACCCACAAATATTCTACGACGACATACAGTATGTGTACTAGAGTAGACTCGATTCAAAGATCCGCGTCGCCAGACGTATTGGGTGAGCAAGTGTAGCGACACCATGTTTGATGTTCAGAGAAGCGTCAGATGCAAGAAAGCGAATGTGTATAATGGGATGATGAGATTGTCGTTCTGATCTGAGAAGGCTTCTAAGAGACCTGGGACAGAGAGGCGATGAGCGTGGTCGGTAAGGAGATACCATCCTCATACAAGAACGTCACGACTACGTCGTCCAAACAAACAAACAACTTACTGCTGAAGATGATGCACACCAAAAACTCCGGCCACTAATGCAGAGGGAGGACGTAAACAGCTTAGAATCCGTGCAAAGAATAACTACTCGGCAGTGGTAAACAGTAAACGACTTCCGAATGCATGCAAGCAAACAATCTCGTTTATCTGCATTACTCAGGCAAACCACCAACGATTTCGAATACATCTCCCAACAATAGGGTTCTGTCCCCCACCTTCAGCCACACACTATCTGCAATTGTTTGCACACGTACCTTATGAGTCGGAATAAGGGGTATTTTAGTGAGCAAAGAGATGGTGACGCACGCGACGGTGATGGTGACAATGAACGCGAGCGTTCCCTCAACCGTTTTCGCGGTTCCGGGCCATTTGTTTCTGCCGAACCGTTTTCCGTGTATTGAAGCCTGGAAAGTGGAAGAGGATGACAAGTTGATGTATAGTCAGAATGTGGCTTCAATGTGACGACCCATCAACAACCCATTGAAGCAGAAAAAACAGGGAGTGTCATGGCCCCTCACAATACCATTGTATCCCCAATCCCCAACGTCAGCATGCCACTCAAGCCGCCAACGACCATCCGCATCGGTATACGGTTTAACCACACAGGTAACGCACACCCAACGAGGAGATACAGGTGCGACAAGATGACCGGCCCACAATCGCGGTCGTCTAGGAACTTGGACAGGAAATCATGTACGGGTTGTCCGAGCGGGTAGAGGCGGAAGTGGCGGAGGTACTCGAACAGGATGAGCACAGCTAGCGCGACGGAGAAGGCTAGGTGCATGAATTCCGGCTGTGACAGGGAATCGACATGTGTGAGATTGAGCCAGATGAACAACCCATTTGTGAGATCTGAACTCACATCCCATATGTACCCTGGAATGAACATCAACGTCGCCAGTAGATGGAAGTACTTCCGCTTCCAATTCAATACCGCACTATTTGCTGTCGTCTCTGGGAACTTCAGCCATGCGATCGTCACGCCGATCACTATAATGGACGCCCAATAAAGTGTGACGACGGGTCGGGTGAAGCCGGAGAACAATACAAAGTTGATGGTCCTAAGGAAGCACCATCAGTAACCATTATGCACCGAACGCAGTTTCACATGCGCTTTCGGGATACTCACCACATGAAAGGCTCAGCCCCCAAACAAAGCTGGGTCCACGGGGCTATTATAAACAAAACCAGCGCCACCACAGCAACGTAAAAGAATCCAGACAGCACCATCCATCTCTGCGTTTGACCATCCAGCCGCGCTTGAGATATCGCACGCAATAGAGGTGATAAAGCGATCCCGATAAGAAGCATCCCGTACACCAATGCGTGCATGAAGACGTTCATTTCGCTTCGATGCATTAGAGTTGGTTGGGGGTGTTGTGGTAGCAGCTGACGAAGGATATGTAGATGTTAGTTATCGAACGATTTCATGTGAGGAATGAGAACAGGAGCCGCCAACCTTTGATTGCAAGCTGAAAACCGCATCGATAAATAGCAACGCCAGCGTTTGTGCAACCACCAGCGCCTCGCCGAGCGTGAAGCTGGGCCGTAACCATGACTGAAGCATGTGTAAAAAGGCTTTGAAGATAACTACTCCTCCCAGACCTATGAGGGAGAAGAAAAGCGGAGCCATTATTTAGCTCTACAAGAAAAATAATGAAAGCATATGTACACCCCATGCTCGCCAAACCCGTACCATAGATAATTTGCATCCGACTCGTCAAAGACGTGAGGCATACACCGACCAGTACGGTCGCCCAAACATGCCGTGTCCACCCAGATCCCAGCCGCATAAACAAGCGAGCTCCTTCCAAGCTACTGAACCATAAGCTCAGCTTCAAGAAGAGGGCAAAGTAGTCTGGTTGTGATGATCGGCAAGAGGACGTTCGTTAGCTTCCTTCTGTGGACCGCCGGATCGGGCACAGATATGAGACTCACCACTCATTTCTGGATCCGTCACAGCCAACATCATGCTGGCAGTGACAAGCGGCGGTAATAAGAGACCGGCCACTATCCCTGGTTCCGCGTTGGGCCTGTGAGAGACGACGGTCGAGGTTACGCGGTAAGTGATCTGGGAAGCTTCCAAGGCTTTTTCTCCGCTTCCCGCCGGAGTGCGGTGGTTCGCTTCCTACCTGTAGTAGCCAGTCCGTATCTGGATCGTGCTATTCGTGGAATGCAGACTAGCGAACTGCAACATTAGCGTCGCCGCCAGAACAACCACCGCCACTGCAGGGACGTGCATTCGGAAGGGTCAGCGCCGAACCATCCAATATCCATACATCTGCCAGAACCGTCCACCAACGTCTGCCCTCCGCTCCGTACACACCTCCCATATCCCCACCCCATCCAATTTTCCCCAACACCCGCAGCCTGCCAAACGCCCAGGCGTACGGTATAACCAGACATGCTGCTTCGACGACTGTGTGGACCTTGTATGCCGTTTCGGCGGGTGCGGGATGGCTTGAGAGTGCTGGAAGTGGTGGTGGTGGTGGTGGTGACGAGGAAGGTGGAGGCTCTGCGGGAAGCGCTGGTCGTCGATATGCCATTGTTTCTGAACGTGTTGGCTGTTGCGTTGCGAATGTGAGCCGCGGGGCAACTCAATGGGCGGAATGCCGCAAAGAGGCAGAAAGGACTTCTCCGTTCAGCTCTCCCGACGGGCGCCATCCTTTCCCACAACCAAAAACATTGCACCTTTCCTGCCATTCACAACTGCCTTGCTGTTCTATTCAAGCCATGTACTGTACCAACGATCACCCTAATGGAGCTTGCGATCCAATCCCTCGCATTTTCTGCGTCCCCGTTGGCCCCAAATTAGATTGCAGAACATCTTGCAGACTGGCAGCGGTTGTGATGCTGGTGGCCAGAGCCTGACCTTGCCGAGCGACCTTTTTAACCTCCTCAATTACCGGCCCTAATACTCCAATAATAGTGTCCACCTCCGCCATCGCCCCATTGCCCAGATCGCCACATGCCAGCTTCTTCACTACAGGATCGATAACTCTGTACCCTAGAATCGACGTACACACTTCCAAATGTCGTGCAGTGAAGGGATGCGTCCACATGTGCATGTTCATCGCTGGGCAAAGAATCACCGGTTTGGACGTATCCCATGCACGGAGGACGCATGTTAGGAGGTTATCAGAAGCGCCTGAGGCAAGTTTGGAGAGTGTATTGGCGGACAGCGGTGCTATGAGTAGCAGGTCAGCCCAGGCTCGCAGCTATGAGGGAAGAGATGTCAGCTTCAAAAATTGGGTCATCACTGTGTCATGAGTGTTCACCACTTACGTCGATATGTAAGACTGGGTCCGACATTTTAGTCCAGGCTGCCCATTCTTCGGCGTCGGTGTAAACTGGAACCCCTTCCGCCTCAACTTCTGTACGATTGAAGAAGTGAAGGGCGTGTGTTGTGGATATGACCTTTATTTCTATATCGCTCTGTATCGGAGCCAAATAGTGCATGATGATCAGCACCTGGGTTCCCAACCAAAGTAAACCTGCTAAACTATCGGTGTGTATTTGTGCAAATTTACCGCTCCGGCCGTCCTCCGCCAGCCCAAATCCGAGCCCTTCAAGGCCGGACGAACATACTAGCCCCACTGCCAGTAACTACTTTCTTGATTTCCATTCCCCCTTGTCCTCTTTCAACGAACCTTATGCAGTTCCTTGAGCTTCCGCACTAAGATGGGCATCTTGATGCTCGCCACGCTTCCGGACGCGGCAAGGAGGATGCGTGGCGCACCGGGTAAGCGGACGGTTGTGCCGTTGGCGTACTGCATGCTGCTTTCCTATGCATATGACGTGAGTGTTGGGAGTCGTTGGAGCACTTGTATCGGATCTAAGACTATGTATGAGGACGAATGCTTTGTTGGTACTGTATGTATATTGGAGAGAGTTGCGGCCTTTGCGGCCTTCCGCTGGTCTTTCTCGTGACGCTTCCAGGACTTGCCCGCGCCTTTCTCAATCTCCACAATCACCGTGGGAATCTTGGAAAGTCTAAGACGACGACAGCAACGCCACAACAGGGAACGAACGATTACCAACCGCAGCTAACGTTGCCTCCAACCCTCGAACGAATATCACTCAGCCAGCAGTGAATTCCGACCGGCACACCGCTCTCTCCTCACATAAGTGCTCCAAAAGTGGGTGCTAACCGCAATGGAACCTCTTCGCAACAACAACACCAGCGGCACCAGCCACCGTTTCGCCTCCGACGCCCAGCTCCCCTCCCCTCACCAACCCGCACCTTCCGAGGCCCCCGCCACCACCGCTCCCACAACATCATCCCTCACAGTCGAATCCGCGACGACCACCGTCAACCCCGATCTCCCCCACCTCCGACTCCAAGGCGCAACCGTCCTCGCTTACGCCTCCGCAGCAATCGTGCACCCGCCCGGCACATTCTTCACCGAACCGGTCAACCCGTTCATGAGGGCGCATGGGAAGGCGGTCGAGGGGCAGGTTGGGGCTGTGAGGGGGGTCAGGGGGGGTGGTGGGGTTTGGGGGGAGGGGGTTTGAGCGGGGATAGGGGTCGGATTGACGGATGAATAGGGGAGGGTGGGGGATGGGCGTTGATAGGATGCGTGGATCAACATGGAGAGGGTTATTCCTTGCGCAAATCTAGTATAGGGTGGATCCCTGAAGACCATCGCAATGAAGACGGCCAACCCTCTGAGGAGAGAGAGCCAGGGGTGAGGAGAACGATTGTAGTTGAAGGTAATGTTCGCTTCCCACTACTGACCAAACCTCTCTTCGAAAGGCTCCCTAACAAGGATCAACACGCTATGGGATGAATGTAGTAAAGCATTTACGGCGTGCGGCCCCGATCATGCATCATGCAAACGCTCAGCGCCAGAAAACGAAAGAGTATATGTAAATCTCAGGCTTGTAAAAAAATTGCTCATTTGTACATATATAAGTTACTGGTATACGCTGGTTTTGAAATAAAGTGCCAGTATGGCAGAAGAATCTGGAACTATCGCGGCATATGGAAATATCTACACTGAAGGATTTCGGTCTCATGCCACCGGCGGATGGGCGAAGGATACGGCGGCGGTGGGATGTGGAGGCCGGGCCCAGGGTTGCGGCGCAACCGAAAGCGGAGAGAACGGGAGGCCGCGACGCGCGTGGGACTCCTCATACGTCGGGATTGGTCTAACAGCGCAGGACCGGGTGTGTGGGCGGCTTGGAGGGAGGGAGGAAGGAATACACCCTTGGGGGACATGTGCTGTCGTCTCCAGCAGGGTCTCCCATATTCCGTGTGCCCGACTCTAAGGACCGCCCATCATCGCCCCATTCATTTGCACCACTTCGTTTTGCTGCAAGACACGCCCCGCATCCCCAGAGACCAGCCCTTCGTCATCCGTTTGTACGGGTGCCGGACTCGCATTTGGAGGTTTCGGTAAACGAGGCGCCGGACGTTTCTCGGCGAGGGTCGGAGGGGACGGAGGTTGACGGAGGAGTGGCGTAGGTTCCGAGCGGTACGTACATGTACAGAGAGCCGACGATGGCTCATGTCCAAATCTCCCGCAACCGTACTTCTCTATAGTATTGTTCCAAAAAAAAAACGCCAGCATATGCCGGTGTTGACCCTCGCGGTTTCTCTGTTCAGGGATCGAGTCCACGGACTCAACATCCATTCACCACTGCATCTGTCCCAACGGCGGCGTCCCCAGCCCCGCCACCAGATGCTCCGACGAACTCTGCACCGCCTGCGGATCCACGACCTGCACCTGTTGCACCGCCTGCACCACCTGCGACTGCTCCTCCTCAAAAGCCTTAACATTCGCAATCCTCTGCTCGACCAGATAAAACACATACTCATCAAACAACAACCTCAACAAATGAAAGCTCCCAAAACTCGTGGCGCTCCTCAACGTCAAATCCCGCATAGCCAAACTGCTGAAAAACGCCCACTTCAACAAAAACTGCCGCGCGACGTACACGTAGCGCGTTGGGTCGAGCGAGAGCGAGGGGGCGAGGAACCGGTTCACGCAGGTTTCGAGCCAGGTCGTCCAATGCTGTAAGGAAGAGCCGGAGGATAACAACGCGCGGAAATCGAGCTCCATTAACTGCACCACGTCCTGTTTCCGGCACTCGCATACCCAAGAGGCCTGATCGAGGATATTCTCGAAATCGATTCTGTTCCAATCGGCCAGCATCTGGGCGACTTGGTCGGGGTTGTCGAGGACGGCGGCGGTGGCTTGGGCGAGGTGGTTTAGGGAGGTGTGGCGGCGGAGTTGTTGGATGAAGACTTTGACGACTTCGATTTTGCGGGTTGTTAGGAGGGGGGATTGTGTGTGCAGGGAGGCGAGCATCCAAGGTTCGAGTTGGCGGGCGAATTGCCGGACGGCTTGAATTATTTGGATGGGCATCATTTGGAGGACGTTGGGGAGGAGGAGGTTCATTATCGTCTGATGGAAGAAAGAAGGGGATGTTAATGTCGATTCAGTCGACATCATGAGCCAGTAGAAGATGAAGCGCACGGAAACCTACATCATACAGCAAAGAATCATACCGCCAAATATACTCAATAATATCCGGGCTATTCACAATCTCCCTATCCTGCGTCGACAACCCTTCCCAATACTCGCGTATGATCCCCTCGACCTCGTTGAACTTCATGCACTGTATGCTCTGCAACAACTCCTGGCAGTGCTGTTTGTAGCCCTCGAGGAACAACTGGCAGGCGGTGTAGTCGAGATTTGGGGAAAGTTGTGATGGGTCGAGGGCTGGGAGGGCGGGCATTTGTGCGATGTGAGATTTGGTGGGGTCTTGTTCTTCGAGTTGCTGGTCTTGGGGTGTGTCGCCTCCTCCTTGTTGCCCCTGTTCAACCGATTCTTCTGATGGCTGTAAACTTTGAAGCTGTTGCTTCCCGTGTTGAGTATGACCATGTTGGACAGATATGCCGGAATCATGATCCCCGACAAGCCCTGCTGGAGGTGTCGGCGACGAAGCTTGCGATTCGCCACGCCGTGCAGACGAGCTCCTAATCGACGACGTGTAGCCTTCCCCAAGCGCCACAGAAGCGCTCTCATTCCGCATCTGTATTCCGCAGTAGTGATACTTTGACTTTCCCCTCGTCCCCAGTCTTCTCGTTTTGATGTCCGGGAACACGCTTCTGATGAGCTTGCCAAACGAAGCAGAATTCACCGGGTCGATCTTGTGATCCACGCAGTACGAGCAATAGTGATCGTAGAGGTTGCTCCGCGGAATGCTTATCCCTTCGCGCTGCTCGTAATTCTCCATTAACCAATGTGTGACGAGGATGGACCGCGCCTTGTCCGCCTGTGGACCTGTTTCGCCCGCTTTTGCAGCCAACTGCTCGAGCGTGTCTTTAGATTCGAGCATCAGTTGCCGCATGTCGGATTCGGTGGGGACATGGGTATCACGAGCATTGTCGGGATTTCGTGCGCTGTGTTCGTGTTCGTCGCCTGAGTGGTCTCCATCGTCATAATGGTCCGTGAAAGACGTGTTCGCGTGAGCGTCTTCGGCTTTTATTGGTGGAGAGCCGTCGCCTGTTGCCGGAACTGTATATACCACTGTCCCGTGGCCCACCAGTCCGGCTGCCGTTCCCACCGATGTCTGTTTCCCTACCACGGGCAGAGTAGAATTCTCGTCAGCCTCCACGATACCCTGGGCTGCGGCGGTCATTGCTGCGATATCGGAGGTCAAGTCGTCTACTAGCTTTTGCTGTGACTAAATGTAAGACGCAGAAAGTGAGTGAGGATGGAAGCCTTCCTAAGTGAGACGATAAGTGAGCAAAGCTGTGGGCGTACCTCCATGACCCTTCTCCCGCGTGCGTACCTTGCACCGAGTCAGTAGTACGAGTAAGGTATCAGTTCTTCTTTGATACACAGGCGGTGGTTGTTGTTGTTGTTGTTGTTGTTGTTGTTGTTTGAGCGAGCGAGGGCCGAGTGGAGAGAAAACGATTGAAGACGGGAGGGGGCGACTTGACTGCGCGCCTGGCGTGACTCACCCGCTTATGTCAGCAGCTTATGTCAGCTGATGCTCGCTCTCGGAAAACGCGCAACTCACTCGCACGCGTTGGAGCATTGGGAAGCTTCAAAACACTAGGACAAGGACAAGAGAGAGAGCTTTCTTACGCTCTTGGATGGTATTGTACGATTGTTTACTTAGTGTATGTACATGGGGCTCCCTAATCCGTAAGGCTATATGTCTGCCCAGCTGCCACCGTCTCCAGCGCAACAGACAGAGCTGGTATGAAATACTTCCTCTGAGTCCTGAACTTCCTGTCCTCCAAGCCGCCATCACCGTCCTCTTCACCCTGACCCGTTGCACCCCTTCGCCTCCTGATTCCAGCGCTGCGAATATACCGTAATTCCGCGCCTGGCACAATCCCAATAAGTTCCCGTTCCAGAACATCGGCAGTTATGTCTTCAACGCTGAAAGTCCGCCATTGCGGCGACAGTTGCGTTGGCTGCAGATGTGATCCTAACGGGACCGAGGTCGGCGGCCGGCTAGCAGAGAATCCACTCGTAAGCCGCGCCATGCTACTCCCGAACCCGTTACTGCCAAGATTCGACGCGTTGGCCATGGTGTCTCCCCGCGATGGCGTCAATGGCTTGATTCCGCTGCTGCTGGAGTACGGTGGGGAGATGGCGAACGGATCAAACGGTAACAGGCTGACGCGTTCCATGGGCATCGAGCGGTTGTATTTGCCAATGTGCATGGATAGATCGGTGCTTTGGCCTCCGCCGCCTTGCCTGTGGTGGTGGTGCGAACGGTGGGAGAGCTCGGATGGGGATAGGGGCGGGAACTTGCCTATGAGCAGCAGAAGTAACCGGGGAAGAGTGAAAGAGCATGAGAAAAGCGAGGCTGAAGGACAAGACTCAAACCTCCCAAACTCACTCTGATCATAGTCCAACGTTTCCCTCGACGGATGACAAGCACTCCGATGCGTCAACCCAATCCCCTTCGTCCTCATGTCCACCAACCGTCGCTTCCCCCCACCCCCCTCCTCTTTCTCCCTCTCCGCTGCCTTCCCCTTCACACCCCCCACATCCTTCCCCATCTTTGCCTCCACCAACGCCCTCTTCTTCGCCTCCAACCTTTCAATCCTCTCCCTCTCCTTCTGCGCAGTCATCTCCATCTTCGCCCTGCGTTCAGCCTCCTCCTTTGCGCGCGCCACACGCGCTTCCTCTTGCGCCCGCAGCTTTGCTAACGCTTCTTGTTCGGCTTTCATTTGCTGATGTTGGAGGTCCAGCATATAAAAGTTGATCGCGGTGATGAAGTCGGCTGTCAGTGGGTTTTGGAGGATACTGACTGCTGACCGTGCGTTCACCCCCCCGCTGCCGCTGCCGGTGCTGCCTTGGGTGGTAGGCCGCGACGGAGGCGTGGCGGTATGTCGAGCAATCGAGCGCCTAACACTCTGCTGGAACGTAGCATTCGAACCCGATGTCTGGTAACTTTCGTCAACAGCAAGAGACGGCCGGTACGTGATCGACTCCATCAATACCGACATATCCATGTCCATATCCGGCATCGTGAAAGCCGTCGCAGTCGCCGTAGTCCCACCCGATGTCGACCCCAACGCAGTCGTCGTGTTGATCGCAGGCTTGAGCACCGTCGCGCTGGTCGGCACAACCACCGGCTTTCCATCCCCCACAGTGGCCGTGGTCTCCCCACCCGTGGGCCCCATAACCAGATTCGGATCAAACACCACCTTCTTCTTCTTCCCTTTCGTCTCCGCCGTCTCACCGCCCTCTTTCCCAACAGCACTCCCCGGCCGACTCCGTTTTCCCACATCCGTTTTAGCGGATTTGGCTTTCTTAACCTCAAACCCGTGTATATTCATCCCCTTCAACTGTGCGCGTACCTCCGTGTTGGGTGTTGCCCGGATCAGGTAGCTTCGTAACGCTGTTTTGAGAAAGTTGGTCACTGTGGTGCGGAGATCGGGTTGGGGTGGGGGTAGCGTGGAGGGCTTGGGGTGCTCTTCGGGGATTGGTGGGATTTTGGCATTTTTGGTTGTGCTTTTGGCGGCGGGGCGGGAGGCGGAGGTGGGGCGGGAGTTCGAGCCGGAGGAGGTGCGGGACGGGGGTTTTGAGGTAGGCGGCGGGGGCGCGATGGGGTCCGGGTGGGTGTCGGCTGGGGGTTCGCCCGCTTTGGGTGTGATGACGGGTTCCGGTGGGGTCTGAATAGATTGAGAAGAATTTGATGAGCACCTTTTAATGGAAACACATGGACGGCAAGCTCTCTTCTCTACCTTCCCCATAAGCCCGTCCAGCGCACTCGTCAGGAACTTGTTATCGGGCGCATAAACACCCAAAGCTTGCAGATACTCTATCGCGCGGGCGCTGGTGGGGGGGAAAACACATCAACGGAGGTCAAGAAACCATCACAGATGCTCCGTCCACTCACCGGATCTCCGGCTGCCTCGCCACACTCTGCACCAACAACCCCGGCACAACCTCCGTATGCGTCGGAGCCAGCTTCGCCATCGTTTCCATTATCGTGCATCTTAACTACAACCCAAAAACACACACTTCAATAACCCCACCCCCATCTCCCATATCTCCTGAACGCCAACACATACCTTAACCTCCTCCTCCCCTACCTCATCCATCCCATCTACGTCCATCCCCTCCTCAACAGGCGTCGCCAAATACCGTCCAAGGGCCTTCATAACCCCCGCAACACCGACATCATCGATGCCTTCGAGGTCGTAGAGGTAGTTGATGTATTCAAGGATCTCGGTGCGGTCTGTGGGTGTTGTTGTGGGGGCGCGGAAGGTTGTGAGGATGGAGGGGAGGAGGTGGGTTGGGGTTGGGTTTGCTTGTTTCTGGTTGACAGAGGTGTGTGAGAGGGTTCAAAAAATGGGACATGGATCATGAAAAGTAGGACGGACGTACGAGTTTGCGATGGCGCGCGCGGATGGCGGGGGATTGTTTTCGTGGGGTTGCTGGGCGGGAGGTTGGAGGTGCTGCTGCTGGTGTCGTTGTGAGCCCTGGTGTTCCTGCGGAGGTGGTAATCGGTGCTGGTGTTGATGGGGCGGAGGTTGTGAATGGTTTTGATGGGGTGGAGGTTGTGGATGGTTTTGATATTGCCGATGGTGCTGATGTTGCCGACGGAGCCGACGGAGCCGCGGGGCTTTTTGCCCCCGGTTTGACTTCAAGTGGTTGGAAGATCTGAGAAGGGAGAAGAGCCACATTGTCAACATCTCGCGTGGATACTATTGTCTCCAAACATTCCCCTATACATTACATACCTCATCAACCGGCGCCCAATCATACATCATCAACCTCTCCACCGCCGGCGGGAACACCTCCTCCTCCACACTCTCCTTCCTCACCACCACCTCCCTCGGCACCAGCGCTTCCACCTTCATCCGATGCGCCGGCAACCTCGACCTCACCGGCGGTTCCCCTTTCTCACCCTCCTCCTCCCCTTCTCCCGCCGCGTCGGCAGCCGCCTCACCCTCCTCAACCACCTCGACAACCTCCTCCTCCTTCGGCAACCGTTCAAGCATATCCTTCAATCGCTCTTTGTACTCCTCACTCCGTTTCTTCCTCGCCTCTTCTGCCGCTGTGATTTTATTGACCGCCGCCTGCTTCCCCGCGTTCGCGTCCTGCGCCTGCGCGGTGAGAGATAGATCTGTGATCGTGAAGTTGGTATGTGCTTGTTTCCAGGATTCGACCTGCGAGCGGACGAAGGAGTTGGGGAGGGCGCCGTCGGGGGCGGGGATGCGGGATTTGCGCCGGGTGTCGGTTTCGGTGGTGGGGGAAGGTTCGTCGGGTTTGGAGCCGCGACGCCGGGATTTGCGGGATTTCGCTTCGGAGTGGGTCGGGAGGCTTGGGCGGTAGGGTTTGGTTCGTGGGGTGGGCTCGTCGGAGTCGGAGGCTGAGTCTAATAATATAATGAGGGATGTGAGCGTTCGCTTTCGGTGTCTGGAAATCCGCCTTGATGGATGACGGAGTGAAATACATGTTCCTGAGACTTACTTTCTCCTCGCAGCAGCGCCTTCCGCTGCCGTTCTCTCGACCGAATCCTCAGTTCGCGTTCCTTCTTCTCATTCTCCCGACTTCTAAACCGGCCTTTCCTCTGCGTCGGCGACCCGTCCGCCCCTTCGCTCTCCTCCTCAATATCATTCTCCACACCCCCGCGCATCCGCGACCCCCGCCGTCCTTTCATTTCGCCCTCGTAGTCATGCGTCGTCGCCCGTATCTCCATCTCCTCCGCATTCGGCGCCACATCCCCTGCAACCTTCTGCCGACCCCCATAACTCCCCAATCCATCCCCGCCCCCGCCGCGCATCGACATAGCGTTCCTCAACCGCGAATCCATCTCCATCGCGTATTCGCCCAACAAACCCGCCGCAGCCTCCAATTCGCCCGCCATCCGCCCCTTCTCCGACGCCTCACCCGAAGGCGAACGGGGTGTAGCCGGTGTGGTCGGCTCAAAATCGATTGGAAGCTCCTCCAACTCGACGCTGGAGTTTCCTTTAAACTTGCGCATTTGGAGGTAGCGGCGGAACTCCTCGTGCACGATTTCTTCCTGTCGCGCCATGTCGGCCTGGTCGGCTTCCATCCGTTTCCGTGCCGCGTCGATTAGTTGCTGACGTTGGTGGGCGAGGAGTTGCAGCCGCGCCATCAGTGCGTTGAACTCGGCTTCTTCGGGCGATGTCAATGTTTCTGCGGACATCGGGGCCGTGGCCGCATCGGTGATCGCACGCTCAGGCACCCCCAGATTACATTCGTGGAATAACCGCCAATGCTCATGCCCCTGCATCGCCCCACCCCCAACCCTTCTCGCCCCACCCCCCCGTCGCAAATCCTGCCAACTCAAATCAAACTCATTAAACGGCACCAACCCCTCCGCCTCCGTCCACCTCCCCCCCGCAACCTTCTGCGCCTGCATCACATATGCCGGGGGTAGGTAACTCCCACCCCGCATGATATCCAGCCGGTTCTCGAAGGAGAAGATCAGGTCGCCGGCGTCGGATGCGAGCGCGATGTGGTTGATGGATTCGGTGAATTGGATCTCGCGAAGGAGGGTGTTTTGCGTGTCCCAGAGTTTGAGGTGCCCGTCGTGCGAGGAGGTGAGGAAGAGGGAGAGGGAGGGGATGGGGACGATGGAGGTGATGGCGTCGGTGTGGTCGTCGGAGCGGTTGTGGGGGTTTATAGGGGTGTAGCCTGTGAGCGAATGGATCAGAAATCACCATCCAGGTGCTTCGGTCCATCGTTCCCTTGCCTCGCAAAAAGAAAACCGACAACTCTTACTTTTCCTCGCAACATTAAACCGCCACATCTGCACCGAATAATCATCCAACCCGGCACAGATCACATCCCCCAACACCGCAATCACTCGCGGCACGCCAGGCGTCGGGATCGCGATCTTCGGCACCACATATCCGCTATTCAACGCCGTCGGGACCACGCTAGAGATCCGGATGTGCTCGTCTACCCCGCTCGTGAAGAGGAGCTGGTGCTCCGTGGAGGCTATCATGTGGGTCATTTCGCCGGCGTGGAGCTGTCGGAATTCATTGGGTGTCCATCGTATTCAATGCACTGACTGATGAACAACAAAAATGGCAGTGGGAATGCACACATACCTGACATCGGTCCCCCACCGCCCCCCTCCGTTTGTACACCACAACCTGCCCATTGCGCGTCGCTCCAAGCAAGAACGTATAACCCCCCGCCACCGTCGCAGCGTCCAGCGCCCCAACAGGCGTAGCCCCACCCGTTGCAGGTGTATGGGCATTTCGAAAGGTATCAGGAAACCGCCCTTCGAAGAGGGTCATGAGGTTGCAGTCTTCGCGAGCTGTTGAAGTTGAAAGGGTGAGAGGTGAGGGGATGGAGACGGGAAAAGGAAGGGATGAACGTACATGACTCGCTAGCCCGCCAGATATCGACCACGGCACATGGGTTGGCGTTGGTTGCGATGACCCAAATCTCGTTGTTACCGAGCATCATGTACATCCTATCTGCCATGTCCGCGCAGTTATGTTTGGAAAACATGCTATCAGTAACCAGCCCCGCATCCGCATAGAATCAAATGATCCCAAAATAACGCACCAGTCCGCCCGGAATAAGCAATAGCTGTAACAACATCCGTATCCAAAATCGGCAACGCGGCCGTCAACGTCTTCCCCGATACCGGCGAGATCAGTCGCACGACTCCATCCTCCGTGCGCGCGATCAAGCGGGGCGGGAAGGTTGATGAGGCGTCGGAGCGCAGGAGGGTCGTCAGGTTTGAGCTGGCGTGGGATGAGGCTTATGAGTGGGAGAGTGGGCATGGGGCGGGTGGAGGAGGGAAACGAAGGAGCGTGCAACGTACTTGACGTTCGCGAATACGGAGTTGATGTGGTTCGTTCCCCAGACCTGTAGGCCTTCGGCTGTGCGGACGTACATGAGCTGGTCGTCGATGACGTGCATGCTGAGGGGCTTGTTGCGTAGATGTAGGCTGCCGGAAAGAGAGAAACACTTATAATCAACAATCCAGTATAAGGCTGCAAGATCAAAACAATGACTTCAAAATTTACCAATAAATCTCCCGAAAAGTATTCAAATCAAACATCCGCACACTCGAATCCATCCCGGCCGACATGAGCACCTGGCCATGCGGATACATTGCCAACGCGGTGACTGACTGCGTGTGTGCGTTGAACTCGTGGATGATCGCGTTGGCCATGTTGCGTATTTGGACTGTGTGAAATGCGCAAGCGTGAGTGAATTGGAGGACCAGATGAGAAAGCTGAAGAAGTAACCTACTGCTGCCGTCGGCACAGGCGATGATGGTGTACTGGTACAAGTCGTGCTGGATTATTGTTTTGACATGCCGGGTGGAGATAGTGCGCACAGCTGTGGCTGTCCCGCTTAAGTGCTGCGTTTCGCATATCTACACAAATCGGACAGCCCACATCAGCAATGTACTCGCAAATGTCCTGCAGCGTTCGCATCCACAGCACGCACCACAATCTGCGTCCCCACAGCAGCAAACACCCTCCCATTCGGCTCGTCTAGCGAGATATCCGAAATCCATGATTCTTCTGGCAACTCGGTGTGGAAGGTGTGTTTGAGCGTTGCGACGACTTTGTAGGTGCCTGAGCTGTTTGCTTTGTTGTTTCTGATGAAGTGGGTTAGCATTGTGAGGATTCGTGTGAAAGAGGGAGGAACGCTTACCGTATCTGGATCCCTTCGAGACCCCATATCTGCAACGAACAAAAAAGAACGCGGCGTTAGATGTGAATATGCTCGTTACCGGGGGAGTTGCTGCCCCGACTCACACTGATATCGTGAGATCCGGCCGTGACGATTTCCCCAGTGGTTTTGTTGTATTTCACACTGTACAAGAATGGGTTGATGTTAGTTGACTGCATGGATGACATGGAAGAGAGATAGCCCGTAGGATCCGTACAAAAGGACTGGCTCGGCAGTTCGACATATCTGAACGCATTCAAACCGCGAGTTGAAGAACTGCTCTCAAAAACCGTCAGTTTACCGAATCCTCCGAAATCCCAGTGCGTGAAAGCTTCTTTCCAAAACCCACCTTTAACCCCCTCCCACACCCAACTCCGACATAAACACACATCCTCGCCACATACGCAATCTGCTCCACCTCCATCGGACACCTTACCACCGCCCGCGGTTTATGCGATGCTGTCCCCGCGACGATATCCCAGATCGTCGCGGTGCGGGTGCGGTCGATTGTCACGAATGTGTAGGCCGATGACGAGGATTGTTGTGATGATGCTGCGGGTGTGGATGTCGATGGGGTGTTTGTTGAGTCGGAGCCGTTAGAGCCGTCCTTTTCCGCCCCGTGTATCTGTTTCCCCGACCCTGAACCTGGCGCGGACCGCACTTCCCCAGCTTCACACCCTCCCATCCCATCCTCGTCTCCATTCACAACTCCCGCATAATCCGCCGTAATCCTCCCCTCAGCATGATGTGTCGGGATCTTGACATGCGAGCACGCACACAAGACCTGCTGCTGGCGATGTCGGAGGGTATATTTGGGTTGGAAGCCGTGGCGAATGGTTAGCGGGTAGGGAATTAGGGAGGCGCCGATGTTTGGCGGGCGCTTGGTGGCGGGGGAGGGAGAGCTGGATTGGGAGAGGTAAGAGGCGCGGACGAGGGCCCAGAGATCTTGGGCTGTGCGTTTGGGAGGTTTGGTGGGGTGGGTGGCAGATTTGGCTTTCACATTGGGAGGATGCTGTGCTGTTGCATTAGTGGCGGCGCTGACGGACCGATCGGACTGGCCCGAATCGGAAGCTGTCTGGATTGCTCTTGCATGTTCTGACACCAGACGGGAGCTGAAGGAACTATCCGTCTTCCGTGCAAGAGAGCCCACGACAATAGGTCCACGGAGTGCTGCAGACGAAGGATGAGATGGAGGACGGGATGCCTCTGCGGCCAGCATACTTGTTTCAGTGTAAGTAGTGTTGATACGCTGCGGGTGGCCGTTCACTGGTCAGGACGGGGAGCAAGGGCAAGCCATCAAAATTGACAGCAACGCGGTATTCAACATCGATCTCCGCTTGAATCTCGCAGACATTTGACAGGGGCAGAAACGGCTGCAAACGGGTCGGTCCCCTTCTTTCTCTTCACAACCGTCCATACTACATCTGCATATGCAAAATTCACAGCCGAGTCATGATTAGGCTATCTCGCCAATCAAGATGGTGGTCGGACGGGGATTCCGCGTCAAGCATTTGTTCTCCTGTTCCGAGACGAGTTGCTAATGATACGATGGCATAGAAACCGGGACTGCTTGTCTAGCAGCTTACTACTTCTGTCTCCCGGGAGCACTGCAATTCCTAGGAGGGGAGAAGAGGGAGCTCAGATGCTTGCTTTGTTGAACCATCCATTCCACGGCAATAAATCGGATCTATGCAGAGGGCAACAGGAGAACACGCGGCCCATAAAGACCTGACTTCTCCGACTTCTCTCCGTCTCCTTCTCAATTTGGTCCGCAATCTAGTCGAGGTTTTCAACTCACGCCATTTGGTGGACCTTGGTGGACGGAGGCACCCGGAGGTGACTGTACTGTATACTGTGTGAGAGATGGGCCGTGGTACGCGTGAGCTACGCGCGCACGAATTGCGACCTCTCATCAGATCTGTAGCCCCCTCTTTCGAACCGGTAGGCTCCCCCACAATCCTCCATATATGTTCCCCCATAATGTTCCCGGCCGTTGCCACGTGCCCGAATTTGCAAAGCTGTCGGGCAGCACTTGAGAGGTTATGGGGTGTGATGGTACGTGACCAAGATTGCTCCTCCTTCCGTACGGGCCGACGATGCAGCCGGAGGGCTACCCTATAAAAGCCAAGGGACGAGAGCACTCTCCATGATGCATCCAGGTCGTCCGTCCATCATAAGCACCTTCCATCCCCCATCTCCTGTCATCATGCTCCTCAAGTTGATCGCCTCCGCGGCCGCCCTCCTGCTCTCCAGCAGCGCGGCCGCCAACCCCGTCTTCTCCTACGACTTCCTAGCCACCAACCCCTTCGACGCCGCCAGCGCCCTCGCCCCCATCTGGCACTTTGACGAAAAAACCTGCGCCCCGACCGACGCCGTCGTCAATGGGCAGCCGAATCCCGGGAACGCTGCCGACTACTGCAATGTGTTCAAGGTGGATCATAATTGTACCCCGCAGCCCCCGTGGAAGGGAGACAACACTCTTGGAGCGAGATTCCCTACTTACTGGTTGAGTCAGTATTGTGAGAAGGACCAGAGTTTTCGGATTCTTTATGATGTTTACTTTTCGAAGGACACGGGGCATCGTCATGATTGGGAGTAAGTTTCTACTGTTCACCATCTAGTCCCGTTCTCTTGGCTGTCGCTACCATTGACTCAGCCGCATTTCCTCATTAGATGGACGATCATAAAACTCACCCGCAACTCACCCGACAACACCTGGACAGCCGCAGGCGCCTGGATGGAACAAGACGGGAAACACCCCTGGTACAACTGGTCCTCCATCTCCACCAACAACCTCGGCCACCCTCTCCTCTACTTTGGAAAATGGCATCACCCGGTGTTCCCAGATCAGCAGACCAGATTCTTCGCGAACACCTGCCCGCCCAATTCCAAGAGCGATTATAGAAGCTCGGATTATATGTGGCCCGCTGCGGATCATTTGGTGCCCGCGAATGTGATTGATCCGAAGTGGAGCTATGGAAATGCGGATTCGACACCCCCGGCGTTTTATCCCAATGGAAAATATGATATTTGCAACTTCTAAATATTGGCGTAAATGTAGTTGTCTATAGGGTAGATAGTATACCAGTACGCATTCCCTTTCTTCACTGCTGTCGCTTTCCCATTTACATTGTGATGCAAGCTGGTGCCTGCTATATATGTTTCCATATTTTATGCATTTACCCTTTCAATGATACTTCCATTCTACCAGCCAAAACGTGGCTGGGTTCAATTCTGAGAAAATGTGTTATGCTGTCGAATCGTGTTAATTCCGACTCTTGGAGTCACTAAACAGCGTCCTTACATTCCTCACCGCAAAGCTTCTGGCAAGATGTACTGTACTGTACCACCCACAACACAACGCATCGTCCACTCTGGGTCCCCCCTCGCCGTTGTAGTCCACCATCCGCCAACATGTCCAACATGTCCGACATATTCGACGACGATAATCGATTATGACAGCGACACCGAGCCGTCCCTCACAGACTGGGAAGACACAAACAGAGAGAATCTAGTGTCATTCCTAAGGAATCCGCAGTGGTCCCACGCACTGCCTAAGCTTGTGCTTTACGAGAGTGATCTTCTCCAAGACCATCCCGGTGCGAAGGAGGAGGACGGCCTGGCCTGTCACGACGGGAGCGTCGATCAGACTCTCCACGACCCCAGTCCAATCTGTGCGCGTAGAAGGGAACTTTAACCAAACCACCCTCCGACGTCCGAGCATAATCCTTCTTGAGCCAGCCCCCTCGTCGATCTATCAACGACATGACGGAAAACCGAGGCTCGAGAAGTTGACCTTCTCTTCCATTCACAGAGGGAAACACATCGGGGAAACCGGAATCGGCCGTCAAGTATGTCACTCACTTCCTTGGCCTTCATTGCAGGTGCTGGATTTTTACTTTTGTTCTCGTTTGCCTGTTTTCCTTCCATTCGTTCGAACCTGTTCAAGATGGCGGATCAGCCTTTGCTCAAGGAAAGGCTTACCTCTCATGTATACATATATAAAGAACGCCCTGTCTACAACTATATATAGATGTACCCGCCATATCAATTTGGTGATCCGATTCGGATCTGAATTTCATTGCAGATGACCTCCCGCGGTTGATGTGACGGGTATGAGTACCACTTTAGGTGTAAGTTTTGGGATGGTTGAAGGCGTCCAGGCTCGAGGACGGCCTCCTGCGGACTTCAGCCACGCAACCGGACTGACCTTTGATTGGCTAACCAGGTTCGGCGAGACGAGATCACTCTGTGAGGAGTGCATCGAGGGAATGGAGGGTCAGATCCATGCCCTCCCTGTCCTTGGACGTCCAGTATTGTTAGTAGTCGCGAATGACTTCACGCGACTGTTTACGTCAGCATCGGAGTTGTCCGTCGCTTAAAACCTTGTGGTCCCAACCTTACCCGCCTCAGATGTGAGACAGAAGTGCACGCAGCGAAGCGAAACCTTATAAGACAGGACGCAAATCAAGGAAAGCACGAAATCCAGAAGGCTAAGCAGAGACGGAAAACCCCACCGGTGATCGTTGCCTTCCGCTCGGAAATACGGAGCTTCGAAGTCCGAGGTCAGTATCGGACCGCCCTCACGAAGGGCATCGGTTTCGCTTGCGTCGAGTCCAGCTTGGCATTGCACAAGCTCATTATATTGCAGATATAATCGTCGCGGCTCGCTCAACTCGCACAACATAAATCAGCGCCAACCGAGTCTCTCCCTCACGACATATCAAGGATCTCTGACCTCAAATGTCCGGCCGTCCTGGAAACGGCCTGCCAAACGCCGTTGACAGCACCGAATCCCTCGAGTCGCCCACCAGTCCGGACTACCCCACCCCCTCCGAGCATCGCGCTCCCCTGCTGGACCAACAGCAACCCCCAGGTCAAGCAAAACAGACCCAACCAAGCCGCCACCTCCCCCCGATCGTCCGTGCATCTGATGGCTCCCGCGAAGACGGGAACGGCGGCGACGGCAGCAACCACTCCAAAAACGCGGCCGAGAATAAGCATGAGTCCCAGGACGAGGAGCACCAAGCGCCGCACGCGGCCAAGCTGCTGATGACGAAAAAAGCCAACTCGGACGAAGACCGCCGCCAGGACTTGATCCACAAACTCCGCTTGAAGGCGGCACAGCTCGGCCCCAACGAGTATGGCGTTACACCCGAAGACCTGTCCCGCATCTGCAATTTCGACAACCGTTCCAGTCCCTCGCTTTTGCAGATGTATAACAACGAGTTCGGCGGGATTGAGGGGTTGGCCGTTTTGTTGAAGGTGGATCTCGAGAAGGGGCTTGAGCGGGTAGATGAAGGCGTTGATGTCGATACTCATGGAAAGAAAGAAACGAAGAAATCGAGGAAACAGCAGGTCGCGCCGGAAATGGGCGACGATGGGGTCCCGCTTCCTATGAAACGCAATATGACCGCCGTAGAAAACGAGTCTCGCCAGGCGGCGTTTGGAACAAACGTCATCCCACCTCCGCGATCAGACACTATTCTTGAGATGGTTTGGGAAACCATCAAAGAAGACCCCATCATCAAAGTCCTGATCATCGGCGCGGCTGTTGTATTGGCACTCGGAACGGCGATCTGCCCGTCGGAAGGATACATCGAGGGTCTGGCTATTTTGGTCGCGGTCGTCATTGTCCTTTCCGTGACGGCCGGAAACGACTGGTCCAAGGACCGCAAATTCAAGAAATTACTCTTGCTGCAATCCGACAAGCGGTGCAAAGTTATTCGCGGTGGGGTCAAGGACCAGGTTTCGAGTTGGGATCTTATCGTTGGGGATCTGGTGGAGGTAGTTGTGGGCGACGAAATCCCCGCCGACGGCCTGTTTGTGAACGGCAACAGATTGGTTGTCGATGAGTCGCCGTTGACTGGAGAATCCATTCCCGTCAAGAAAAACCCTTCATCGCCATACATGTTCTCAGGATGTCAAGTAAGCGAAGGCTCCGGAGTGATGCTCGTAACAGGAGTCGGCACACGATCCAGTGGCGGACAAATCCAAGAACTACTGAACGAGGCTCAAAACGAAGAAACAGTACTGCAAGCAAAACTCCACCAGGTCGCCGTTCTGATCGGCAAAGTCGGTGTCGCGAGCGGTATCCTGACCTTCCTTGCACTTTTGGTCCGGTGGGCGATCGCATGGGGACGCCATGAAGCCAGTGGGTCGGGGTCCTCGTGTTCTGGCTCATCCGACTCGGAGACGCTCGGCCGGATCCAGGCCATCGCCGAAGATTTCGTGATCGGTATTACCGTCGTCGTAGTTGCCGTTCCCGAAGGTTTGCCCCTCGCCGTTACGATTTCGTTGGCGTTCTCCATGTTCAAAATGATCAAAGACAACTGTTTCGTCCGACATCTCGATGCGTCCGAGACAATGGGCGAGGCTACCTGTATTTGCACGGACAAGACGGGAACCCTGACTGAGAACCGCATGACGGTTGTTAAGGCCTTGGTTGGAGATCAGATTCATTATGGGGAAGGATCGGGAGAGGACGCTACGAAAGTGCACCCGTTTTCGCCAACGACGCTGCAACCGCATGTTAGGGATATCTTTACCGAGGGAATCTGCGTGAACTCGAACTGTTTTGTGAAGATGACGGATAAAGGACAGCCGCTCTTTGTCGGATCGGCAACCGAGGGCGCTTTACTGGTGTTTTCGGAGAAGTTGGGAGTTCATTACGATTTCGTGCGCAAGCAGGTCGCTAAAGTAGAGAACGGGACATGGTCGTTCTCGTCGGACAGGAAACGTATGTCTACATTGGTCCAACCTATGGTAGGAGCGATCCCTATGGAAGGAAGCAGGGACAATGGCGGGGACGGTGAAAGCTCTGGACAAGGGTCACCAAAGTACAGGCTTTACACCAAAGGCGCGTCTGAAATCGTCCTTTCGCTCTGCACGCACATCATCGACGCCCAGGGAACAAAAGCCTCACGCATCTCCGCCGACGACATTTCCCGAATCCAACGCACGATCAAGCGATGGGCCTCGCAGGGTCTACGTACACTCGCGCTTTCTTACCGCGACACCGATAAGGAGCTGATGACGTTTGAGAGCTCGAGCCGCAAAGACGACCCGGAACATGATCTCGTTTTCATCGGGCTGGTCGGGATCAAGGACCCGTTGCGGAAGGAAGTTCCTGGCGCGGTCGCAATTTGCCAACGCGCCGGGCTGACCATTCGTATGGTTACTGGAGACAATATCTTGACTGCCTGCAAGATCGCCCGGGAGTCGAACATTATGTTTGGGGAGGGTATCGCGCTCGAAGGGCCGGTGTTCCGCGCCATGTCGTTGGAGGAGAAGATGGCGATTATCCCGCGGCTGCAGGTTCTTGCGCGGTCCTCGCCGTCCGACAAACACACTTTGGTCAACCTACTGAAGCGCATGGGCGAAGTCGTCGCTGTGACGGGAGACGGCACGAACGACGCGCCTGCACTCAAGGAAGCCGACGTCGGGTTCGCGATGGGAATCAGCGGGACGCAAATCGCCATGAACGCGTCGGATATCGTTTTGCTCGACGACAATTTTGTCTCGCTGGTGCAGTCGATCCGGTGGGGCCGGAACGTGCTCAACTGCGTGCGCAAATTCCTGCAGTTCCAGCTCGGTGTCAATCTCGTTGCGATTATCCTGACCTTTGTGGGTTCGTTGACCCAGGGGTCGTCGCCGCTAAGCACCGTGCAGTTGCTGTGGGTTAACCTGATCATGGACTCGCTGGGTGCGCTCGCTTTGGCTTCCGACGAGCCTGAGGATGACATCTTGGACCACCCTCCGCATGCCCGTACCGCTTCGCTTTTGTCTCGGCCTATGCGACAGTATATCGTCATCCAGGTGCTGTTCCAGATCATCGTTCTCCTCTTACTTTTCCTCGGCGGGGCAGACCACTGGGTCCCATACGATGAAAGCTTCTACCACCCGGCCGACGTCACCGGTGACCCAAGTCGCCGCGCCTCGACAATGGTCTTCCTCGTCTTTATCCTCATGCAACTTTCCAACATCGTCATGGCCCGCCAACTCAACGGCGAACTCAACGTCTTCAAGGACTTCTTCCGCAACAAACTCTTTATCCTCATCATAACCGTCATCCTCGCCGTGCAGGTCCTCGTCATCTTCGTAGCAGGCAGTTTCGTCCGCACCTGCCGACTCAACTGGCCTGACTGGGTCGTATGTATTATCCTAGCGCTGTGCAATTTCCCATTCACGATGTTCCTCCGCGCCATGTGCAATTTCCACGAGAACAACCGCGGGAAGGCCAAATGGCACTGGTCGTTCGTCGCACACGACGTGAACCGACACAAGAAGGTCGCTTCGACGACGTTGGCGCCCGCGCCGCAAGCAACGGTCGACATCGATGGCTCGAGCGACTCGGTCACTGAAGCCGAGGCCCGGCCCGTCGCTAAAGGGCCTGCCGGCACAACCACCGAGGCCAACCAGTCTCAAACCCATGTGCCACACCATCAACCGCAGCGTCGGGCAGGCACGCGATGGCAGACGGTGCGTTCGGCGGTGGTGCTGATGGGTGCATTGGAGACCGTTCGGCACGAAGACTTCACCCCGCGTGGACCAGATCCGGGGTTCCTGGAGCACTGGATTAGGTTTAGGAAGGATGTTGGGGCTGTTTTGCCGACTAAAGGGGCGGCGATCGCGAGGAGCTCTGGAAGCTTGCACCAGAGATGATTGGTTGTTTTTGCGGGGATTCGCTTTTGAGGTGGTGGCTCTTTGTTGATGGCTGGGGAAACAAAAAAAGATGTCAAACCATACTAGAGACGTCAGGCTGGGACGCTCTTTCTTTTTGGATATTGCATCGGATGCTCTTGTGCTCCACATGTATCGTACATTGTAATCGGAATAGACTCTTGACCTCTAGACCCGGGTTCCCCATTCAATGCGATGTTGAGGATTGGATGTGAACATCAACGGAACTGCATTGGAAACTGATTTATCGCGCTCACATAACAACAATGAATGCCCAACCACAGCCGTACCAACTTCTGTCGGATTCGTTCTCAAAGACGTCCTAATGCCGGTCGGTTGCTGAACCGCATGTCATTCGGGGTACAATATTCGCTTGCAGTGTGACCTTTATCGATCATTATTGCGTTTCTTGCTGGCATGATGATGATAACGCTGATGTTTCCGATACTGAGTTTCGCCGGAGCATTCATCTTGTTCATAATATCGACAGGTATGTCTATACACAATAGGAATAACATCCTACCTTCCATAATCGCAACACCGCCACCCCTCTCAACCTCAACAGTAATCCATCTTTCCCTGTCTCATCACCGCCAAATACTCGCCCCACCAGGCACATCCGCCGTCCACCCACTCAGCCCCATCGTCGCCTTCAACCCCTGGCTCGGAACCGGAATCGCCACCTCCTCCTTGCCATGCGGTCCATTCTGCGCAAGCGACAGACCCGCAACGCCCCCAATCCCATTTGCACCTCCGCCGTCAAGGGCACTATCATTCCCGCCTCGCCAGATATCGCGCGCGGCATTGAGGGCGCCGACGCTGCCCCGGCGCCGGGTCTTGAGCACCCATGCGTCAATGAAGCCTTTGAGGGCAATGTCTGGGTTGTTGAGCGAGCGGTGCCAGGCTTCGACCGGGTGGTACATCATGGTCATGGGGGACCGCCAGGTGTTGTCGGCGATGAGGCGTGCGCGGAGGGAGGCGTGGTCGTAGTAGTAGCCTGAATGGAGAATACGCGGTGAATATATCAGTCTTGTTATGATTCGTCTTGTGGCGTGTGTGCGAAAACTGTTACGACTCTTACCATCAGGCCCATGCACAGGAATCGCCATCAACCTCCTCGTCAACGCACACAAAAACTCTGGCGGCACCCCCATCTGCTCCGCTCCATTCCCAGCCCTCGCTTGGAGCCTCGCCGCAGCATCCTGCGCATTCGCAGCCGGACCCGTGGCCGAAAGCGGGGTCTTGGACCGTTGCAAAAGACTGCTGTATGTCGCTTGTTGCTGTTGTTGTTGTTGTTGCTGTTGTTGAGGACGCTGTTGGAATGCTTGCTGTTGTTGAAGCGCGGCAGGGAAGGCGTATTGCTGTTGTTGCTGCTGCTGTCTATGCGGAGCGAGCCCTGAGATGGGTAGGCCGTCATAATACCCTGAGAACCGGTCGCGGTCGTAGAACGTTGCCGATCCGTTCGCCATAGGTAGAGACCCGACCGCTACTTCATGGGGCTCCATATTCCCACCCTCGGTCTCGCTCTGAGACCAGAAACGGCTCGGGCTAGGCTGACCAGGCACATGCGGCTCCCCCCACGCGTCAATGAGAGATGCAACGGGACCATGACCGCCAAGCGATTCGTAGGTGTCGGAAAGACCGTTGGCGGAAGCCGCGCCAGCAGAATACGATTGAGCGGCGTGGTCGAGTATCGGGTAGGCCGGGAAACTGTAAGCATGCTCAGGTACCGCTTTGATGTTATTCGCAAGTAAATCGCTTGATGAAGCCGTTTGTCCATTATCAGCAATCCGACTCGAATTCGCAAATCGGTCCTGATTGGGTTGCGCCACCCCACTGCGCATGTTGGCCGCCTGTTCCGATCCAATATGCTGTTGTTGCTGTTGGTGCTGCTGCTTATTCTGCCCATCCCCAGCAAACTCATCCTCCCCAGCCGCCTGCTGGTTTGACCTCTCACCCGCACCCCTCAACCTCTGCACAGCCCCCAGCATCCTCGTCAAGTGCCCAATCTTCTCCACCCCAAACGTATTCACAAGATCGTCCTCCGTCAACGTCTTCAGGTCCTCAAACGCCACCTCCTCCTTCGTGAACGCTTCAGCGTACTCGGCAAGATCTAACGAGCGCAACCAGCTGATCACGCCCGTGACGGGAATGTCCCCGCGCGGGCAAGGGTCGACAGGCTTCTGTTCCTTGATGAGGTGCATGATGCGTTTACGAGGGCCGACTTTCGTGATCCCGAGACGCACAAGATCGGATTCACGGAGCAGTTGCAGATCGCCGTATGTGACGGCGTGGGCGGCGAAGGTCGGGTAGTGCTGTTGAAGACCCAGGTGGGCTAGGAAGGCTTGCAAATCGAGGTCGGCTGATTTGTGTGTATCGGGTGATGGGTCGGGTATAGTGTCCCCGAGGTATGAGGTTGGTGCGTGGGTATCAATCGCACCTTTGCCGGAGCCGATCTCGATGTTTCCGAATTGGACCGGGAGATGTATGCCGGTATCTCCAGGGGTATGCTCACCGCCCTCGTCGGAAAGTGCAATGCCGTTGTCGGTTGCGGTCGAATCGCCGTGCTCAGCGTGCTCCGTCATTTCCGCCGCGCTCGCCACACCAGCGGATACGGCAGGTCTCTTCGTCCGAGACCGCGTCGCCGGTGCTGGTGCCGCCCTCCTCGCCGCCAACGGGCTAACCGCTACCTGCGACGGCTGCGACGTCTCGGACAGCGCCGAGGCACCCGTAGCAGGCACCACCAGCCCCGCATTCGAATTCTTCCGCCTGCGCGTCCCACCCCTCGTCCCCCTCCTCCTCAACCGGGGTGTGCTCCCCACATACTCAAAGTTGTCCTGGTCCCCATCCTCCGACTCCATCTGCGTGCCCACGTCGTCCGTCTCGCGGGGTGTGTACGGCGGTGGTGGTTCGTCCATCTCTTTCACAGGTACTTGCTCTTTCTGCTGTGTGGGTGTCGCCGTTTCCGCATACGCGGAATCACTCCCGTCTTCGATGATGTTAGACTCTTCTTCTGTGGTGGTGGGTGAACCCACGCCAGATTGCGCGAGGGACCGTCCACTTCCACTCCTGGTGATGTGGTCACGCGACGCCCGGTCCGCCTCCGCCCTCAGTTTCGCAGCCGCCTCACGTTCACTCAAAAACACCTCAATCTGCAATCGCCTCCTCTCCATCGCCTTATTTGCGTCCTCTATTTCCCGCACCAGCAGCCTCGTCGCCATATCCACCTCGCGGAACCCGGCCTGTCCGCCCAGGTACTCCTTCTGCTCCAGCGCGACGCGGCAGACCGCTAGAATCCTGTTGTAGCAATCGCGGTTGGCGATGGACAGTGAAATGTCGGAGGGCTGATTCGTGTCGGGGACGATGGAGACTACACGTAAAGCGGGGCGATTGCGGATGACGGCCTGTACGGTCTGCACGATCTGGTTTCTGATCGTCGGTGGGAGGATGTACGGTGTGTCTGCCGGGTACATGATCGGAAGCGAATACAGCAAGTCCTCGAGATCCGAGAGCGAGCCCTCACGACGGACATCGTCGAATGAACAGACGGTCGTGGTCGACGGCCTGCGACCCGTCACCTCGTGCATCATATCCGCCGCAAAGCTGTACCGACGGGATCCTTTGTCGGATACAAGGTCCTCATCGTCTTCAGCACCGCCTTCATCCTCATCTCCTGCGTCATTGTTGTCTCCACGATCATCGCCATCCTCCTCGTCCTCGAGATGCACCCGGCCGTCTCCGTCCTCCTTAAGCAGCGCTTTGACGAGTTCATTGAGTTTGCTCTTCCACAGATGCTGCTCCTCATTCCGCGCCACCCGGGCCTCGAGATCAACGACTATGTCCTCGGTTTCAGAGACAATGTCCTCCATACGGCTTCGGCGGGCTTGGTCCAGAAGCTTTCGTAGCTTTGACAGTTTCTCGGTAGTGGGGACGTTTCCGGTTTGATTGATGACGAGGGAGATTTGGCCACGGAGGCGCTTTGCTAATCTGCTGCGGCGCTCTTCTTTGCTTTTCTCCATTTCTTCCCGCCTCATTTGCCGGACGGCCTGGATATCTTCGATGTAGTGGTCCAGAAAGGTGGACCATTCGCCGATGCCCAGATTGTTTTCAGCCTGCAATTGGAGTACTTTAGTGTTACTTGACGAGACCGCCGGCAGTGAGTGCTTGACATGTCTGCAATATTTACCCTGACTCGGAAGGAGTAGTGCCCGGGTGGTAATACATCAGTCCACCACTCAGTGCTCCATCCCAGATATATTCTGACCCACTCGCTGGAAACGCGTTTCAGTATCACCATACCGTTGCGGTTTCAGTACCACCCTTCAAATATCTTACCTTGCTTCCGGCCCCATGCTTCGTTGTTTGACATGGAGCTCATATCGCGAGATCTGCAATTCCTCAGCCGAAGCGCAACTCCAACTCAGTAGAACACGTGAGTGGCCTCGCTTCGAATCCGTGAGGATGGTATCCATAGCGCGTGGCATGGTGCATTGATGCGGAAAGCCGCCGGTGAGTCGTCTGTGGTCGTTAGGATTAACTGTTCGGCTTGCTTGGCCGCCTGAAAGAAGAGGAGAAGGGGCTTCCTACTCAGATACTGTGTAAGCCGATAAAAAAAAGCTGGCACCCAGATTTACCTGCACCATCGCGCTTTGTGACTGGACGATGTCCTTCCTGGTCGGCGTTCTTCGAAGGCTTAGGTAAAGTTGCGAGGAAGGCATTGTGATCCATCATTTGGATATAGCGGCGCCTGAGTTCTGTGTCTGTCAGGACTTGATGGGCAGTCTGCAGCTCCTGAAATCTCTCTACAAAGCACATGAAGGGTAAGTATCCGGTGAATATATGGCAAGAAGGGGTCATTTGACATACGATAATCGTTCTCGGTGGGCGTTCCGATCTTGTCAGGGTGGTACTTCAAGGAAAGGTGCTTGTACCGTTTCCGGATGACCTCCATCAGCGATTGATGCCCCTGATCCGCTAGAGTGTCCAACTCCTTGCCGCGCTTTTCCAGCCCCGTCACTTTCTCGCGCGCTTCCGCAACTTCCCTGAATGCTAGGCCGCACAGTAGTTGGAAAGTGGTTTCGTTCCGGATGGGACCTGTGTGGAAGTATCGTCCTGTATCCGACACCAGTGTTCCTTCGTTTTTGATGACATCCACTATTCGGCAAATGTCCTAAGGATGCACGAGCGCTTATTTCAGTACTAGTAATCGAGAATGACCCACATCCGACGAGCATATATACCTTTGGCCCTGACACGGACGCTAGGGATGCCTGGGCTTCCACGAACGTCAGCACGTTTGTACTTGTGACCGTAAGGCCTCCCGTTACTGGGAATCCCTTCTTTCTAGCCGCGCGTTCGGCGTTCTTCTTCTCTCGTTTTCGTGCCGCGCGTTCTCTCTCGTCTAACTTTTTTTCTTCTTTCTTTTTGTCCTGCTGTAGTTCTCGCCGCGCCTGCTCGACTTTTCCAAGAGCCTCTTCCGCTTCCGTCAGCTCCTCCCTCGATTTCACTATTTCCTCGGCAAGGGCGATTTGCTCCTGAAAGATCCCGACAAGAGTTCTGGCCGTCTCGTCATTTTCGAGGTTTAGGACCTGAAAGAAGTGCGGAAGAGGTCCGCGGGTCTTGAGACTGGGAGCACGGGAGGCTACCTTGGTCTTTTGTGTGGAGACGGCAGCCTCGGGTTGCGACGATGCTGCAGCCATTGCTGCGCAAACGGTCCAAGAAGCTGTGCGAACGAAGTGATCGACGCTGCGCAATGGCTGTAACTACGGCTTTCCAGTGCTACTCCTGGTGCCTCAGAGGTTGACGGTATCGTTCCTTCCACGAACGTTCGTACGCCCCGCTGAGCTCAACTTCTGCGAAATGCGTCCGATAACAGTGTGCTGCACGTAAAATGAGCCTAGAATGAGGACTGATCCGCTGGCTGGCCTTGAGCCGGCTGCTAGCTAGTGAGTCGGTATGTCTGCGGTCTCTGTTGTACTGTCGTTCGAAGTGATCACCAACCTACAAGGGAGGAAATTTGCACGAGAATAAGGATATGGATCTGGGGCGAGTCGCGAAAGGTTAGGGCCTTGGTTGAGCCCGTGGGGTATTGAGTATCGTTCCGACCGGCGTGCGGCGAGGCCAGCTGCAGCGGCAAAGGGAAGGAACGGCGGGATGGCGAGGGGAACGTAGGGGTGGTTGCGGGGTCGCCGGCTCGCTTTGGTGTTGTTGTTGATGTTGTTGGGGGTTGGGTGTTGAATAGTAAGCAGCTCAGCGATAGTGCGGGTTGTCCGTGGGAGCCATCGCCATGATTCAATAAAGAATGCGACGTGTTCGCCGCGTCAGCTTCCCTCTTTCCCCTGGCTTGGCTTGATCTGGGCTTTATCCGTGGGCTTTATCCCACCCACCGGACATACACCCACGGCGAATAGCTGCTGCGGCCATATATACGACAGGCCATACTTTCTCACCTGGCACTCACTAGCTCCCCGTCGCTTCTGCTGAGAAGCTCATGTCATGTCTATAGTACAGTCTTATAAGGGGGAAAGGGGAACAATGCGGTTATACTGTGTCCTGTACCATCTTGTGCCATGTCGAATGCCTTCGCGCTCCAACGTCATACGGCCCGGTGCCAGCGTATCACATAGGTCGTACCCCAAAGCAACAAGCATGGCCGAAGGGCGCTCTATATAAGGCGGTTGCAGGAACGGACCTTGGGTCACGCTGTGAACTCTTTTTCGGGAGGTGAACAGTCGCCAAGCATTTGCGAATTTCACTGGTGGGGACACAGGGGTCAGCGGTAAAGCATCATGGCACTCCGTTCCCGTCAGAATACCGGTGGCGGCCTCTATGACGAGCACAGACTGTCAGTGGACAACTACGATGGGACGACGACCAGAGAGACGAAACCACTTCTGCCAGGACATGTCGGGTCTCGCCCGAAGGTGCGTGGTCGGCTGTGGCACTTTGCTCGATGAAGGAGGACGTGGGCTGAAGTGAAAGATTCTCTTGCCCCGTTAGTCCACGTGGATAGAGTCTCTGGGGAGGTTTTTTGTTTTTGCCAGCATTGCAACCATCTCTTTTCTGGGATGGAAGACATTTTCGGGAGCCTCCCGAAATTCCCATGGCCGGTAAGAAAGTGAAAAACAAGGTCTTTCAAAAGCGATCACGTCTGATGATACCACCATCCCCCAGAGATTACTATTTGATCCATAACGCTCGTGTATATACGGTGGATCGTAGTCTCCCGAATGTGGACGCCTTTGTGGTGAAAGACGGTCGATTTGTTGATGTTGGACTTTCATCCGAGTTGCTTGACCGGCATCCCTCGGCTGCCCGGTTTGATGGGCAGGGCAAAACCATCATACCCGGACTAATTGATGCTCATGGGGTACGGCATCTGTGTGAATTGGCAACAACGAGAATCGAAGGTGTTTTCTCACGAACCTTCCCAGCATCTCCTCGAACAAGGACTGTTCATGTCGAGAGCCGATGTGAAAAACTCCACAACTCTTGCGCAAGTGCGCAACTCCCTGCTGAAGTACCTGGACGCGCATCCTGAAATCGAAAAGAACGGAGAATGGATTTTTGGCAGTGGCTGGGATCAGACGGTGGGGATCATATTTTCCCACCATATTGACCGGCAACGCATTGACCCATATGAATCTAATATATAATCGTCGAAACGCAATCAGCTCTGGAGCGAGACCAACTTCGCCTTCCCCAAAGCAACCGACCTCGACGCCCCCACCCGTCTCCAACACATCCCGATCTGTCTCTATCGCGTCGACTATCACGCCTACTGGCTCAACACCGCCGCTCTCGCCCTCATCCAACCCCATCTTCCCGCCCCCGGCACGCCCATCGACGGCGGAGAGATCGTCCGCGATGCCGATGGGCATCTCACGGGAGTCTTTGTGGATAATGCGATGGGGTTTGTGGACGCTGCGTTGCCGAAACCGAGTGAGGCGAGATTGAGGGATGCGTTGAGACTTGCGACGGGGGAGATGGTGAGGTTTGGGTTGACGGGGTTGCATGATGCGGGGGTTACGCCGGAGGGGATTGACTTTTTGAAACGGTCAGTTACGGGTATGGCGTTTGGGAGCAATGCCTTCAGGAGCTGAGACGATCATCTCTCAACCATGCAGAGCCGCAGATGAACGCCTAATGCCGATCCGCAACTACATCATGATCCGCTGCGAGACACCGGAGTACTGCGGACACCTGGCGCCGAAGTTCAAGAACTATCGTGATCGGTTGACTGTCAATTCCGTGAAGCTTTTCTTTGATGGCGCCTTGGGTTCTTGGGGCGCTGCGATGATTGAGGTAGATTATGGAATGCTGTTGTCCTCACTGCTGCTGATATAATCTTACCGATTTTGCTAGCCTTATGCAGGTCTGGATGCATCGCCAATGGTAACGAGGTCATGGCTGTCATCTAACCCCTCTTGCTTGCAGATGATTCTACGAAGAATGGTCTCATGCGAATGTCCTCCGAACAATTCCGAAGCCTGGCTTACAAGGTATGTTGTCCGCCTGATACATTTCAGGTGATACATACTAACAAGCTCATACGCACATCCAGTGGGCCAAGAACGTAAGTCTAACCATTGGGGAAGCATTCCTCACGCCCAACCGCTGATAGATTCACACAGGGTTACCAAGTCAATGTACACTGCATCGGCGACCGAGCAAACCGAATCGCGTTGGACGGATTTGAAGCGGCCTTTCGTAACCTGAGTCTGACTGCAGATGAAGCAAGGGAACGGAGGATGCGGATTGAGCATGCGCAGATCATTGTAGGAACAATGTTTGTGTGGTTATGTGATTTCTGGAATAGGTTGCCTGATTTCTGTGTGTGATGGTTTTCAGGCCCCGGAGGATATCGAACGGTTTGCGAAACTGGGGATCATCCCGTCCATGCAACCTACACACGGTATGTTCGGTCTCGCATCTACGTAAACTCATTGATCTCCGGTAACCTATGGCTACAAATCCAGCAACAAGCGACATGACCTACGCCGAAACCCGCCTCGGCCCCTCCCGCATCCGTACCGCCTACGCCTGGAAATCCCTCCTCAAAACCGGCACACCCCTCGCTCTCGGGTCCGATTTCCCGATTGAAGGCGTCAACCCTCTGCTCGGCATCTACGCGGCTGTCACCCGCTTGGATGTGGATGGTGGCTCTCCGCATGGGAAGGGTGGGTGGTATCCCGGTGAACGGTTGACGGTGGACGAGGCGTTGAGGGGGTTTACGGTGGATGCTGCTCGGGCCGCGTTTCAGGAAGGGGAGGTAAGTGTGGTGACCTTTGCGTGAGGGTCCCCTACCTTGCAATGCGTGTATTGAACTGCACCGTTTCACTCTTACCCAGCTGGGATCGATCACCCCGGGCAAGAAAGCGGATTTTGCGGTATTCGATCGGGATTTCGTTGGAGGCGAGCCGAGCGAGATACTCAAGGCACGGTGCCTCACTACTGTTGTTGGTGGCGGCGTGGTGTATGGGCAGCTCTGAAAACGGATCCCCACGCGCACTCTGGGTGCGTTCCTGGATATCTTTATGGTCGCGGCGTATGAACTACTTTAGATTCAGCGATTGAAGGCAGCCAGCCAACTACATAGGAGATTTGCAGGTCTTTGAGTGAATGGGGTCGAAGACGCTTGGTACAAGCTATCTCTACGCAGCTAGAGCGAGGTCGTTTTGATCCTACATCGCGTCCTGGGGATCAAATGGGTCTGCCCAACCCCCTGGAATGTAGTAGGTCGATCCATTCAAATATGAGGTCTTATTCAATCGTGCACAGATCGATGCAAATTTCCATCCTTGAGATCAATCGTCCTGATTTAGACACTGAGGTTTGGCGGAACCGCAGGAAAACTATGTTGGGGCCCCCTTCCGTTTGTTTTTACCGGTCTTTACTTGTCGAGAGAGAGTACTCTCCACGCTTTTAAGAGCTTTTTTGAGTTTTTTAACCTCTATCTTCTGTCCAAATTTCTCGTCATGATAACCCAACGCTTTGAAGGGCTTCATCTTCTTTGCTGAGAAGAGGCATATGATCCCTGAAGCTATGTCATCTGCGAGATTTTCGGGCAGTTCTGTGATGTCACACTGTTTTCCCTGGAGCAGAGACTTCAAACCCGTGCATACTCGAATATCTGTTGCTGAACATCAGTTTCTTCTGAGGCATTGTGGACTCACCCGCCGCCACAGCATATCTGACCTGCTAGGAGACGTATCTCGTCCTTCGCATCACTTAAAGTATCACGCACCCAGTTCCGAGTGAGATCGGGTTTAAAACCGTTGTCGTCAAATGTCCCCCTCTCCGTCAAAACCGTCCGAATGGCATTATTGAAATCATTGTCGGTGCGAAGATTTCGCAACCAAGCTCGGAAGCTTTTCATATCCGGGACCGCCACAGTCTTGAGATCTGCCAATTCCGATGATAGTCTCTCGTCTAGGTCCGCCTGAGGTGAGTACGCCACCATGGAACTATCAATGTAGCTCTGCATACTCACCGCATTCTTTCCATTCACGGGTAACCTTGGACAAACCTGATCGGAGGTCTCTGATAGGCTTATCCATGGCACATGTCGCGCATAGATGGGTGGTCTTTTTCGCAACGGCATTCTTACATCGTCGAAGATGCTCATCGTTTGAGCTCCTGCATGTGGCATCATCGCAGATGTGATGACATTGCCCACAGCTGCCCTTTTCATCCCGCGGCAAGCCGCATATGCCCCGAACTTTTCGATCACTGCCACATACTGTTTTGACACTTCGATTAGTCGTTCACGTACGATCCTACCACCCAGCCAAATCACGTACCGAGGACCTTGGCACAGCCTCTCCGCGGTCGCTTCCTTTTCAGCACCTCGGTGTTATCTCGTTGTTCCATTTCATGCACGCTAGACGCAACAGTTGCCTGTGTGTCAGGCGCCGCTGACCCCGCAGATCGGGGAATGTCTCGGTCTTCTACCATTCGCGATTCCAAGTCGTGTTCACTTTGGAGTGCTTGGCGGGTGTTCGTATACTCCATAACATCACAGGCATCCTCATCTTTCAGTCTTTGCGTTTCAGTTACCTCCGGGGGCTCCGGCACTGGCACGTGGTCAAGCTGCATGTCTGCCGGCCCCATCATTGTAGATTGAACAACTGGCTCTGTGTCAGGCGCCACTGACATCAGGTTTTGGTCTTCTACCATTCGTGATTCCAGGTTGTTGTCATTTTGATCCTCATCTTTCAGTTGTTGCGCTCCAGTTTCCTCCCCGGGGGTCGGCATTGGGACGTTATCAAGCTGCATCTCCGCCGGCCCCGACATGGCAGATTGAGTAAGCTCTGTCTGTCGGTTTTCCACAACTGGCGATCCCGGGCCATTTTCCTCGAATGCTTCAAGCAAACTGGTGTCATACTTCCCAGAATCGAATGGATCTTCAAGCTCCGGATCTTCAAGCTCCGGACTTATCCTTAGAGGTTTCCTGGTCCTGCATTGTAACAACCACGGGCGTTAGGTTGCGCTCAAGTACTGCGTCAAACAGAAACGCTACCTCTGGAATCTCGTCCAGCTCGAGAAAGTCAATTGCATACGCGTCTCGAATGCTCTGCAGCAAGTAACTATTGTTCTTCTCAAAACTCTCTCTCTTCCAGTGGCGTCCTGTGACCAGATCGCCTTCCTTTGTTTCGACTTCCAATTTCAGCACCTTTCTGGTCAGTTCGAAAGGCTGGGCGGCGCCAGTAGAAGTCACTTCATATCCCTTTCTTTTTTCATTCCAAGGCTTATCGCCAAGAGACGAATTATGACGGTCCACCAGAAGCGTTAGGTTTCCTAAGCGGTGCACGTGTTTCCGTAAATACTCTCGGTCCGGTTCCCCGTCCAGGCCTATGTAGGAGATCAATATTATTGGGGAGAAATAGAACATCCGAGATACATCGCTTGCCTTTATCGCTTTGAGGAACTATATGTTCCAAGGTCACCCTGCCGTAGTCCATGCCAATATAAGATTTACACCCAGGTTCCTCCTTTAGCAAGTTGCACCGCAATAGAAGGTGCTGTATTGCATATGACTTCGCTCTGTTATATGTATTGCCTCTGAGAATTTCCGCGAACTTTCTGACATGTTTATCTTCCGCCCCAAGTTCGGGATACCTTGTGAGTCGCGTAAGTTCATGAAACATAATCGTTCAGAGCAGTCCGGATCCCTTACCAGCGAAACTTTTCTTCTTTAGGCCCTTTCAGGATACAATGCAATACATCATACAGGCGATCTGCGCAGAAGTCGGTCAACTTGTTTTTCCTTGTATTTTTCGCTGCGGCAACTTGCCAGATGGCAACGGAGCGTTCAAGATTGTACCACATGGGTTCTGCGTCTGGAGAACCCATCTTCGGCAAGCGGTTCTTGATATGTGCAGCGATGATGAGGCTCCGCCAGAAGTTCCACGGGCGATTGTTGGTGATGTAGAGCATTTCAATGGCCCACCAAGCTCTGCCGGCTACTTTCTCGTCTGCATTGGAATTTATTTCTTCGATTGCTCGTTTCTTCAATTCTGCGCGAGGTTTTGGGCTCTTCGGTCCCTTCTTCTCATTCAAAAAAAACTCATCCAGAGTGGTCAAGATACCATGTGCAGCTTTGATATCTGGGAAGAAGGAGGAAAATGTCTCCGACTGATCAACATGGCAAAGAGACTTGATGAAGATGTGTTGCGGAGAGCCCGGATCTTCCAGGTCGGAATCCAGTGCCAATTTGAAGTTCGGTCTCAGGTCTTTCTGCATTGACATGGGATATCACGTCAAGAAATGCGTGCGGGTACTCAAACACAGATTTCTCACTCGTACCTTAACAAAATATATCAAACACAAGTGCTCCAAAAGCTCTTTCATGCCTTCGTCACCCCGATCCTTTCTTGTAGCTTGCCAAATTTTCGCATGCGATTTCTCAGCTGTCGCCGACCCTTTTCTTTTGATTTGAAATAGTTTCTCGGAGAATAAGGCCCCAAAGTAGTCCACGGCCGTGACGTCGACCCCTCTCGTGTTGAGAGCGCGAAAGGTGCGATACGCAGAATCCAGGTCCCTGACCTCCATTGTCACCATCCGACAGCTTGTGAAAATGTACTCGGCGACTTCCAGCATTGTCGTCGAACTGGGTGCATCTGATGAAACTGGTGCTCCGTCGTCACCATCGTCACCACCCTCGTTTGCAACGGCCGGACTCAGCCCCCATTCTTCCTCCAAGTATCTCTTGATTTCGATGCAATTATCTATGATGCGTTTCTGGAATTTGGCATCTAACCGGTTTCCGTTTTCGACCTCTCCCATGTCAAGAAAATGGTGCATATTGGTCTGAAGAAACGACTCAGGCACCGACATGCAAGCCTCATAAGAGAGCAGGTCGATAACTCACCAGCACTTCTGCCCATTTCTTGTCATAGTCTAAGCCTTCCGGATCGTCGTAACACATTCTAAAACAGTTTTCATCATCATCCGGGTCCGTCTCCACAAACTTTGAATGGGCGTCTTCGTTTCCCTTATCAAGATAACGCAATACAGCCAAAATGAGAATCAATGTCGTAATCCTCTGCTGCCCATCCACTATGGAATAACAATCCTGCTGATCTTTCTCATTCCTCCAAAGGACGAGTGCGCCGAGAAAATACGTCGAGTCCTTCTTTGACCTAGTGAAAGCATTCTTGATATCTTTAAGAAGCTGGATTACGTGGGGTGCCGTCCAGCAGTATGGTCGTTGGAACTTGGGAACTACCAATCGGTTGCACCTCGGAGCTGTGTGGCCGAAGCTGATGTTAATTTATTAGCAGGAATCAATCTTGATACACGTCGAAACCTACGATTTCCATCACGAAATAAATGCGACAGAGATGTTTCAAAGACGTCTTTGAGGGACCCATTCTCGATACGGCTACTGGCTTGAAAGCTTTTTTGGTGTTGCCTCCATCGCTGTCGCATCAGTGTAGTCCAAAATTAGCGGGAGAAATTCATGTGCACATGCAGCAAATTCAAGGTCGAAGGTTCAACGGTGACAAAGGGAGATTACCTAATGAACGCGTCCACCGTGAATGGAGCGAGTTCGCAGCAGACTTCACGCTTCCGCCCATCAGCGTAGATGTCGCATCGGTGTCCTACGAAGCGAAGGCCACCGCGAGGTGCCAGTGCTCAGTGATGGAAAGCACTTTCCAAGCTGATCGTCCATGACCTGAGCCACTTCCTACACGCGTGCACCGTATCTCCTGCCGCGTAACGCCTGAACCGGAAACTTCGACATTCATCGTACAACCAATTGCACGTTTGCGCATTGGTGTTGTCCGTGTTTTGCTCAGGCAGATTGGCACTAATCTATCTTCATATCCGTAGTGTGACTTTTCGAATTCCCGGGATTTTCAATCGCCATGTGATTGCTATCACTCTAGTAATCGATCCTGCCGTTCATACGATTTGGGTTCACCTGAGGAACCAGGATGTCCAAAGGCTGCCAGCCGGATCTTTTGACACTACATTCCGACGCCTGCTGCACATTGTCCTTTCATTGGTCCCGCTCTCCGCGACGTTTGACCATTTTCCTCGAATGCTCCTTACAAAAGTCGGCCAAAGTTCTGACAAGGTGTCCAAATACGTGGCTGTCGTGTTCCTTCAGTCGCAGTCATATACGATAAGTGGGGTCTGCGCTACGCATTCATCTCGTTCCGAGCTCCTGGGCGAAAGGCGATGGGCCGTCGCAAAAGTTTATCTCGGCTTGCATTCGTTTTGGTTTTTCGAAAGTCATTTCATACTTGGCCAGCTGTGTGGATGTCTCAACATACGAAGACGGAATTATTGGGGACTACATTTTGGGCAAAACTTTCAGGCGCAAACGACGTTCTGCAATGTATACTAGCATATTTACACACGCATGAGCCAACCGACCTGTGCGTTCGATTCCTTTCGGCTACTTCAAGCTGAACGACTTCCTGCAACTTCAAGATTCCCTTGATCTCAAGCCCCATGCCGTTTATTGGTTCGCGAGCTATCAAGAACTTATCCGGAATGCTCGCGTTCTGAAATCGATCATGAAAGATATTCGCAACCTGCAAAATTCAAAGTTGACTTGATGGTGGAAATCTTTATGCTACAGTAGTGGATACAGTCGCTAAACTAAAAAGTGATATATCGACTCTTCCAACTCGTTTCAAATGGATCAAACTGCTTTCGCTGCCAAGACAAACATGGCATCTGGAATCATCTAGCACATTCTGGCATTAAGTAGCGTCGTCCGCTCGGGCCCAATCGAAAGGGCTAGCGCAGCCCGGGCAAGTGACGTGATCGCATCCTCGAGTTTTCTCTGCAACGAGGTGGACAAAATACGAACAAGTGATGTACCAAGGTCAGCTCGTCTAAGGTTCACGACGGATCGGCCTTCAATCGCGTGACGAGAGCTCCGTAGCCCCTATTCATGGATGGACGCACCGATGAACATGCCACAATTCGGGCATTTGCGGATATCAGAGGCTCGCAGAAGGAGTTCTCTTTCCCTTGCGGCGCGCTGCTCAGCCTCGACTTTGGCGGGTGCGACTGCGGCTGCTGCTGCCGCCGCTTGGGACGACATTCTGGTGCTGGGAGGGCGACACATGGCTTCTTCGGTTTTGACAGGTCTGCAGAAGGCGGACGGAGATGAGGTTTGGAATGACGTCGGGTTCCAACTGGTGGCCGAGAAGGCGACAGAGATGAGGCTTAGACTTACAACGGCTTCAGCGGTCTGCAGAGACGATGTATCAATCAATGCTTGAGGTTGCTCCGGTTCCAAAGGCTGCAAAGGCGACGTGGCGGGTGAGGCTGGGCGTGAATCGATGTTGCTCTGTTCAACGCTGTGGGCTTCGTTGCGCTTTAGGCATGTGAGCAGTAAATATGATGTGTGATACGGTTTGAGCGACAAGGGGGTGGGACATTTCGCTTATCTGGGGTGGAACGGAAACCGGTTTCTGCTCATTTCAAAGGAACGTAAGTGTGGAGTTGTTCAGAGTCTCGGTTTTAGTTTGTTTTGTAGGGGACGAAGGCGACAAACGGCGTAACCCCCCACAAAGATCCGTGGCCCCCCGCCGACGGCCTCACATTGATTGCTGTCATAGAATATGGCACGACGGAGACACCGTAGAGCGCAGTCCGGTGAGTCCTTTTGATCTCATTGGTGCCTATGCATTGATTTGTGGGGCAAATGGGCGACAAACAGGTCTCAGACCTCAACACGTTCAGCGGTCAGTAAAGTTCAGAGCAGGTTTCAACATTGACAGTTTCGACTGACCTCAGAATGACGGGCGTGTTAGTCATGCAAGGATCCTCCAACCTGGTTTGGACGCGGTCGGCACTCCCGGTTACCAGGAACGCGGTTTGACAGCGCCGAATTCTGGAATTCTGGAATTCTGGTTTGACACCATGGCTCATCCTACAATTTCAATTTCCGTCGTTGGGTTCGTTTCGCCAACTGTAACTATCACGTGGCGCTTGCATCAAGCATGCGCAGAGCACACATGCCCATTCATCGATTGAAGTGGCATTGTAAAGAAAGGTTCGATATAGATGCTATGCAGCTTGACACTTCAGCGAGCCGGCTCAGCTTTCAGTTCTGCATGTATACGTAATAATCATGTAGTAAGGAAGGGAGGGGGGGCCTGAGAGAATCTGGTGTCGTCAGAGCGTTCACCGTCGCGGGGGGGCAAACCGCGGATCAATTTCGGTGAGCCTTGCGCGATGAATGGGGGGGATTCAGGATTGATGTAACATGAGTCCCGTGTGCTACCATCCCAGCTCACTGGGTCTATTGGGTGTCTTACGTTCGGGATCCGCGCCCAGACACTGGGAGCGAAAGCCAAATCGCACGGAAGTGCGGAGAGCCCGAGTGCCAGGGGCGCGCCCACGCTTTGTTGCTGGGAAGCCCACGCTTTGCGGTTGGGAAGCCAAAAGGAGGAGCAAGAACCGGGGGTGCGTGGGCAGCCCAGAGCGCCCGGACTCCCCCGTCCCCCGTCCTCCCCGTCCGTCCCCCGTCCCAGGAGAATCCTACTGCCGCTCGCCCTCCCTCCCTCCTCGCGACTGGCTGGCTGGCAACACAAACTCCATCTCCCGCAGCTACTAGGCAAGCCGATTGTCCGAGCGCTCTTACAACTACCCCAGCCAAACAACGCGGCACAATACGCACCGGAAAACGAGAGAGACGAGAGACGAGAGACAAGCGCACTGCGAGTCAGCGGCTCCCGCCGCACTTACTGTATTTACTCCCCTCGCTGTCCCCCAACATACGCACTCGTCGTCACTCTTCCACCACCTCAACTTTGCCCTCACGCTCTCGCTACCTACGTTGTACTCGACCTCTCTTGCTGCTGCTTCTACGGCAAGCGATATTTATTCGCCCCCCTTGCGCTCCGTATAACAAGTCTACAGTCTTTCCGTTCGCTTAGAGCAATATTGATAGTGCTCGCCACTTGGCATATCGTGCATACTCGCTTTCGTTTGTAAACAGCCCATGGTAGTACTGTTGTCCGCCTCACATGGACCCGCAAGACACGTCGAACCCTGATAACCTCCGCGACGGGGAGGATTCTCGCTCCGACCCCGACAGGTACGTGCCAGCTAGTAGGGCAGAGCAGCAGAGGGAATATCAAAAACAGTGTGTGAGAACGTAGGCGGTCGCGACCTGTCTTTCGGTCTGGCTTCACTCCCGGTTCTCGGGCCAAGCGCGTTGACGGGATTTTTTTTGCAATCTGAACCAAGACCGACAGGCATGGTCTTCTCTGCGGGGCTTCTCTGGACTGGCATGGCTTCGATCATTGTCGTTCGGAATGTCCTTCACTTAGAGTGTGCGCTAGTACTCATCGCTTCGTCGCGTCCCCTCCTCTTTTTTCTCAGACGTCCGACCGAGGCCTCCTCAAACCGTCTCGCGCGTTATGGCCTACGTATTCTGCAACAGCCACAGCGTGCTAGAGCATGTGGCTACGGTACTAAAGGTGAGTAGTCTTGAAAGCATCGCCGAACGGGAGGGCCCGAGAATCACTCCGCTTGTGGGGGTTTATCTTGTGCTCTAATGGATTGAGATTTAACATGGCAATGCCATAACCAATGTTCCTCGATCAACGGGCACTAAAAACTCAAAGGTAGCCTCCTGACACTTATCATCATTCCTTTTCCGTGCTTTCGCCATCATTAGATAGGAGACGAGTAGATCCCGTGAGTTGACACCGTCGCTCAACTCTGATGTGCTCATATAACCTCTAACACTCCATCTGCACTTGGATTACTTCAGCCGCCTGTTCTCGAGCTATATAAGATCAAGGCCAATGGGGTCGAAGAAATCTGGTACGGGCGATGCATGGGCGTGCGCATCGATTTGCATAGAAGAACACACCTGGTGCCACATGGGTTTCCTTTTTTTTTTTGCCTGACCTGACCTCTGTATCAGCACGCAGGAAGAGCCATACCTGGTTTGCCATGCATCCCTGACGGACGCGGATGGCGTAGAAGACTGCTCGCTGATTCGAAACCACTACGCCGAACCGCAAGCTGACGAGCTCGCGCAAACGCAGCACTCTCTCATCGGTCTTTACGTTGCGACGCCTCGGCTTCTCAAGGATAAACAAGGAACTACGAGGCTGATGTTTGTGTTCTCCGACCTGAGCATCCGGCCCGCGGGAACCTTTCGATTGCGGTTTCGTCTGGCTGATTTGCAACCTGTTCTGTCTGGGTAAGCAACCTTTTTTGTTCTTCAAACATTTTGCACCCATACGCAACGATATTTCCTCGAAGAGCAGCCCACTGAACCTTGGACCGCAGATCGGACCTTGCTACGAAAGAGCCGTCGCCGCAGTATCTGCCTTCGTCTGTCGGCCCCTCGGCTTTCCGTGATTTGACCACTGAACAAGCAAGACCATCGCCTATTTCAGGCAAACGTTTCAGCGCTCCTGTACCTGCCAGCACCACCGCACTATCTCAGGCCGCCCCGAGTTCCCAAGCTCGAAGTTCAGGCTCTGGTTCCCAAGCTCGAAGTTCAGGCTCTGGTTCCCAAGAACGAAGTTCAGGCTCTAGTTCTCAAGCACCGACCTCGCACCCCTGGCCCTCTCAATCACAAGGTTTCGGTTCCGCTTCCCAGGCCTTGACACACACCTCGCAAACACAACCGGATGGTGGTGGTCCGACCCCGCCCAGCAAAGTTAGCGTGATTCCATCAACTGTTGTGGCATTGAGCGAACGGATTACCAGCTTCAAGGCTAAGGCATTTCCGGGAATGTTAGAGGTAAGGACTAGCCATGGATTCTAGATGCAAGAACTTCTTGATCAATCCAGATTCATATATCCCCAGACCACACAACTCTCCCGTGCCTTGGTGGCTGGCGGCTATTCCGACATCCACCTCCGTCGGCCTATCGTGGGCTCAGGCAATGGATCGGCACAAGGTTCGCGAGCTGTCTCTCCACCGCGGCGAACGGCAACATCCGCGCCTGCAGAGCACCCCACGATTCCGTGCGTTCCAGAAGCAACGGCAGCCATTGCGGCATCGACCATCACTGATCCGATGGAACCGATTGAGGATACGATGGTGGAGCGCTTGGGAGAGGAAGATGAGGTGTTCAATCCGGCGGATGACTTTAAAACGGTTTGAACGGCCGTGGCACTTGCGGAACCTTCCACGAGTGCCGTAATGCAGAGCAAACGGGTTGCATCCCCAACAAGATCAAGAAGAATGTCCGCAAGTCAATAAAGCGATTCTGAATAGCCACAAATTGAAATCGGGCGGATGTAGTCCGTCCCCTATATAGCGCACTCATGTCAACTGGGGCATTTCATTGCCCGATTTGATGCAATTTCTGATACGAAGTATATTGCTATTTCATTGTCAAATTGTAAGCGTTGATAGCAGCATGTATTTACAGTTGGAGCAATTGAAAAAGTATTGGCAGGTGATGGCTTGCAGCAGCGGGGATGGTTTGGTGATAGAAGATACTATGTACTGTACATGCGGAAAGCAGCTATTCCAAGGCTGAAAGGGTTCCACGGCAAGCGAAACGCATGAATGATGCGGTTTCCGATGTTTTTTCGGACATGAATGTTAATGCGAGTGTACGCGCTCGAAAAGATACGACCTCATGGGATGGCATCAGATGCCGAAGTCGTCGCCCATCACAATAGGCTACATGCATCCTCAGGTTGGCTGCCTATGCGCGGGAACTTGGAAACGGAACCCGTTTGAGCGTTCTGCATGGTCGGCTTCTTCTACAGAGTTCTTTCATGAATGTTTCCGCCCGTCTGCAAAGCGATCTAAGCTCGTGAAAATCAGAGGGTGGTGGAAGTCAGTAAGACCCATACATTCCAAAGCCAGCACTTGAATTCCTCGTGCCGATCATCCACATCTTCGATCATCTTGAGCTGGACCATGGGCTTCCCTGCAAAGCAGGTACTCACAGGCTCCGCCACGAGAAGACTGTTCCGTACGGGTTCCCGTCTACAAAAAAGAAAAAGAAAGCAGATGAGCAAATAACATCTCAGAGGGAGGTGTCGAGGATGGGCAAGATCGGCGGATGCTGATCTAACTTGTCCGTCTCTCATGGGGAGAGTGTTAAAGAGCCATGTCGGCGGATGCTTAGCATCCTCCATCATGGTGTGGTCCGATGAGCCATGTTGGCGGATGTTCCTCGGACTCTTTCCGCCGCCATTTACTCAGACTTCCGAAGAGCAACTACACGGACTGTGGCATGCTGAGCCTTGTAGTAAAGGTCGTGCCACACGCGGTTTGTCTTGAGTACCTTCATGCTCGCGATCGGGTCTGAGCACGAGTCATGGCCTACAAATGCGCGGCCCGGATCCTCCATAAACGCAAGCACGCCGGAGACACTTGAATACATCGTGTTGATGATCATCAAGGCCTTTGAGAGTACCAGCAACGAGATTCTTGCCCTTCAATCGGTCACGGAATTGGTTCATTTACGGATCAATCCCCTCCTATCCCGGGTACTCAACAGAACAAGGCCATCCTGCGCCCATTTTTCGAAGAAAGGCTCCCAAGCCGGCGATCTGCGCTTGATTTCAGGTGCTGGTTTTTTCCAACGGCGTTGCAATGCAGAAAAAAACATAGTTCCAGGTGTGTCTTTGTAAACGTGTTCGTTTCGGAAGTGGGAGCATGCCTTATCCAGGCGATATCGACTGTCGAGATGAAACGTACGGGAACTTTCCGAGCTTCATTAAACTTCAAGTAGGGACTAAGGCATTGGTGCGAGGTACGCATGATCTTGCAATATGGTGGGCCTGCCGTGCGTATGGGGAGTGAGGCAGCGGGCGGTCTCGCATTCCTTCCTCTGGCGCTGACTGAATTTGTTATACGGAAGAACTTCGTCGCACTGTAACACTTGTGTCGTCTCCGGCATAGTAGTTTGTCTGTGGCATGATGCATTAAGTCGGTTGGTGCTGTCCAAACCAACTAGGAGAACATACTGTCTCTGCTTACCTGGCCGACGGTCGTCTGTGTCTTGTACAGTGACGACGAAGGCTTCAGCTTCAGCGAGGAAGAAGGCTTCAGCCTGGTACGGGCTTTCGTAATCTTTGTTGTGAGTGAAGACTGAGAGGGCGGCTGCGTCCTTGATGACTTCATATGGTTCCCATGTAATTAGCGGGAGTGATGGGTGTGGCAGGCATTGCAACGACGAGTTTCTGCAGTGACGGTGGACCGAGGTCAGTACCAGCCAACTTCCACAATCGCGTGCCACTCACACACACACACCTAACCCTAACCCTGCCTCACTTACCCGGCAACGACGACTGGAACGGCCTCTGTACCGGCAAGGCATAAATCAAGGCGTGATGGTCCATCGGCGTGGGACAATCATAAAAGATGTTGCTGATGACGGGAATTAGGAACGCCCGGCGACTGCTGATAACGGGAAGTAGGAACGCGGCGCCTTTTCCTGATCCCGTTTGCGCGCAATACATAAGATCATAAGGCCTGCGCTCAGAGCGGGGCCTGCGCTCAGAGCGGGAATCGCAAATCTCTGGATTGGGGTGGGCTTGTTGTAGGATGCCAGCTCCCGTAGCATCCATGCGATACCTCTTCCCCGCCGACGTCGTCGTTATCGGACGCCTATACAGAGTGAAAGTCAGTCTCGGTCCAACGACAACCCGAACGAACCAATCGTACTCACCACAGCAAATCTGTGGATTGGGGTGGGCTTGTTGTAGGACGCGTTCGTAGCTGAACTCATGGGAGGTAGATGGAATGTGTTTTCCTTTTGGGTGGATGGCTTCTGTATCTCGTCTCCCAGCGAGCGCTTTTACGGGAGTGTTTGGGTGGTGTGAGGTCGTTTCCGGCCGGCCGTGAGAAACTTCGTGGTGGGAGCCAAGGACTAAGCTGTCGAAAAGTGACAGTCGCAGGCGGGCTGCGTAAACGCTCGCGGCCTATGCGAAGATCTTGGGTGAGATGCTTTTCCTAACCCACCCGACCCGAACCCAAGGGTGCTTTTGAGAACGGGGTGGGCTTGTTGTAGGACGTTTCTCATGGCCGCCAACGTCTCCCGTCAAGACGAGCAACCGCGGGGTTGCAGGGCGCTAAGCCGACGATGCCAATGATGATGGTTCACGTTCGAGTTCGGTTTCATCGGCGACTAGGAGTGGAAACGCGTGGTTCACTCTGCGAAAAATTTCTCGCCATGCGCCAAAGGTCGCCGTAATCGTCTGCACGTCCGTTTAGAGCGTGCTTTGCCCTGACGTATCCGTAGTCAAACTTGGCCGCGTCCTCCTGCTGGACTTTCTCGCCTTGCACCCAGCGCTTGAGCAGCGGTCTCCAGACTTCGGGCTTACATTTCTCGAGTCGCGAGTGCCTTGTCGTCGCTGATGGAGAGCCACTGGTTGTCTTCTTCTTTAGGTTTCGCGTGCAGCGGTGTCCATCTTGTAGATCAACACATTGTGTTCCTTGACCTCGCGCTTCCGACCCGTTCTTTGGCATGAAGATTAGCGACTCGCAATTTCTGGGGCTCTCCCTTCCTGGTGTTCTTCTTCGGCTAGAAGCCCTCTAAGTGCTTTCACGCGCCACGTTTGTAGGAGCAGCAATAATCCTGCGCGCGTTCAACTCCAGCTTTTCCAGGTATTAGTAGGTATGTGAGAAGCTGAATGACCTCAGTTTTGCCCGTGCGTGCGCGAGAGAAGTCCAGCAGAAGACTTCGTCCCACTTGTTCCTGCGATAGCGGTAAGGTCATGTTGGGCGGCTTGACCTCTTCCGATTGACATGACGCTTCCGATTCCGGAATGGGATGCAAGTTCTCGGGAGCTTCGACCGCGCAGAGTAGAGCGGATGGTACTTCCCAATCTCGGCAAGTCGGGAGACGCGCATAGTTGCGGGTGCGGTTCCGGTGGGCGCCTCGACTTGTAATGTGGACTTGTGCGCAGAGTACGAAAGGTCGTAACGGAATTTGTTCTCTTGGAGAACTTTGAGGTCCCGACGATCAAAAGCCCCACCTCCAAACGGCTCACTGCGACGGGAGCGCGATGCACATCTTTCGTAAACCCGAGCGCACCTGAGCGAATCGTGCGGACCCTGTGAATAATCATGAACTTTTTAAGGAACCGACGTATCGGTGAGCGTGTCAGCGATGAACTGAATGCTTGTGGCGGTAAAGTGCTCCTGCAATTTTTTGGCATGGCCCTTGTATCCGCGGAGTGCAGAATCTAGCTCCTGCGCATCTTGCTCGTTGGCTCCTTCGTCGAAAGATTGTTTGATTCCGTTCATCAAAGCGCAAGTCACTTGAAGTTCGACAGGGTTGTAGTGGGAGTCTCGCCGGCACCGTCGACCGTCTTGGGCATATCGTCCTTATGGACGTCGCCCGCCTCCGGAGCCTTGGTGGGAGTCTCATCGGCCGTCTCGACCATCTTGGGCACCTTGGGCCTCTCGAGCTCACCGAACGTCGTGTTGTGCTTAGGCTTGATCACGAGGCCCCGAATAACCATGTCGTAGGAGCCGTTCGAATGTTCGACCTCGTCCAAACCGTTGAAACCGGGAACTTCCATGAGCAATCTTTATAAGGAAGTCACTCGGACAAGAGTCGGTTGAAAGGATCTCAGGTTGTGTTGCTCGGCGGAGTTAGACTTCCCGAAACTTGAAAGACGAACGCGGCCCTTTTGCCCCTGCTAGGCTCCTTGCGGCAATGTACCGTGTGGCAGTTTTGTCGGGATACCGAGCTTGTTCACCGCGCTACACACCGTAGGTCTGGCGGCGACTTACTTCAGCGGGCGCATTATACGTCTCGTCGAGGGGTCCAAAACTCACGCTCCCCAGAGTGGTTTCCGTGCAAGCTCCAAGCCGGAAAATTGCGTTGCGCGCGGAATACAACAAGTGATACCAGAATTTATGGGTCCTCAGAATGCTCAAATCGCCGCACAATCAGCAGTCCAATTCCGGGACCACTGACAGCAACCAATGCCGATTGACAACTGTCATAAATCCTGGGCTTCCCGAGTTCGTGGTCCGAACCGCGTTGATGATCATGTACTTCTTCTGTGCACCGACGTTCCCGTTCAGCGGTCCTGCAACGAACCGTGTTGTCTTGCCATACTGCTCTCGGAGCTTCTAGGCGTGATCAGCGTATCCATCGGGGACTCCGAAGTCGGCGTCTTCCAGTTTTTTCTCGTCTTGACCTTCCGAGTGTCGATGGAAAGCCTTGATCATGTCCAATATATGCACGTGGCTTGCAGGTGTGCGAGGATCTTTGTACAGCCTTTCGTAGCCGCCTGGAACATCTAGAACCCTCTCCCTTCTCTGTGAGTGCTCTCCAGTCTTCGGGAAGTTGTGGGCAAGCTTGAGCGTCCGAGCCCAGCGCTCTTGCAGGACTTCAGCAGCTAGCATCTGCTCATCATGGCTGTTGCTGTACACGTAGTTGCTCAGGAAATGATAACCTGTTTCGGACGGGCGGAACTGCTTCCTCCAGCTGATGATGCGGAAACGGGTTGACCTTCAGGATGAGTTTTCTTCTGTTGCTTGACCACAGGGGTCAGTCCTCGCGAGTCGCCGCTCAAAACAAGCTTAGGATCGAAGGAGGCCACGCCGACGGTGCCGAGAGTGATGGGTTCGAGTTCGCCCAAAAAGTGTTTTCCCGAATGCAGCTGCCACGGCGAGGGGGTCAGGGGTTCCGGCATTTGCTTCTCCAGCAGAGACTCGAACACAGAGTCATCGAGAAATCTGTTCAACTCTTTAGGAGCCTCGACGGCCCGAAGTACCTGAAGAAGTTGTTGATTTCAAAGGACTTACTTTACTGGGCTGAAGTTCATCAATGCGGCCAAGAATGCGGCTCGCTTCTCCTCGAGAACATGGTATAGAGCAAGTCTCCGAAATCCTGGGGTTCGGGCGAACAGCGAACTTGTATTCCACTGATCGCTGCACGCTTTGACTAATTTGTGATTCAATTTGCTGATGCGTGTGCCGACAAGCCGCTCGACCGCCTTTTCATTCACCGCGAATTCGATGTGAACTTTGGGGATGATGCGCTAATTTCCGTATGGTCTATTCCGACTGCGAGTGATGCTGCCCAAAATTTGACCATTCCCTCATGCGTCGCAAATTATTTTCGGCCGGAGAGGGACGTCGAGGTCAAGGAGGGGCTTCGATGTGAAAGCTTAGTGGGCAGCTTGTTAACCTGTTCGTTCCATAGTCCATGTTTCCCGTGCTGGTGCTTGAGACCTTATTCGCGATTTGGATAGCTGCGATATCTGCACTCGTCCAGAATGGACTTTGTTGCAGTTGATCGTTCAGGACTCCGAAGTGGTAATGCAAAGAGATAAGCCTGCCTCCAATGACGGCACATGCGTCTGGTTCTGGTTCCGTTGCCTTGAAGTTCGCAGGTCAACTTCGGGTATCTCCTGCCGTTTCCTGCATTGGCGATGATTGGCTGGTTGGCACTTGCTCGATGCGAAGCATGCCTCCCGCCCTTGAGTTCTGAAAGGCTTCCCCTGCGCAGAGTATTTTGAACCTGTGAGAGGACGTGCCTCAAGCTGAGGGTACTGTGTTGAAGTTCCTAATTGCAAGTCGGTGCGGGCGTAGGTTTTCCTCGATGACCTTTTCGTGAAGGTCTTGGCTGAGATACTAGCCATGGTCACATCAGACAGATGCTATCCCGTATCCTAGATCGTATGTAACCTCAGGGAAGACAAGATTTGGGATAAATTAGGAAACAGTTCAACGGCGACTCTCCGCCGAACTTCTGGTGAAGATGCCAAAAGCCGTTGAAGGGCGCTCGGTGTTCAAGACTTCAGACGTATGGCAGTGATAGCCCCGGCCCTAGAGTGAACCCTACATCAAATCAAGAAAACCCGTTCAACGCACGAACCGAGTAGAAAGCGGAGCGCAAATGAGTCGTACGTACCAACTTAGTGAAGTTCCGGTGCAGAACCGACATGGACGTCAGTTCGCGGGAAAACGACGTATCGGTGGAATACCAGTCCGACGTAGCTCAAAGCGGTATGCCACCTGTCGGCTCCCAACATACCGCGCCCACCCGGAATGACATTTTTATATATAATGCCATGCCAAGCAAGTGGAGCTTGACTCGCGTCGTCGGTAGCTCGAAGCTTGACTTCCAATTTCCACAGTGACACTTTTCCTCGAGTTATCTCCTCAGACATCGGGACTGCACTGAATCTCCTGAATCTTGTTCATCCAGCTGAACGTCCTACGCTCAAAGGGAGGTTAGATGCTTGAAACCATTTAGCGTGGACAGTAACCAAGGGTAACAGTCTCATAGCGGACTTGGCATTCCTGAGAGCATCCATCATTGACTAGCGATAGGTCCAGCCAATCGAAGACGGCTCAGCGAAGTTCACTTTTACATGCGCCTGGCCCACCAAAATATGCCTCGCCCACTATTCCATTATGTAGGAACAAGGATTCCAAGAACCTACCCGGAAACGTTAGCCTTCCACAGCGCAGAGTGATGTAGCCGGTCAAGGGCAGCCGGACGTTGAGGTGTCGGCTTTGAGACCTGAGACGATGTTCAAATTGATGTTTATTGGCGGTTGAAGACCGGTAGATTTAGGTGTCCGCTGTTGTTGGGTGTAGATTGAGTTTCCGCTGTTGTTTTGGGCTTGCGTCGGCAAGAAGAGTTGTCCAGGTGAAGGACAAACATGTGAGGAACGAGGAGGGAGTTCGGCTGCCCGCTTTGGCTTTTATAGAGGGCGGTTTCAGAGACGGAGAAGAAAAGGTGCGGAGGAGCAAACCCTGTCCTCCGTTCTGTCATACCACGGGTCCAGAGGGCTCTGAGTCCAGCGGTTTCACAGCGATCGCAGCGATCGAACCCTTCGACTCTCCGCACACAATCGATTGACAGTGTACACGTCACGCGTCCGAGTTCTGAACTGTCGGAGGTGTCGTCGCTGTCAATCTTTCACGAGCAACGACTCAATCGCCGCGCAACTGCACTCAACATAGGTACGCTGCATCTTGAGTGACCCAATGCGCGAGAGACACCGGGTGAATCATGGGTGTAGACGGTTCACAATAGACCCACATGTCCCACCGCGAATGCATCGAGGGGTATGCGAGACGGATGGACGACAGGTACTGGCGCAATCCTGGGCGGATGATGGGCGTCCGTGGAGTCGTTGAGCGGGTGATGGAGCAGTCATGCCTATGAGGCGAAGCCGACAAAATTTCTGCCCTCACTTGAACGCAGGAGTCAATGCCTTACTCCACAATGCGCATGTTCCACCTGCATCTGTTTCTTGAACGGCACTTCCTGGTTCTGAAGTTTCGAGTGCTCGGGTTCTCGGTTCTCATCCAACGTGTGATTTACACGAAAAAGGTATATCAGATGGAACAAAGGCAATTAGGTTGCTATGTAATAGACAGCCCACAAGAGAAGAAGCCAGCGAGCCGGGACTAAAGGAAGTTCTAAAGGGAGTTCTAACAAGTCTAGTGATCTCTATTACTGCCGCTCATGTTGAAACATGTCCATTCCATATACACCTGATGGCCGCGCATTTCCCACATTCTGCTGTTGTTGCGCGGCAGTAGCCGGCCCCGACGCTGCTTCCGGCGCGTTCGGATCGCGGATGGGAGTCCTCGAGTCAACGCCTGGTGGGGCCTGGACGGTGACTGGCAAGGCGAACTCGTGATGTTGGGGGTAACCTGCCCCTGGGTAAGGTGGATGCACGTGGCGGTCGTAGTAGTGGGGTGGGAGACGGGGAGAGGGTTGTTGGGACTGCTGCTGTTGCAGCGATGGTTGGTTGTGATGGTGTTGTGCTTGTTGCTGTGGGTGGATATGTTGCGTCTGCTGCTGTTGTTGCTGCTGGGAGGCCTCAAGATGCTGTTTCGGTATATGGTGTTGTTCCTGCTGTGGTTGTGGTTGCTGATGACTTGGCGATGCTCGGGCTTGCTGGGTACCTGGAGTGGCGGGGTTCGAAACCTATTATAGTGTGGAGACGCCATGTCAGTCATCTGTTGAAAACGAGGGAGCAGCCCATCGACATGCTCATCTTACCTGCGAACCCTGCCTTTGTTGTTGGCTTTCCATAGATCTGATATTCGGCGCAATCAGTTCGCTGAGACTAAACCCATTGGGATAGTACGACGAACGAGAGCCATGGGTGCCCGGCCCGCCGAACGGGTTCGGTGGCTGATGCTGATGCTGTGCTTGTACGTACTGCTGTTGACTAACATGTCCCGCGCTCAGAGCTGCAGTTTCGTTAGCATCAGGATGCTGGTGTTGCTGTTGTGATGGGTGATGGTGCGCTTGTGGGTGTGCATGTTGTTGTGACGGATCGAAGCGATGATCTAAATGGTGCGGATGTGGTTGATGTTGGTAAGGGTGGGGGTGCGACGGTTGCCGGTCCTGCATGTGTCCTGGCGCATGGTACATGTTCGGATCATGGGCATGACCTCCATATCCCACCGGCGGCCCGCTCCACGATTGATGCGGTATCGGGTGCTGCATTCCTGCAGGTGCCGGCCACGTTACCGGTTTGGTGTCCGGGGTCGCTGTGTCTGGAGGAGGAACGCGGTACCTAGGCGTGGGCGCCGTCCCAGGCAATTGCTCGCTCGACGACGGGGTCTCTGCAGCGACCGAATCCTCTTTGGCCCTCGCCTTTGTCTTGTCGCGTGGAGTAGCGCTAGTAGCTTTAGCAGCGGCGGCCCTAGCAGCAGCCACAACGGCCTTCGTGGCCTCCTCCTTTGCGATCAAGACCCGTTTCCGACGCTTGCGCCCGTCCTCAGGTGCCACCCAATTGGTATTCACGGTGTATAATCCATTTGGGCCTCGGATGAGCCGTCCACGGTCAACAGCTTTCTTCAATGATTGAGAGGCAGAGGGGCGGAAGTGCTCAGGCAGATCCGGGATGTTATCGGCCATCCATTGGAAGATGTTTTTCGGCTTGGATCCAGTGCGGTCCCGCATTTCCCCTACCGCCAGAGTGATCATATCTTCGTAACTACCGAGTGCACTTGTCATTCGCGGCCGTGTTTGTCTCGAGATTCCGCTGATGCTGCCCGCCCCGCTTCCCACCGCCGGCGATGTTGGCGTTGACCCGGATCGTGATCGCACTCGGGGCGTGCCCAGTGGTTCGCCAGTAGCACCAGGGCCGCATGTGGATATCCGGGTACTTTGACTGTTTGTCTCATCGAGTAGTACAGCAGGGGCAACCACCGAACGAGGACGCGCCGAAAAAGCGAGCATATCACTCGGCTTCAAATCCTGTGGGTTTTGCCCAAGATACCGAGCCGTCTCCGGGTAGCGCAAGGCTACTTGCAAAAGAACTACACTCAGTACATTATGAGGACAACGCTGTAGTGACGCGTACATCTAAAACGTCAAAAACAGACCAGCGAGGTGAGGTGAGCATTCCGTGTTTGCGGCAACATCGAATGCAATGTCAATGACGTACATTTTGGAATCCCCTTGAGCATGACGAGCATGTTTTCCGCAGAAGAATCTTCACGACATCCGACGTGGTCTCGGGCATCTTGAGAACGGAACCTTGCTGACCTTCCAGACCCATTCCCGATCCCGCTACGTCCATTTCCGGGGCGTCGAGCCTGTTCTCTTGCAGGGGTGTGAGACAGGTCAGGCACCGCCGGATATCGCTCGGAATTACCGGTGCCACCCATCCCGGCTCCTTAAGACGAGGTATATCTGCACGCCTTGGCTTATTGGGGCGACCCACAGGCTTCGTGGGATCAAATGGAGGAGCGAACGACCAATGAGCATCCACTACAGGTACGACGTTTTCCACCATCCTTCGCGCAGTGTCCGTTCCCTCACACTGGTGGCAAAACCAATACGCAGAGTACGTGTCCGCGATGTCGTTTGGAATAGGTAGCGGGGTATGACACATTTGGTGATAGGGCGCATCGCAGCCGTCGCAGATGACAATGCGGTCCTCCACGTTAGATTCTGCACCCGCGCATACGCTGCAAAAAACGTTGGCATCCAGAGCGAGCGGGCTGCAGAAGTGTGACCGTCGTCCAACCACGTTCATCACGTCGCTACCGCCGCCGAGCTGGTGCCCCGCATCTGTTGGTGCTGGCGAGACGCGACTTTCCCTACCGCTCGATCCCTCCTCCACTTTGACAGAGGGTTCACTCGGTGGACCGTGATCCTCATTGCCGTCCTCCATGCCATCGACATATCCTCCGCCCTGCGGTCCTTCGTGGCCAGACTCCCCAGCGTTTGCATGAGGGTGCCCTATTTCAGGTATCTCGAAAGCCCCATCTGTAACTTCTCCCGGCGTCTCGACAGCGCCATTGTGATTCCCTTCGGCATGTCCGGCCTCTTGAAGCACCTCGGTAGCTGAGACCTGAGAGTTTAAGGTCATGTAAGCTTCGAACTCCCATTGAAATGGCTTTAGCCTCCCTCCAAACTTGCTACTTGCGCCAAAACTCCTACCTTTGCCGAATAGCTATTTCCAGTGTGGTCCAAAGATCGCTTCCGCTTTGCGTTCACCCCATCGAGATCTCTGAAGATGTTCGAACTCGGATGAATAGCAACATCTATCTCGAACTCGCCGTCAGCATCGTATTCCCCTGGTAGCGACGATGATTGCTCCCGTGCTGCTCTAATATCATCAGCTAAGGCCGGAGAAGGCGCTTGCTGCACCGGGGATCTGGGCGCCTCCGACGGGAGGGCGCGAAAAAGGGGGTTGCCTTCGGTATGATCCGAGTCTGTGTGGGGCGGAGTCGAGGGAATGCCACCCTCCGATGGCAGCATCGCCGGTACACCTGTTGGTGCGGGTATGAATGTGCTCGATTCAGCCATGTGATGTCCTTTGTCCGTCCAGCTGGGGATAAAAGGCGCATGTAAGAAAGGTGTTTCGTCGCCGAAAGCAATCTTGACGGCATACCGGAGCAATAAGAGATCAAGCCGTCGCCAAGAACGACGCAAGACCACAATGTGAACGTTTGTGAGAAGTTCGCTTGTTTCTCTGTATGTCTATGTATGAGCCGCTCCCTCCCAAACGTTCAGCTAGGGTCCTAGCAATATGTCAATGGGCTATACTGGGGCGCCGTCACCATCGGAGTGCCAGTGCCAACGCGACGAGACTGAAGCTACCACCCGTCGGGGCTGGATGATGATATAGTGAGGGCCGAAAGCGTTCTCTTGTAGATGATCAATACCATCACCAACGCTGTGAGGATGGAAAACGCAGCTTGCAAGTTGGAACGGCCAAAAGGAATGGAAATTCGGAGGGAGGAGCCGCACTTGTCACGTGACCGAACACAACGCGTCCTGCCGTGGGTCGGAGTTCGCCTTCCTGCATTGCGTCGAGATACGTAAGAGGCGTGCTATTGAAATTATGCCGAATAACAAAACAAAAACAAAAATGGAAAATGCGTGGGTGTGGGGAAACAGAAACAAGAAGCCTATAAGGCGTGGGTGAAATGAGGTCCAGTGAAGTGAAGTTCATCAGGCTCGGGGGACAGCGATGACCGTCTCTAAACCGTCAAATTCACCAGATCTATCCCGAAAGCCCGGCAACAATCGCGGCAATCCCAGCTACGGCTAGCACCGCCTTCCTTGGCCCCACAGTTTCTCCCTCACTCGACTGATCCACCTTGCTCTTGAACGTCGGCGTAGGTACCGTCTCCGCCTCATTCCAAGTCGCCGGCGTGTTGGTGTTGGCCGTGCGCAAGTTGATGGTCGCAGCCTGCGCAACGACAGCACCACGGTTGTCCATGGCGAACAACATCCAGTTTCCGGGCGGGGCAATGTTGCCGTTGGCGGGCAACTGCACAAGGACTTTGTCGGCAGCGTACTTGAGGATTTGAAGTTCAATGTGGCGCTGGTCGTTATTGACCGTGTGGGTCATGGACGCGTAGCGGATGATCGAGACCTGCTGAATCGTGGGGGCGACGGCGGAGGTGAATTGGACGACGATTTGTTGACCATAGGTTACCGCGGGGGTTTTGAAGGGAAGGACGAGTTGAGGCGGGTTGGCGATGTACTTGTAGGGAGGGTAGTACACATCAATTCTAAAGGGAGAGCGTTAATATGAAGGGCCACACGGTGATGCTTTGATGCATTTACTCACCCCATCTCATCGGGTCTTCCATTAACGAAATCGTCTCCGTTCTGTGCGTCTCCACCACCGGTCAAGACTGTTCCATCCTCCCTCAACAGCGCCGTGTTGTGGTAGTGGCGGGCCGTGGGCGCAGGGGCTCCAACCTTCCACCGCTTGGGGTTGCCGACCGGGTACGAGGGGTCGAAGATGACCGCTTGTTTGACGCCTTTGCTGGCTTTGGGTTGCCCGTAGACACCTCCTTGGTGGCCTTGTCCGGAGCCTGAAACAATCACGACTGTTCCGTCTGGAAGATTGACAGCTCCCGGTTGGGACCTTGCTAAAGGCATCTGCTCAACCTGGAACGGCTCGGTTACGGTAGCTCCATTCCTTTCCAGCGTAGTCCAATGGCACGCAGCAACAGGCAAACAGGTTGGGCAGTTACTCCAAGGCGCCTTCGTTGGGTCACCTCCACCCTCACGGGGCTGGGGCGTTCCGTCGGGCGCGGTGCCATTAACACCACCGCAGATCCAGGACTCCATGTGGTAGTTGTCGCGGTAGGAGAGCATTGGGACGAAGTTGGTGCCGGCAAAGGGGAAGGAGAGAGGGAGCGTGCCGTTCGCTTTGGTGAGGTCGATGGCGGCGTGCGCGGTCTCCGCACCTGTTTTGGGGTCGATGATGGCGGACTGACAGGCAGAACGTGAGAAAAGCGTCAACACTAGAGAAAACCACTCCACCAGTGACAATGACCTACCTCAGAGTGCGCAAACACCCAGACGTTCCCTGAGGACGGCAGGACGTACAACAAAGGGTACATGTTGATTGGGAAATGCTTCGCCAACAGCGCGATGTTCTTCGACGTGCCATACGGGCCCTGAGTAGGGCTCCACATCTCATAGGTCGGGTTATCGGCGAGCGGGTTGGCAGGGTCAAAGAAGTAGTGCTGCCCGCCCACGAGCATAACGTCCTCGGTGGGGAGGAGCACCGCGGAGGGGTACCAGCGGCCCCAGTACTTGTAGGTGCTGCCGCCAGGGGTTGACGGCAGCACGTCAGGACCGCGATACATGGAAGCTACGAATTGGAGGGTCGGCGGGGTCGTTTCTGTTGAGGGGTTCATCACGCGGATGTCAGACCGTCCGTTCGAAGTGTAGTTGCGCCCGTTGAACGATCGGTCCCTGTTAAGATTGAATGGGATTCAGAGCGTGAGCAATGGATGAGATGGGAGAAGCGTTCGTCGACTCCAAGTCAATATATACCAGAATTCATCACCACCGGCGACAAAGTAACTTCCATTAGCAAGTTGAGCATGTCCCGAACAGAAAGCATACCCATGCAACTGCCCCTGCACGGAATTGTTGAAGAAATTCTGGTTGATGAACGTGTAGTTCTTTGTCCCAAAGTTGAACTCTGCGGCATCGGTAAAGAAGTCCTTGTTGGCAAAGTTAGGATTGCCGTTGTACCACTGCATCAAAGGCATTTTGGAAAGAGCAGTGATTTGGTCTTGGGTCCAGCCGTCGGTGGCAGGGGGTGGGTTCCAGTAGTGGACACGCTCGGAGATGTAAAGCTTGTCGCCCGGGGAGTAGGCGGCATGGATGGCGACTACTCCGGCGTTGTCGGTCCAAGTCTTCCAACCACCGATTTGAACAGGGTCAGTAGCGGTCCCATCGGTGCCAGTAGTTTGAGCATAACCAGCGCCAGCGGAGGCCACCGCGAGAATGAGGGCAGTGGTGCCGATAGCGTAGAGCATCGTCGGAGTTACGTTTGTTTTATTGGGAGTGAGTATCGGGTAGGTGGAATTAGGAGTGACGACGATGGGGTGAGCAAATGGTCTCCTCTCGCCTTTCGCAATGGGGAGGGGGTTGTTGTGCGCCTCCTCTCTTTATTCTCTGGAAGGCCGTCGCTTATCGCGAGCACACTTTAAGTTTCTTCTCCCGCTTTCTCTCGGAGTTTGCGAGGGATACGCCTCAACTCAACCGGCACTCGGAGAACAGACGCGCCTGGCAACATGCACGCATTCACGCACGCACTCGGATCCAAACGCCTGGTGAGTGATGATGTTTTACCGACACTCGCGCGCTGCCCTTCGTTCCTGCTCCTGTCGATTTCACCGCCCCGATCTTCCGCTGAGCTTTCTTGATCTTCGAGCTTGACGGTGGCTCACATAAGACAACGTTCCAGGAACTTCGCCTTCTCATCAGAGCTCCTGATCAAAAGTCGCACTCTGCATTCAGTCGCCTGTGAGCCATGGGCCCCCTGCCTTTCTTGGCTTTCCACATCCACTTGAAGACAGTGGACACCGACCGATCGCCGATTCTGTGGGAGAAACAACACAATCATCATTGCCGTTGGATGTGGTTCGCGCAGTTTCAGTTTTCATCAGTCTTGGCTTTCGGACTAACGCAGGTTACACAGGATGACGACACCGCCACAACTGGGGGAAACGGTCAAGCACAGCCATACAATACATACCGGTTACCGGTAGATACACACTAGGTTTCCCGCCTGGGCGTCTCGCTTACAAAGACCTCGAATCCGTTGGGACCCCGGGTAAACTCCTTGGATGCGTGAGCCGGAGTGACTGCGCGTCGTTCTGATTGCGAGAGATAGAACGGTCAAATAGAAGCTTCCATGAATGTGGAATGTTCCCGAATGTGGACCGTGTCATAAACCCGTCAATTATCGAAGGAGAGGACGCGCTGGAGCTTTCAGCCGCTGAATGATGTGAAGGCAGGGCACGAGAGCCCAAGAAGTACAGATCTTGTTCGCTTCTATCAACTCTTCAATGGTCGTTCTTTTGCCTTATACACCTAGCATGAACTCTTGTAATGAGGTGCGACAGGTGCCATTACCCAATGGGCTTGTACCGAGATGATCTTAGGCTCAATGGGACTCCATGAGTTGAGGCTTGTGACTCAAGCGTAAAGGCCTCAGCCGCTGCCGGCGAAGGTTGGGAGGCTAGAATTTTAAGGAGAGACAGAATAGACATACACTAGCATCGGCACCACTTTACTGAGATACCTCCTCTACGCTAAGATGAACACCGAAGGGCCGCCCGGCACTGGGACCGGCCCCGCCAACATACGAAGAGTCGGTCTCACCGGGTTCAATCACCCAGACCGGAGAGCCTTGAGAGAAAGCATAAGACCACCCCAAGGAGCTTCCCATCAATCCCCTGAGTGAAGACAACGATCCCGCTCTTGACCCACCCGCCGGGACTACAGGAGCCACATTTCACAACGGCAACAATCGTGCTCCAGGAGCCGCCAAGACCGCCGACACCCCAGGGAGCGTGAATGCCGACGCCGTCGCAGTCAAAGCCCCTGCCAAGGAAACAAACAGCAAGATATTAAAATCAGGATCGTGGCCCAGCTGGCTAGCATTAACGCCACTCTCCAACGGCAGTTCGAGAGGCAGGCTTACAAACCGTGAGGCAGCGACCGTCCGGGCCACCACCAAAATGAACGGGATGAGGATATGATCACCAGCAACGAACGAAGACGCAAGGCCGACGCAGAAGGAGTATCAGGCTACTCTTGCCAAAATGCTGAACAAACTCGATGGTCGGGCGAACGGACAAGACATGGTTGCCAAGCCCGACGAGTTCGTGGACGCTCACCTCCGTTACCTAGATGCCACGGAATACAGGAGTCAGTCCGGAGACATCAGGCACTTCCTCGCCCACCTGTCCAGCGACACCGCCGAGTGGTGGAAGCTGGGATCACGTTCTGGACAGCCGGCATCACTCAGGAAGGTTTCCTGAAGATACTCAAGCGGCGGTGTACTAGTGTGCCTCGAACTGCGCATGAAATCATCAATATTTGGAACACCATTTCTACGCCTAGAACCTTTGATGATAAGAAGATTCAAGACGATACAAAACAACGCACAATCAGACCATTTACGCCCGAAATCCTTTATGCATCAACCTTATACGATACCGTCAATACCATAAAAACTTTCTGCCAGTAAATCGACACTCTCGCGGTTACCCTCCGACAATTACCTAAAACACTTGCCTGTACCGACGTCTCGCTTCACATCGATGTTTTGCCTTTGGATATGACTGACATGCAAAAAACGTAGGCGTAGGTGAAGATCTCACACATGAAAGCGCCCCCAACACCACTCTCAACTGACTGAAAGCTCCCAGGACGCCATGCACTCTGAAGAAAACAATTGCGCAACGATGAATCCCATTTCCGGGGGCCGTATACGCCGAACGTTAAAGAAGAAGAAGAGGAAAGATTAGCGATAATGCCGTGTCAGCTTAGACATTGCAAATGGAAAAATGAAAAATGACGTAGAGGGCTGCGAGAAAAGACAAAAATCCCTCGACGCAGCTGATTCCTCTACAGACAATTGGTAAAGACTTTGGACTTTGACTAAATTCTGTAGCTTAGGAATATTGTGAAAGTGGTCGATTATTCCCTGAGATAGGTCCTAAATCGGGTCGTTCACGGGTGGAGATGTGGAGAGTGCAAGGTAAAAGGCAGAGACCAACTAAATCCCTATTCACACCACACAAGTAGACACGTTTGGGCGTACTCCATATATTGGCAACCCCTTACTGCTTGTCATAGGTACGCTAGTCAGTCGGGCCAACAGGCACTAATGATACAAACTTAGGGTCTAGTCTATCACCGTGAAATGCGTCCCCCGACAATCTACACCAGTGGAGTCCTTTTTTTACGGGGGGGGAAGGGTGTGTGTGTCTCTATCCTATACTGATCATGCTGGTCATACGCGCACAAATGCTGATCTCCTCTTGAATCTCCTCATCTCTTTGTATGCCGTCAACCCAATCATTTTAAAATCCTCCCCTTTTTTGAGCTTTCCTGTTATGGACGACACGTCCATATCATTAGCATACCTCACGACAGCACACTGACAGCTGTCCGTGTCAATGCCAATGGCAATGTCAACGTCAACGTCAATGTCAATGTCAAACATCGCTCACTCCTTCGCTCCCCTCTCAATTTGCTAATCCCCCCGCAATCTCGCCGCTCCTCCTCGACCCCGCTCACTGTGAGCTCATCTGTGAGCTAATCTCTGGTCATTTGTCAACCCCCAATACTTCTCCACATCCAGCAACTGTAGACATGCTCTCTAAGCTCGCTACGCTCGCTCTAGGCTAGATAGCATAGCTGTCGCTCACCCAGTCCCCTCTTGTTGTTGTTCTTCACTCTGGCTTGTTTATCTATAAATAGCCGCCCCCTCTTTGTGCATTCCCTTTTTCCCCAGCAGATCAACACCAGTTCTTCTCAACTCCTGTTCTAGTTCTTGCTTCTTGTTTTGCCAATACAATCCCCTGTCTCCTATCGCTCTCGCTCTGCCTTCTCTTCTTCGCTCCCGCCTCCGTCGTCGAGATTTTAACAGTTCCTCTAGGATGGGTGCTCAGGAGGGTTCTGCCGTGGTACTCCCTATTGTTTGCAGAGACTAGCCTGTTGCACCATGGGTTGGCATTGTTGACTCTGGTTGCCATGGTGTGGAAGCGGCTGGGAACCTCTGTAATGTGGGTTGTCCGGTCTAGTTGGAGAACCACATGTCTGTGAGACAGGCCTCGCAGAATATACCTGCATATCCCAGCGGATATACTGGGCTACACGTCTCGAGAGTGTTCTCCAGTGGACTCCAGCCTCACGGGTGCTTTAACAGTGCTCGTCGCACGTTCCTATTCACAAGAAGGACCTCCTTTACTGTAATGTGGGTTGTCCGGTCTTATTGGAGAAGGACGCGTCAGTGAAAGACCTATCGCTGTCTAGGTGGAAGGCCTTCTGGCCCGTCAGTGAAAGGCCTTCCAGTCAGTGTTCTCCAGTGGCCTCCGACCTCGTGGGTACTTTAACAGTGCTCGTCGTGCGTTCCTATGCACAAAAAGTAGTTCTTCTACTGCATATCGAATAGCAGCGCCGATGAACACCCAGTCCGTCTACAATACCTTACAGCAAAGTAGTGATTGTATACGAACATCAGTTATACAACCCATGTGGAAGGTAGTCCACAGCACATGGTAGCACCACTCGTTTCGACCAAAAACGAGCTTCATAGTAGATAAACATGTCGGCAACTTCAGCATATCGAAATTGCGGACGTAGCAATCGTCACAGAACGTCGATACAACCCTTCTAGATGATTCAAATAGCCTTCAGGACATCCAGGACAACGTCCACCGTAACTCCTGAAGCCCCTAGTGCGCTATAGTCGAAAAGCGCCGACCTATAGGTTATTTACCTAGTAGAACAACCGATACATCGCAACCACCTTGCTTTTTGCACCTGGATGGTTCAACAAACCTCCGTAACTCACAGTTTGCCATCCATACCTTACTCTTCCGGTATATCGACCCCTTGAGAGTATACGTTCAACGGTCGACACGTTACCACATAAACGCGTTTTTACGAGTAGCCAATTGGTAAACCGTTCACGGATCGGAAATCTACCCCAGTAATTCGATCCCTTCAAAGGAATTTGATCTACGGATACGGAGATATAAAAAACGTACAAAATCGTCGCCATTATAACCTCTGTATAGCAAAACTATTGCAGTTTTGACCAAAACATTCTCCGATGAGGTTCTGCCCGGTCTTGAGAATTACCTTCAGTTACACTGAACATTACGGGATGTTTGATTCATCACAAAACAAGTAATCAGTCATCGCCTTCGTCAAGAATTCGATACTTAAGCGAAAACCGGCGGATAGGAAAAGGCTCTCAGTTTTGAGACAGCGCTGAGCCGTTAGGGTTCCTCTTGATCCTCTCAAAGGTCTCTTTGAACTAATAGCTTCAGATCCTGCACAGGATCAATGCAGCCAAAACCCGCCGACATCGGACACGGTGGATTTTGGGGATTTTTCGCTCGAAAGAGGGAGAATCTATGCCCGAATTTTGGTTATTGCATACGGCATATACCTGATTTGACACCTAGTTGTTTGTGTGTATTTGCTCAAGGTACTGAGCTATACAACATCAATGGAGTACTTCTGTCTGCATTCTGGAAGTATTCGTCGTTGTTTGAGGTTATTCGAACTGAAA